AGTATCATTTTCTTTTGATTGTTTATTGTTCCACATTCCACATATTAACAAGATTGTTTCATACATAAGATTTAATAAAAGAATTGATAGACATGTACCATAGACAATAAATATATGAAATTTAGGGAACCTTTCAATCAGCAAAGTTTGTAATTCTAGGATCCTGAATGAAATACTTAAACACAATTTGTAACTGAATTCCGATAACACTAACGAAAGACGTTATAACAAAAATTGAGTCACTGACACATGAGCTTCATAGAAGTGGTACATAAGAATGTGCATAAAAACGTGGTTACCCGAGTGAAACAATTGATGTAAGCCAGTTGTAAGCCTGATGAGAAGAGAGGGAGAAAAGAGAGGAGAGAGAGAGAGAGAGAGAAAGAGAGAAAGGGAGAGAGAAGGAGGAGAAAGGCAAAATTTGTTACACACATGATTTAAAAAGGAATCTTGAGCTTAAGCTTGAAGGAATATAGTGAGCGTGATTCGATTATGTTTGTGTCCAAACTGTTCCAACTGAGGGACGTGTGTACGTTATTGTTTTCAGAGCAAGGGAGAGAGGAAAATAGGATTTTCACCTGGTAGGGTAGGAATGAATATCGTTTTTTAAATTCTTTTTACAAACATAGGAGGGAAAATCGCCTCTATTCAGCTTTAGCTGATACATAAATATTTCAGTGTAAAAGTAGTATAAGTCTTTTACTTTCAAAATACATGTAATTGTTTTTATGAAATATAGGGATGGTGTGTTCACGATGGCTCTTCTTTTGTACTTTTAAAACAGATTAAATTTTCATCTTTAGAACATTGTCCCCCTCACTGATATTACATAAGTTGAGTATAGTATCAATAACGTATATAGTATAATGTTCGTAAAATACTAGTAGCAAATAATTATTTAGTTTATTAATAACCCCTACATTTCTCAAAGTAATTTGCATAACAAATCGGTTGTGAGTTTCCATGATATTTTACAACCGATATAAAACCCAAGACATTTTTATAAAATCTGTTTTAATTCACAACCATTCATTACATGATGATGAGGTAAAGTGTTAAACGTGTTACCAAAACTCATATAGTTAGTTTTCTTAACAATTAAAGGGCAACTTAATTATCTGCCTCTGTCCAATAACATACGAATGTAACTCATTATTCCCGGTATTAAGAAGAATTTGGGGGTTATCATGAGTGTAGAATGTACCAGTATCATCTACAATTTTTTTTTTCTTTTTGACTTTATTTGAAAATAAATTAATTTTCTCGTTTATTGTTTGGTTAATCTTTTAAGCAAAGAGATCGGAGTTGCGTATGCAGCACAGACAGCGTGGCTGATTAACGCTAGCCTGAAGGATAACATCGTATTCGGAAACCCCTTTAGCCAGAAAAGGTATCCACTTAATAATTCTTCTTGCATGCCTCCCCCCTCTCTCTATAAAAAAATATTTCAACACAAACATTGTAGGTTCAGCTTTACATTGGACCAAACAAAATGAAGAAGGAAGCAGAGTATGTGATGCCCTCCTTAAACAAGAATGGTTTGAGCGAAAAGAGATGAAAGAACTGAAATAATAATTGCCTGATTAGATGAAATTGAAGATGATGAATAAACTGAAACAAATATTACCATGTCAGTTATCTCTTTTCAATTCGTTCCAGCTTGTTTAGCACACAATACCTTGTTTAGTTTACATGTTATCATTTCTTGTAACACCAATGGAAATCAGATTTATGCATAATATACATGCAATAATTCTTGAATTCTAAATATTGTATATCATTACCCCCTCCTCCCTCCTCCCTCCTCCACCGCAGATATCAAACAATATTGGAAGCATGTTGTTTACAACCTGATTTTGATATCCTCCCTATGGGAGACCAAACGGAGATTGGTGAGCAGGGTATCAACATGAGCGGAGGTCAGAAGCAACGCATCAGTGTAGCCAGGGCCATGTATAGCTCAAATGATGTCGTCCTTTTGGTAAGTAATCAGCAAATTTATCAAGGAAATAATTTATCACGGAAATCGTGGTGCAGTCAAGATTAAGACCTGTATTTCTTACTTCTTGGTGCATCAAAGGCAGAATTTGTGCTCTATCGCAATATCTATGACTTGGTATAATAATGAGTCAGCGGAAAGATTAATGAACATGGATGTGTGTTTGCGGGAGGGGAGGAGGGGTTAAAGTAAACTGTGTATCAATGTGTTGCGCAAAATAAAAGCATCCTTAAACTCGATGGCGTTTCCAGAATAGATTAACCACAAAATATTTTGTCTCTTTGAGGAACGCTCGCTTTGATCCATCAAACAAGGAATCTTCATCTCTCTCCCTCTCTCTCTCTCTCTCTCTCTGTCTCTCAGGATGATCCATTATCAGCCCTTGATGTGCACGTTGGTAGTCACATGTTCTTCAAAGGTATTCTTGATTTCTTGATCGAGGAAAGAAGAACTGTCGTGCTTGTCACACATCAGGTCCAATACTTGGAGCATGCTGATCAGGTGAGGGTGTCAGGGGTGAATTTGGGACTCTATAAAGCGGTCAATTGGGTGCCAGTTTACTAATATACAAATATAGGCCTACAATACCTTTCAAGGGTACAGCAAAAATTATAAGCTAATGAAACGGCACAAATAGTAACTTTCCCTAAGGCAAATTTATATCAAATTTAGCTCGAGGGAAAGTTACTATATTTATGCCTCTCAATGCTCATAGTATGCTAGACCCAAGAAAGACATTGCATATCTGCTTTAATTATATCCCTCATGAGACATTAGCATCTCACTATTACAAAGAAACATGTACTGTGAGCATTCAGCAGCATACCGATAGGCCTAAATTAAACAAAAAGGGAAGAAGAGGTGAATGACTTACCAGATTAGAATCCCTTCTCCTTAGTTTCCAGAAAAATCGAAATTCAAGTAAAGTGAATTTCACAATAACAAGTTTTAAATGTCAGAACTTCCATGTAACAGCGTCAAACAAGTCAATATAAAGTCTCAAAGTCAAAGCAAAAACACGAACGTATTTACATGGATGGCTTTTCGTTGTTTTACTTGTTGAAAATAGTGACCGTACAGCCATGAAATTGATATTCTGGCCGTCGATTTTAATGCCGTTCATCGTGTAGGAGCTCGCTCTGGTAGTGGTGCTCCCAGTAGTGACCTTTGTGGTGGGCAGCCCTTGTGGATTGAATGGAAATTGATCGGGTATTTAATCGAAAACCGCTCCAGCTGACTATCATTTAATGATGGCATGTTTTCAGTCTCATGCTCAGCATTCATGTCCTCAGTGACAGTTGTCTTAAAGATGTAGATGGTTGTTCTTCAACATTTGCACTGCCACTGGTCTTCGGGCTTGTGGAGTACATTTCTGACATCATCGTTTTCTTGGCTTCACTTGTGCGTGCGTAGTTCTCAATAACCTTTTTCGGCTCTATGGCAAGACACCGTCATTATGTCTCGGGATGGATATCCTGCCTCGTCCAGTAGAGAGAGGCTAGTAGCTCGCAAAGAGTTATTTGTGTATATTTTGCAGCTAGATTCTTGGCAGATTTTTTAACATTGAGCCCACGGTATTTGTTCCAAGCGGTGTATTTGCATACCACGAAGCATTAGTTACTTTTGCTTTTGATTTCTGCCTCTGCCACATACATTCACAGTCAATATTTAGTTTGGACAGATACATTTTGAGGCTGGTTACTGGGAAAAGGGGATTTCCCGGCAAGGAACACATCTGTCCTGCCTGGCTCTCATCACCATCATCATCTGCATGATTTTCGGCATGCATATCGCAGAGTGTAAAGTACTCACCGTTATTTCTTTCGGCTTCATGGAGGACAAAATTTCCTGGCGTTATGTTCCCTAAATTCCCCATACCTCTGTTAGCAAAATACAGCAGGGTGTCAAGGAAAACCTTATTTTGGAGACCAAGAATCTAAACTTTGCAGAATCATCGTCATGTCATCCTTCGGAATGGCAGGGCGGTGTTTCACAGCAAATTTTCCTGTTGCTTTTAGAGGCGAGTTGGCTCAGTCGGTAAAGCGTCCGTCTGTCGAACCAAAGATCCCGGGTTCGACTCCCACCCAGGCGGATGACTGAAGCCTGAGTTGTGTGTTAACGTGCCCCTTCCCTTGTTCATAGACGCAGGTTATGTCAAGTGGAAAACACTCCGTCCCTCGGATAGGACGTTAAATGGAGGCCCCGTGTAGAGTAGAGTCACGTACTACCTTTGCACGTTAAGAACCCACTGCACTATTCGTAAAAGAGTAGGGGGAAACCCCGGTGTAGTGGTCCACCTGCACACACCCCCGGTATAGTACGATAATACTCTGTAAAGAGGTCTGTACTCAAAAGGAAGAAGAAGAAGAATTTGAACGTTTTCCCACTTCTCGAAAATGACTCCTCTTTAGTAGTGTCCACATTTCTTGACGCCAAGAAACGCCTTTGAAGGCTAAATCGAAAAGCCTGCATTGTTTTCTTGCTGTAGTATCCCGGGTAGTATTCATTTTTCATTCCGAGCTCCAGCGTAGAACTGCGAGAGAAGAAGGTCTAGGGCTACGTTGTCCACAAAATCATCATCAAAATCGGCTTTTATTTCCTTACAAAAATCCCGAAACACAGAGAGTCGGTACCTGATTTGTTTCTCTTTGTTTTTGCTGTCACTTCCTTCGTTAAATGTCAACAATTATTCTACATCTAACAGGTGAAAACGGGGATAGTCGGCAGCCATTTCACCACGGTCACTACTGGAAGCAGCCAATTTGTCGAACTATGTTTTTTTTTTTAGCTGCTTTTTTCAATGCGCGATCCTAGCCTACGCGCACGCCGTGCGGGAACTCTGCCGATGGCTATGCACATCATACCGGCTGTAGAAACTTAATTAAGGCGGGGGATTTACCTTGCGCGCTCGTTGCACTCCAAAAAATTGAAGAAATTTAGATATCGAACGCAGAAATATCGGTGATCGGTGGAAAAAGTGGATTCCGGAAAGTACTATACCATGCCAAACAGTAAATTTTCTCACGCTTCCCAAATTTATGGTGAAGCAATCCCTTTTTTCGTGCTCTGTACAATCGCAATGCAAAAAAGTATACATGAGGATATAAAATAAAAAAATCTGACATACAAAATATCATATTTCCAGGTTCTGTTTGAGTCTAAAGTTGAAACGTACATATTTCATCTTTAGCGTACGAAAGGTTGTGTTTTAAGGGGGCATGGGCATTTTCCAGAGTTTCTCCAGTTTCCACTGGTCTTCTAGTCCGTTAGTATTACGACCTATTAGGTTGCACGTGTGATATTTCCATACACTCTAAATACTAAAATGTTAAATCACAAATCAAAAAGGCCAATAATTTGATCGCTTTTTATATTAACACTTCTTATATTAGCACTTTGAACAAACCGGATCCAGCACTATAAATGTTAAATCTGTAGCATGTAAAAAGTGTTACTCTGAAATTTTGAAAAGAATGGTCACAACTTGGCCTTTTAATATGATGATTTAGAATTTGTAGTTTGTAGATTGTACAAGTTCAAGTCTTCTTTTTTAGGAGGGGGGGGGTGTTTTTGTTTTGGCCTGCTGTCCGAAGTCACATGTCCTACTTAACATTTATGGTTAACGTGACAGTTATGATAAGGTTTAAGTTTCGTGTAAGAGGTACGAATCTTTGGACTATACATCGGACCAAATCGACATAATAACGATGCTACGTGGATAACTGGTATAGGGCCTCAAAGGGTAAACTGAGCTAAACCGCTATGTATATGCATCCGCACAAAGGGTTACAACTGATCTCATAATAATATGTCAAAGAGAAAGTCATATATTGTAATGAAAATAAGTTATAGACATAAACATACATTTTCAGCGGCTTTCTGGGCCCTCTTGTTCATTGATGGTCCAAGTCATTTTGACCAGCAGAAAAATATATTTTTCACTATTTGTTTATAATTTGTTTTGCTATTTTTTGATTTCTTGATATAGTTTTTGGCTACTTTTCTATTTTTACGATATTTTTAAAGCGTTCCAAAACATATAGGCTAAAAATATCTATTTTGCTATTTTTTCTTCAATTTTTAATCTATCTCTGGACTATTTTTCATATATTTTTTATTTAGTTTTAGACTATTTTATTTCTACTGGGGTGGTCATTTCACAACAAACTCGAACCAGCTATGCGTGGGACTACTATTTTTAAATTCCCCGATTCGGGGTCATTTTTTAGGGGAAAATCACTTGATTTGAAATTAGTTTCTTTGTAGAGGTAACTGAACATAGAAATTCACTATTTCTTAACGGAATTTCATCAGCGGAATGATCGTTTGATGACATCTTGGTGGCATTTATGGACAATATTTACGGGATATCAGTATGAAAATCAGTAAAAGCTTGCCGGTCGGTAAGCGCACAAAAAAGTAGAGGGGAAAAAATATGACTGGTTTTTTCAGTAACGTCGGATGTATCTACATATTGCCGTCCAATGTCACATTATTATAACTGTCACGTTAACCCTAAATGTTAAGTGGGCCTCAAAGGGTAAACACAGCTGAACCACTATGTATATGCATCCGCACAGAGGGTTACAACTGATCTCATAATCCAAGGGTTACTTGGAGAGATCTCCATACTGTAACCTTTCTTATCAAGACTGGCTATGGTGACCTGTATATAGTGAATGGTTTCCGCAAAGCAGGGGTGGATTCAGCTGACGGCAGGGGAGGGGGCCAAAGAGGGGGCCAAATTCGTGAGAAAATATTTAGCGGCGAAACAGCCGGCCGGTGAATAAGCGGTAAATCAGCTACACTGATTTCTATTGTTTTGCCCTCGAAAATTTGAAAATTCGCACCCCCCCCCCCCCAAATAAAGGTAAAATTAACGTGTTTTTCCCTTTTTCTTTCTTAGGGGAGTGGCCCCGGGCCCCCTACCTGGATCCGCCACTGCTACCAAAGGATGTAGTCGAGGCGGAAAGACATCACATCTTTTAGACAATAAATAAGTGTTGTGAAAATTGCAAAACGTTACGTTCAAACATTGTTATCGATTTGTTTCTAGTTTGTCGAAACAAATACGTATCTTTTGTCTAAACTATTGCAATATTATTGTTATGATCGTTTTGTTTAAAGAATGAAATATAAGAATGACACATACAATAATTGTGATGATGTTCTCAGGTGATCTTTCTCCAAAACGGATGTGTAGCTAGGAAAGGAACAATGCGAGAGATTGGTAAATTGGATCCTTCCCTCGTAGAGTCTTGGAATCTATCTCTCAAAGCGGCCAATGAAGCAGAATTAGAAGTCGGATACTGCAGTTCAACAGATGAAGAACGAGAAGTACTCAAGAAACAAATATCGACGATTAAGAAAGGTAAAAATAGATCACCAATATAAATCCATGAAGTAGTTATACTATTTATAGATTCAAAATAGGTTAGGTCAAAGAGGCTTGACGTTTCGTATACTTGCACCACGACTCCATTCCTGGTACAGTACTGGCTAATGGATATTAAGGAAGTCATTACATTCACTGTGCACAAATAGTAATATTTATTTTTAAAAACTGTTTTAGATGATTTTCGTGCCTAAAATCACATAAATAAGAAGATGTTATGGGATTGTAATACAGTATTTCACCAAACTCTGGATATGATAGAAATAAATCATTTTTTGTGCTTGTACTTCAAGTGCAAAAGAAGATGGGGTGTGGATTTAAATTAAAATTAAACTTGAGTTCTGGTAAAAAAAAATAAAAAATGAATTCTCACTGAATGTTCAAGATTACAAATAAATGTCATTTGCCAAACAATTTTGGTAGAACATATTTACTGACTAAGAAATGAGCATAGAAAGATAAGTAAATCAAGGTAAGAAGGCCCGACACCTTTTGTTTAGTCCCAAATACACCTTTCTGTGTACAGTGCTTGTTACTTTACCAAGACTGGGCCAAATTTATTATGATTTTGATGACTCCAGAACCTTGCACATTACACTAATAATTACATGCTACATGATCAACTTTTTCTGATTAATTCCACACCTGTTCTTTCATAATGCAATCGCATGACCAGATCTCAACTTTATCTTTAATCTATTTTATCATTAATAAAATTTAGATCAACGTCCTCAAAATGACGACTCTTCAAGCAAATTGATCGAATCGGAGGAGAGAAATCGTGGTTCTGTATCTTATCGATACTACTGGTATTATTTATGTCAGTTTGGATTATGTCCAGGCTTCTTCGTCTGCTTCTTTGCCATACTTCAGAACGTGGCTCAAGCTGGAACACAATTCTGGCTTTCTGTCTGGTCATCGGCTGGTGCCAAGTTACCCAGCAATGCAACAGATGTAAGTAGGCCTACACATTCTAATCTGTTTTCTCTTAGGGACTTACATATTATTTGTTTTGGTATTATCATTTCCTCTTTACAACCAAAACTTGAGGTTAGATTTCAAATCAAAATCAAAAATACAAACGGATAGATAAAAATGGTTGTAATAATGTACACAAAGTCAAAGAACAAGTCGAGTCTGACACATAATGAATATCAATGTGCTATGATCAAATTATTCCGCATTATAAAATACATTAAAGTAAGATCATAAGTTCAATATTTGATAATAATTGTATATATCTCAAATTATATTCCACATACTAAAGATCTTGCGCTACGATTGGTCAAATGTAAATCACGTGATGAAAGATAGTTCGCCTATCACTAATGGAAGAAGAAAAGTTCGTTACACTGTGTACTATCTTCAGTGAAAGTGCGTTGCTCATAATAGGTTTTTTGCTATGATATATACACTCTCAAACGTAACCCGTGAAACCAGATATTGTAGTGACACCCAAGAATGTAGAAATCAATGATAAAACTACCACCCAAAGTAAACACACCGGATTTTTTAAAAATCTAGCCAGTGTGAAATCGACATCAATTGTTTCCTTTGTTTGCAGGAAGAAAGCAATGCTTTGCTGATGAGATATATCGGTGTTTACTGTGCTCTGAATGCGGCTGATATGGTCCTGTGTATGGTATGGACAATGATTCTACTCTTTCAGTGTGTCCAAACCTCAAAGAATCTACATAATTTAATGCTAACTCGAGTACTGAGGGCACCAATGAGGTGAGTACTTTATTTAGAAAAATCTAAATCCCTTTGACCATAATTCATCCCTTTTGTCATAGTAGTATAAGTGCGAGATGATCACATACGATCAGCAGCAGGGGCGGCACATACCTTCTTTGTCCCCCCCCCCCCCCAGACACACACACGTACACACACACTTCTTTTTAAAGCAATTTTGTTCTATTTCTCCAAATGTGTAATACAAACAATAACATACAATTGAATAAAATAAACGTTTTCAATATTGATTGCTTATATAAAAAACATTAATTAAACAAACTTATTTGCAGTATATATATATAACTTCGCAACAAAGTAAACGTATAAGTACCTAAACATAATATATATGTCAATTTTAAGTGTTATATTCCCTTATATAAACAAAAAAATTAAACAAATCTGGAGGTAATTTTACTGGAACAATGCCTGCTCCTCCCTGACCCCTCCCTGCCCCCCTCCACACAAACACCTCCATCCTCCCACACACATACTCACCAACCAACCCGCACACACATACTCACCCACCCACCCACCACACCCCCACACACACACTACTTACTCAGTGGATGTCTAAAACATTCGCAACTCAAGAAAAATATACTAAATAAGTAAGTTAACCAGGCTGCAAAATAGAGTTACAATTTTTAACAAGCTCACGGTGGAGAAGAAAATATTTTTAATTAATCTTAAGCTGCTCCAACTTTAAGAAATGTGATCCCAGCTTTCCCATTCTAATGGCTATTTTCTTTACCTCATCCTATATTTAAAAATACTTTTTTTTCATCTTTTATAAAGGTGGTACTCGCCCCCTCCCCCCATCTTGACATAAATGTAACATACTTCATCATGAAAATTATAGTATTACACATTTTTATTCTATATGAACTACCTGCCAACCCAACAAATATATCTCGCCATTCTAAATCTTTAATTTCATCTAACTCAAAAAGTTGTACCAATTCCTGCCATATCCTTTGAACGCTCCCGCAAGATAATATTTCCTGCTTATAAAACGAAAATAAATTATCACCAACAAAACCAAATCTATGAAGATGCTCATAAGTATATATGGCTCCACGCTATACTTTAAATTGAAATTATCGTTGTTTTCTAATGAGTATAGTAATTCTTGGTCTAACAAATATTTCTTTTAATTCTTTATCTATAAAATCATAAACATTTTGCCCATCCCTTACCTGCAAATCATACGTTTGCTGTAGTGCTTTGATATAACACACACACACACACACGCACACAAGCACACCCAAACACACACACAAAAACACACGTTGTACACTTGTATGGCAACCTAAAGGTGTTTTTTAGTAGGAGAGAAAATTATGGGAGAGGGGAAAGAGTCGTGTAAACGAGATGATAAGATCTCCTCCCACACCCTCATTTTTACCTCAGAAGATGAATTTCAAAGTAAACTTCGACCACACAGACGAACGAAATTCTGATGTGCGATTTAAATCAGCCATTTATACAAATCATAGAGTTGGGTGACTGACCGACCCCCCCCCCCCCTTATATAGTACTTCTGGGAATGAGTGCATTTTATCTGTCAATGTGGCGATATACATACGGATACATTTTTTTCTCAAATGTATTTACATATTTACATTTAATGGTACATTCCTGATTCAAAGACAGTAAAAATAAGAATGAAACGCTTCTTTCTTTACGTTATAGCAACAGTCTAACCAATGATTTCATTATCTTGCAGATTTTTTGACACGACCCCGATTGGACGAATCATGAACCGTTTTGCTTCTGACATGCAGAAACTCGATCAGGTATATATGCAGCATCAAAAGCAGTCTAAAAAACTGTTGTCAAGAGTAACGAATTCCTGTCTTTTTCAAACAGTGCCTATAGTATCTAAAAACATAATTTATTTTCATCTTACGATTGTTTTTTGGCAGAATGAGATTTGAAATCAAACACATTTGTTTCCTCCTTATCCACAAAACAAAACAAATATAAACTTTTTGTTTACATTAAAATACATGGCGGAAAGAACACCTTTGTAACATGTATCAAATCTTTCTATAATTTGTAATACATGAATTCTACACCAATAATGTTTATATATAAACAGACCTGAATTGTCTAAATATATATAACACATCTGTAGCTTAAACAATTAACTCATACACATCTCGTTCTTGAGATATTTTACCTTAACATCAATAAACAGACCAGTATATTGTCGTTTATTTAGTTATCAACTTTAACAAATTATACCTTCACAAATATCATGATCTCTTCTCAAATAATCAACAACTGACTTCTCGTCACGTGAACGGTTAACTCCAGACCTGTATTGTCCGCTAACTTCACCCTTGATTACATCTTTCAAAATAGTCTTTATACAATGCATGCATCAACAATACACACTCAAACACGAAATAGTCCAATTGGCGATACTTTGTGAAAGTATGACGCTTGTAATTGAGTCGCCTTACAAACGATGCATACATACATTTCGTTACAGTACAAAATATATATAAATTTCTTTCTTTGTTTCTTTCAATTTACTGTATGAAACTCTAATTCGTTATATTGCATATTTTCTATTTTTATTTATCACATTTTTATATTGTACAGTGTTTAGATGCCCGTGCAGAGAGAGCAATGAATAAAATGAAAGAATGTGTAGAAAATAAAGGAAAAGAAAAATTGCCGAATGACACGAGACGAACATATTTTCAATTTTCCTTCTCTGTTGTAGACGCAAGGACCATTCATCTTGGGTTTATTTAAGTTCTTCTTGGCGACCATGACTGGAGTGATAATTAATGCAATTATCTCCTGGTATTTCATTGTGGCTATCATCCCCATCAGCCTGGCGTACATGCTCATTATGAAAGTCTTTATTGATAGCTCAAGGTAAGTGGGAAAATTGGCATGTATAGTGGTTGTCATGTAGCAGTTTTGGAATAGGTTTGTTTATAAGCTTGGGATTGGTTTTTGTTTTTATGTTTCACTTTAAATTAGGATTTTCTTTTTATTTTGATTCTATATTTATTCGTGGGTACTAGATGTAGTAAGACGCCGAATTGGTTGACAAGAACTATTTGTAATTACCTATATATAATCGACATGAGATGCCCTCTTACCCTCACACTCACTGTCTCTAAATGCCATAAGGCTAAATGCAATATTTGTTTTGTCCACATTGCAAAGCAGGTAGTTTTAGAGGATGGAGGGGTTAGGATGGATGAGGAGGGGTTAGGAGGAGAGAGGAGGGTGGGGTAGGAAGGGAATGGAGGTTTGAGGCTCGGTTTCTTGGGCAGGGTGCAACGGGGAGGGGGTCAGGAAGAACATTTTCATTTCCATCTTCGTTTAATGTAATAACGTTTAATATAATATTTGTAACTGCTTTTTTAATTTTTGTCTTTATTAATAATGTTATCAAAATCAATGATTTTATATGTAACAGATTGTCTTTTTATGTGTTAAATTTGGGGTTTTTTTAATGAAAAATAAAACTTATTCTGAAACAAAAAAAATAAAAAAAAGCACGGGTCAATAAAATCTATTGGTGGCAGGATATACAGATAAACCCAAGTTTTGAAACTGATACTGGGTTTTAATGAATTTTACATAATGATTTAACGTTATGATCATGAAATACATGTACCTCCGATCTTCTTGTCACAGCGGTGGGTAATGATTGTATTATAAATGCATAGTGAGCATGTGTGTTGTTTGACAATATTCATGATGAAAAGGGTTCACTTTTCACCAGAGATAGAGGCATTATATGGAAAAGTGTTAGTAGTAGGTGCAGTTTTGATAGTGGTAAGTAGTATTAGTCGGTAGTAGTAGTAGTAGTAGTAGGCTAGTAGTAGTAGTAGTAGTAGTAGTAGTAGTAGTAGTGGTAGTAGTAACAGTAGTAGTAGTGGTGGTGGTAGTGTTAGTGTTAGTGGTGGTAGTAGCAGTTGTACTAGTAGTGGTGGTGGTGGTGGTCATAGTAGTAAAAGTAGTAGTTGTAGTAGTAGTAGTAGTAGTAGTAGTAGTAATAGTAGTAGTAGTAATAATACAACAATAGCTTCAATATCACCATCATATGTATATTTACAGAAGAATACAATAGGAATACTAATGCATATTATCATTATTTTTTTTCCTTTCTATGTAGACTGTACACATTAACAATGTTGACCTAACGTACGTAGGTAATTATCATAAAGACATTATCAAACTTTGAATATTTGTTTTCATATGAATAATACAGGGAAATGCAACGGTTGGTGAATATTTCCTCCTCACCCGTCTTCTCCCAGTTTACTGAGTCGCTTGGAGGTTTAGCTACTATTCGTGCCTACAGGTAATTAAGAGGCTTTTTATTGTAAATAAGGGATTTTTTTTAAAGATTTCACCAGATGTTAATATAGGCAACACAATACATACGAAACTTTCATGTCATTGTATATTTTTAAAAAAATTATGTTAAAACAAACATGCTTACTCGTCTAATGTGTTAAACTAGATGCTATTTCCTTCTCTTTCTCATTCCACTTCCCATATATAGTGCCATTCCCTTTTAATGTGTAAGGTGTAAATTGAGACGATTTTATATATATATTTTTGTACAGACTTCAGAAAAGATTCAGGCAAAATATCGTCGGTAAAATCGAGAAAAACCACGTGGCTTTCTGCTTTCTTCAAGATAGTAACCGATGGCTTGGGATCAGATTGGTATGTATCAATTCAGGGATCAAACTTTAATGATGTTGCTCATAATGCATTTGACCTTTGTGTAATCGTGGCGATAGATATATTTGAACTCCAACTTTCATTATGGTGCTCATAATGTATACTTTTGTGTAATTGTGGCGATGGATGTGACCGACGTACAAGTTTGAATTTGATATTTATTGACGGTAATAAAATGCATGTTATTAACTATAAAGATGCTCTACATGAATTCGTCATGAGTTTATAAGAACTTGAAAGAGGTGGCTCAAATACAAATGTTTCTTCTAAAGGTCGTAAATAATTTAAGCTAAAACGAGGGGGAAAGAATGATCTTTATAGCAACACAAAATTTGTTCTGTTCGTATTAACGTGCATGCGTTCGGGAAGGCAGAGAGCAATTTCAAGTAAATAACATTTAGTCTCGTGAATCACAGAATAATATAAGTTGTGTATTAAAAGTTTTACCAATTAAATCTGTATATATCCAATTAAAGAATATCTTGTGCAGAACACCTGAATGAAAAAGGATGTGTGTGTTAAACAATATAGCATCAAACTTGTATTTTGTGAGTTCTTTTTTCACTTTCCCCTCAAAAATTTCAGATTGAATTGAATGACGGTTATTGTCTTTGGCATGTATGATCCTGCTTTCATTGTTCTGAAAGTCTTGATATATAATTAATGATTGTACTGAAAGGAGGCTGCACTTTAGAAAATTGGAGGTAAATTATCTGATAATAATTACGGCATCATCTAAATGATTTGTTAGAAACGTTTTCCCTTTAACATGAATGTCTTATTAACATTATTATCATTATTATTTTGCTCTATTTGACAAAGAATTTGATAGGAACCCTGATTGTTCTAGGAGCCGGACTGACTAGTCTTCCTGCATCAACTCTTCATCCAGCTACTTTTGGCGCTAGTCTTGTTGGTTTGGCAATAACATATGCAGTACAGGTAAATACAAATTTAACATTTCGTTAACTTTTTCTGAGAACTTAATATCGCGTAGCCATGCAGGAGGAGGCTTAGTAACAATGTGATTAAGATCTCACAACGTAATTTTCACGAATTGATACGGTCGAAAAAAATAGGAGATGGTCATAATCAAAGGGAAATGAGAATAAAGTGAAAAAGAGAGAGAGAGGGGGAGAGAGAGAGAGAGAGAGAGAGAGAAACAGGGAGGGGGAGAACCATTTATCAACTTCAAGAAAACTTGTAAATATTGAATCTCGGAAATTTGCAACATCAAAATGCAAACCAGTATTTAATCAGCTTTCCAGGATTACATGATAATTGATTCTCTTCCTTAGGCTGCAAATTCCATGACATGGGTTGTTCGTAATTCAACCAGTGTCGAGTTGGGCATGAATTCCGTAGAGAGGATCAAATACTATACCAAGGTAGAGAACGAGAAATATGAAGGTAACTCATCATGCGTAATTAAGTTTGGTCATGTAGGCTAATATCTTCCTTTAAGATATACCACAATATAACTAGTCAAGAATTTGTAACTTGAATGAGGTGATGTCTATTCTAATGTTTGTAATAAAGAACGCATTTTCACGATTTTCTTTCTTTTTCTTAATTAAAAAAATTGACCCTCCGGGAATGGAACCTGGGTCGCCAAGACCAATATACCACATAGACATTGGACGTAAACGAAAAATGCGATCTCAAATCACATCTTTTAGTCAAGATAAGGCCATGATCCCAACATCTGATTAAATAATAAATGTTACTTTCCGTGCTGAGAATTTTCTCAGCTACAACAAATCCGAAGCTGGAAGAAAATCGAGCGAATTTTTTTTTGGAGATTTTGCTCAAACAAGACTGGAATGTAGAATTTCAGAAAAAGTCACCTCATATAAAGAATACACGCAAAATTGGGAAAATTGACATGCCTCCATTAATCGAAAGAATGGGCGCTGATGCCATTGTTAAAATGAGAAATAAATGTCACCTGCTGCGTACAGAATCGTATCAGGGATTGGGAGAGATATGATCAAAATTTACAGAGATACACTTAATTTCCTATAAATATGCTGACGTCATAATATGCAAATTCGTATTTGAGTTTCGTGGCGATTATAATGACGTCACGATGTACTTAATGGCCAAATAAGACATGAAATCATATCTCCGACTCATACTCTATCCAAATATGAAGAAAAAAATGAGGGTCCCAGAGCACCCTAAAGAGCTCTAATGGATTTTTGATAGGCATGTTTTTGCCCATATATGCTATGTATTACAAGAGCTCACGCGCACGGACATTTATCTTCGGAACGGACGCTCATTCCGTTATGAATGATCATAAAGAGATAAACATGGGTTCAAATGGTTCAGAAGGGTATGTAAAATACCATGAAAGAAAAAAACAATGGTGATTCTATGTTGCGTACAGCCATGATGTACGAAAACTCGAGCGTGGTCGTGTACAAAATGAATGAAATGGAATTTGAGATGATTCTGAAGAATTTTTTAATTTTGCGCAAGAACTGATGCACGGACGTACGCGTACGCACGCGTCTTACTATTTGAAATTGACCGGACGGATATTGACCTTAATCATGATAAAAATGAATGATAAAGGACATTCCGTTGAAAAAAAAATATTAACAAAATTAAAAAAATTAAAAAAATGATCATGAGTTGATTTCCAAAAAAGTTCACAAAATGGCGCCTGGATGCCGTTACGATGATCTGGCGTCCCTGAAAAGTCACGCAGTTCTAAGTTGGACTAAGATCTATCATCATTGCAAGTTTCAATTGCTTTATCCTTTCTTGAGATATCCTGCGAACAATTTATGGCAGAATAATAATAAATTATATATATATATATATATATATATATATTAATTATAATAAAAATCCTAACGAAATCAAAAGGTGATACGTATAATAAATAACTTAAAATCTTGACGAAATCAAAAGGTGATACGTATTATCTAATTATCGATTAATCTAAAACAGACTAGTGCCTGACAAACAATTACACAACGCTGATCAATGTGAAATGTTAATACGTTCATAAAAATTGTATCCATACATAATGATTCTAGATCTGACATTGTAGCTAGTGTGTAAATCTGGAATGAATATTCACCGGTTCAAAGACATAAACTTTGTAAAAGTGTGTAAACTGTCTTAATCTGATTTGATGATACACAAAGTTTGAACCAAAGTGTTATTCTTTTCATTCCAAACTCAGCTTCTGCCATATCCCTGAGAAAGCTTGTAATGAATTGTGTTTAAAAACAAAAAGATGGTGTAAGTGTATACAAGCGCACATGATAGGAAGACTTGTTGACAAGTTTTTGGATCAGCAAACTTTATCATTGATTTATTTTAAAACAGGGTCTGTGACTCCAAGCCGTAATTGGCCAGAGATGGGCCATGTAATATACAATCGAGTACATGCTAGGTATGCGGCTACCCTACCTGCTATCCTTCATTATGTTAGCATTGATTTCAAACCAGGCATGAAGGTAATCTATTCTATATCCATCCCATCATTCTTGTATTCTATTAAATTTCATCTCCACAGCAAAACTCATTCATTGGTGTATAATATCGATGACAATATCCAATTAGGTGAATGTCGAAATCACTTTTGATGAATGCCATTTCTGAAATCAGGAGTAATACAAGAGTGAAATAATATTTTGGTAGATGATATCCGTAATTTAAAATGCCTGACCTCTAAAGAGTGACCAAAGTTATATTTAATTTATTTGGAAAATAAGACATCCTCTCTTCCAATTATATTTCGTCTGAAATGGTCAAATTAGCACCTTTTATTACTCTTACTGTTATTCTAGAAAAAATAAAGCGCTTCAAATTTTAAGAAGTTATATTCAGAATATCTTATGTGATTTATATATATTTCATATGATTTGTATTAGACGAAACCAGGCTCCAATTATTTGATGTAGATTAATCATTTTCTAACTCCATAGGTTGCTGGGTGGTATGATAAATCAGTTTGTCTGACCAAAAATGATAATTTGACTTTGACAATTCTTGTAACTTTCCTTTTGATAGGCGAATTCTTACAATATTTGCGAGATCTAATTCTCTTTGTTCTTAAAATATACCAAGTATTGGCATTTATCACTTACTTGTATAGGTTGGTATTTGTGGCCGAACAGGGAGTGGGAAGTCTTCGCTGACACTGACACTTTTCCGCATCATCGATACATTTAAAGGTATGTTCCCTATATAGTCTTATATTAATAAAGAATGAGCGAAGTAATAGAAAAACATATAAATAATGTGACTGTGACCCATAAAATGACGCTCTCGTTCTTCTTAAAACGTTTATATTTCACATTTGTTTACATTATCCTTTATAGGCATATCTAAAACATCAATATATTGTACTCAATTGTTATCGCCTGATTGATGCATTTGATATCAACCAGTAAATATGCCCACATGAATGTACACGTTATATGATAGACCTACTACGAAGTAGGTCCATGCAGGGGCGTCGCTAAAAGGAGAGGGGTGTCGGGGTGCGACATCCCCCTCCCACCTATCAGGATTTTGTCAGTTAACGTGCGCTTCCCGTCGGAAAATGAGAAAGGGCAGAGGAAATAAATAAGAGGGAAAGAAAAAAGAAACGAAAAAAGGGAAAGGAAAAGAAAGAAAAAAAGGAAAGGAAAGGAAAAGAAAGAGAAAAGAAGAAAGAAAGAGAAAAAAACATCCCCCACTGAAAAAGGTCTATATATAGCGATGCACCTGGGTGGCTGGGTGCCTGAGTCCATGGTTATATCCAAAAACCAAGATCAAATAGCCGTGGTAATGTTTAGTGTTGAAATTTCTCCGTTATCTGTATTTGTAGCCTGCAGGTTGAGGACGGTAAATTGAATAATCATGACTGTGACGATTTACCAAAACATCTATGAGTGTATTTTGAGGATGTTGATGTTTGTCCTCATATTCCATTTTGAACCAGCTCTGAGGATGTGCTCTGAGGATTTGCTTAATATTTGATATTTTGCAGAATTGCATTACTCTCCATGTTATTGTGTTTGTAAAATAGACGCTTTGCTGATCACTATAGAGGAGATGGTTTATCCTAAACTTTACAGGAAACCATAGTATATCCAGAAGTAGTAAACGCTTCCCATAGCTTTGGATAACAAAACTTGTTTGCAGTCCCATCTATTCAGTCTGTTGTGTACAACCATGAACTTAATAGAACCATGCATCGAAATCTCAGAATGCATAACAACAAGAAGAAAAATATGCCAGGAAAATTTCTACCTACACCACAAGGCCAGGAGCCATCAAAGAGGCAGCCTTTTATTGCCCATTTGGGCATTGACGAGGCGGTACAAGAAGCGAGGGGCATGACAGCTGATCTGGGGGCAGCATCAACACACAGCTCAATCATGGGCTGTCTGATCTGAGCAGCTAAGCGAGAGTATGGCTGGAGACAGTCAAATCTCACAAATCATTTCCAAGGCCGTGGATGCAGCTATCAAAGCTGCATTGCCACAGATCATTAATGCTGTGAAGGAGGCATGTTTCTCTACTATTAAAGCAAATTTGAACCCTCATCTCCTGCGAATCCAATTCAAGCAGGATGAGATGCAGCAAGAGATGAGGAGGGATAACCTCCGCCTAACTGGTCTGCCAGAATCTCAGGAGGAGGAGACTGAGGATCAGCTGATCAACAGTGTGAAAGCAGTTGCAAAGGAGGCTGGAGTGGATATCCGTTCGGAGGACATTTCAGCGTGCCATCGCCTTGGAAAAAAGAGAGAAGGAGGAAAGAGCAGGCAAACCGTTGTGCGATTTCAATCTAAAAGGAAAGGAGACAATGAAAGGTGTATTTATAAATGAAGACCTGAGTGCAATGTGCCATGCACTACTGATGAGGGCGAAGGTTGCACCAAATGTAAAATCCGCCACAAGCAGGTATGGGAACATTTCCTGCAAAATGAGCAATGGAGAGAGCAAGGTTGTCAAGAGCCCAGATGATCTTTTTGATCTGGGTCTGGATGACATTGACTACGGAGACTTCAAGCTCCACTTCCTAGCCTAGGCTAAATATACTCTTTATACATTTAAACTGAGTTCTTTATTATATTTTAATAATGATAGATATTAATAATGATGAAGAATATACATTTGATGTATCCTCATACAATACTAGTCCAAGTGACTTTGACGGTACATTGCAAAATGTATTTGAAAATTCATTTAGTATCACTCATGTAAATATTAGATCATTAAATAAAAACATTAATGAATTGCACCTACTGTATGATCATTCTATAAAGCACAAATTTGATATTATTGCCCTTTCAGAAGTTTGGAATGTTACTAGTGTAGACACATTCCCATTAACAGATTATGTTTTGGAGGTTAACTGCCGCCAGGGGAATGAGAGAGGAGGTGGAGTAGGAGCATACATTCACAAACAAGTGAATTATGAAATACTTGATTTTAACATTGCTCATGCAGAAAGCTTGTGGTTAAAAGTGTCTAAGAATAATATTGATAACTTTGTGATAGGTGTGATTTATAGGAAACCAAATACGAACATTGATGAGTTTCTAAATGGCTTACTTGGTGTATTAGAAAACATAAATATTGGTAGAGCAAATGTAGTTTTAATAGGTGATTACAATATTGATCTTTTACTAACAGGTACGCCAAAGATATCTGATTTTTTGAGCGCAATAGAATCTACAGGAATGCAACAGATAATTTCGTCGCCAACCATGATGACAAATTTGACTTCGTCTCTCATTGATCATGTGTATACTAATGTGCATAATTACGCCATTCATTCAGGCGTTATTGAAACTGATGTTTCGGATCATTTTCCAATTTTTGTGATTTTTAAAGGTCAAAATGGTTCAGGAAAGAGCTCTTATGTGAAGAAGGTTACTCGATCATATAGAAAGTACAACGTCTGTCTATTTCAAGAAGATCTGTCAAAACTGAATTGGCAGTATATATATAGATATGGAAATGTGAATGTAGCTTATGAGAATTTTTATGATATGTTTGTAAATGCATGTGATAAACATGCACCTAATGTGACATTCAGCAGTTCAAAGAAAATATCTACACCAAAAAAGCCTTGGATATCAACAGGTATTGTAAAATCTATCAGGAAGAAGCATAGTCTGTATAAAAAATATAGGTCATCAAATTTTAATGAAGAGTATGGAAATGAATACAAGAAATATAGAAATATGTTAGTAACTATTATAAAGAATGCTAAAAGAATGTATTATAGTGAGTCCTTTAGCGAAAATAGAAATAATATGAGGAAGACCTGGGGAATTATTAAAGAGTTAATTAGTAGAAATGATAAAAATAAGAAAACAAAGATTGAACAGTTACTTATTTGTGATGAGGGAACAAATAAAGTTGTGTCTTCAGATGAGGGCATAGCTAATGAACTTAATAATTATTTTGTTTCTATTGGATCAACATTAGCAAAGAAGATTCCAACTGTTAATCTTAATTTCGAAAACTATTTAGCTAGAAGAAATGAAAAATCCTTCTTTTGGAAACCCATAAAAGAAACAGAATTTTTTGATAATCTAAATGCTCTCGATGCTAAGAAATCCCATGGATATGACAAATTGCCAGTAAGATTAATTAAGGATGCGATACCCTATATTGTTGCGCCACTGACGTACATATTCAATTTGTCATTAGAAAAGGGAGAGTTCCCAGATGCATTGAAGACGGCAAAAGTGACTCCTTTATACAAAAAGGACCAAAGACCGACCCTGGAAATTACAGGCCCATTTCTGTTCTACCAGTCATTGCAAAGGTCTTTGAGAAATTAGCTAATGGTCGTCTAATGAATTTCTTAGAATCTAACAAGATTTTGTATGAACATCAGTACGGTTTTCGCAAGCGATATAGTACAAAGTTATCATTAATAAATCTTGAAGATACACTTACAAAATCAATGGATAAAGGTAAACCAACGCTAGGTATTTTTATAGATTTTAAGAAAGCATTCGATACTATTGATCACGAAATCCTATAAGGAAAGTTAAAAAATTACAGTATACGAGGCATAGTATTGCAATGGTTTCAAAGTTACCTTTCAAATCGATCGCAAGTCTTATGCTACAAGGAAATAATATCAAGTAGGAGAAGGATAACATATGGTGTCCCTCAAGGTTCAGTCCTCGGGCCCACTTTGTTTTTATTATATATTAATGATTTACCATCTTTTACTAATTATTTTGAATTTAGATTATTTGCTGATGATTCAAACCTATTTCATACTTTTGATAAAAGACAGAAGGAAATAGATATGAATGAAGTAAATGTCAAAATTTTTGGAAGTCCAAAAATGGTGTTTTGTTAACAAGTTCACAATAAACTTAAAGAAAACAAATTATATGCTCATTAAGGGACAATTGCAATCATGTGAAATTAGGGGTATTTTAAAACTCAGTGATACAGTGATAGATAGAGTCAGTGTAGCATCTTTCGTAGGAATTCAAATTGATGAAACTTTGATGTGAAAAAGAGCAAATTCAGAACGTTGATAAGTGTATACGGAGGAAGATTGGACTGCTGTGTAAGTTGAGGTACTATGTGCCTAAGCACATTCTCATGCTCTTGTATAAATCCTTTATCCAGCCGCACATACTTTATGGTATTGAAGTTTGGGGAAGTTGCTATAAAAGTCATTTAAATTGCATACTATTGGCACAGAAAATGGCCATGCGTGTGATAACATTTTCCCCATTTATAACAAGTTCAAAGGCACTGTTCGTAGTCTACAGGTATTAGATGTGCATAATCTGTTCGAGCATTCAGTATCGACATTTGAATATGATCTGCAGAAAGGACATCTACCACATTCGTTCATGGATTACTTTGTTTTAATGAATCACATGTATAGAACAAGAGGGAGAGAACATTTAATGCTACGATTACCTAAATTTAGTAAGACACGTGGGACTTTTTCAATTTCTTTCATTGGAGCAAAGCTGTGGAATAATTTGCCCATAAATATCAGAGAAGAAAAAACAAGATCATCATTTCGTCAAAATCTCAGAATTAAACTCCTAAGCAGAGATGAATTATAAGGATCAAATAATATGATATTAAGACAAAATAAGTGTTAATATGACTTTGCATACAGTTTTAGAAACTCGGAGAACCAATCCCGACTAGCACTCGTGCTAACTTTTGGTTCTCCCTTTAACAACATTTTAAGTTTTTAAGTTTAGAAATATCCTTTATTTGAATCACTTATACGTTATTGGAACTCTGTGAATTTCAATTCCAGCCACAAATCTCTACGTATTATTAAGTTATAGCTAATTCACAGGTTTTGATATGACATGATATATGATTAACTTAATTTTGTATGGTTCAACTATGGATATTTTCTTTTTCTTTGAAACCCATGTACATGGATATGTATACGACATGTTATTTTTGTTACCCACTTGAATACATTGTGTAACATTGTGTTATGTTGTTTTTGTTGTTAATAAATTCAAATTCAAAAAGAAGAAAAAAATTATATGTTGATTATGATGTTTATTAATCTCCAGGATCTATTCACATCGATGGGATCGATATCGGGAAGCTGTCTCTCGTCGATTTGCGAAGTCGTCTTGCCATCATACCTCAAGACCCTTTCATGTTCACAGGAACAGTTAGGTCAGTTGATATATTCACAGATCAAATTTCGTAGTCAGTATAACATATCTCTTTGTAGACAAAAATCAGGTTTGACAATCATGTATCAATATCATATATTAAAGTTTCATTTTAACTTCACTTTCAGGTCATGTCATCATAATAAAATGGATTCTCCACTCACATCCACGAGACCAATACCAGACCAACAGATAACCGAAACAAATAACATGTTATCCGGAATGGCTAAGAATCAGTCGGTTTGGAGTCGGTTTGGAGTCGGTTTGTTAGTGTGACTGAGATATAAGTAGCTCGTTATTCAGTTGCACTTTTCCACAATGTACCAAGTATTATACCGTGGCGCACTCCATGGCCTGCAATGGTATTCATCAGAATTAAAAACTCGATTCAATAATCATCCCACCACCAAAAAAAAAATGAATTCCTGAAGTTCCATCCATTCTTACGGCCTTTATTCTCTTGATCATTCTTCTATCTGACTAATGAAGATTCAACTTGGACCCTGAGGAAAGGCGATCAGATGCTGAGATATGGGAAGCATTGGAAGTTGCCCAACTCAAGGAGCTTGTGAGAGATCTTCCAAACAATCTCGGTAGGTTCATTTTCTTCTTACAAAATTATAAATGATCAAGGTGCATTAACTTTAATTCGATTTTGAAAAGTATCAAAAAATGAAATAAAAAACCAACATTTCCTCTGTATACAGGAAGTGATTTGAAATTATGAGCTACATTTTATGAAACATGGCTTTTATGAAAGGATGTCTACAATAGTTTGCATGTGATTATTTTGCTACAACTAACATGTTTTTTTATTTTGCCTTTTGCTAAACTGGGAATTCAAATCTCTAGACTCGATGGTACACGAAGGAGGAGATAACTTCAGTGTGGGTGAAAGACAACTCTTCTGCCTTGCTCGGGCTATACTAAAAAAAACTCGCATTTTGATAATGGATGAAGCAACGGCCTCCATTGATGTCCACACGGTAAATTTATTTGTTTTATTAATTCCCCGCAGTCCACTTTTACGTTTTCTTGATGTTGCCATCGTTATGACTTTCCATTAGACATTATTTTTCTCTTTCTTTTTTAATCAACTTATCTTGCTAACCTTAATGATTTCCTTCGTGTTAAACATTTTCTATATTCCAAAGGGATAATGTTCTATGAAAAGGCATTACATCTTTATTTACGTTATAAGTGCCTATTCTTCAATCCATTTAATATATGTTGTGTTTTGCTTTGACAGTAGAAACAATTCAATGTTTATTCCATATTTATTCACAGGATGCTATTCTACAGGAAGTCGTCGCAACTGCTTTCCATAAGGAAACCGTCATCACGATTGCGGTAAGTTTTTAAAAATCAAAAGATCTGTAACACAAGTATCTTTATTCAACGATATTCGTCGACGATCATAATTAATTAATTTGAGACTTTTATTCTAAAACCTGTTCTATAACATTACTCATCGGTTTATAATTTAAATAACATATCTATGTACATCATCAATAAATGGACTCCCAATTGGTGACGTCTCACCTTTAGTGACAAAGAAAGAAATTTTAATAGAAGAAGAGAAAGATGAAGAAAAGGACAAAAAGAAGAAGAAGAAGAAGATGTAGTAAGAAAAAAAGAAAAAGATTAAGGAGGAGAAAAAGAAGAAGAAGGAGGAGAAGGAAAAGGAGGAGGAGAAGATGGAGTAGAAGAAGAAGGAGAGGAAGAAGCTGAAGAAGAAGAAGCTGAAGAAGAAGAGGGGGAAGAAGAAGGAGGAGGAGGAGAAGAATACGAAAATGAAGAGAAAAAGAAAAAGATAAAGAAAATTAGGAGAAGTATGGGGTAGCTGGAAGGAGAAGAAAAAAATATACAGAAAAGAAAGGGAAAAAAAAGAACAGTATAGGGTAGAAATGTTTTTTTTTTTAAAATCTTTAACGTCTACTTTGTTATTCAATGTACGTTAACCAGGTTATATGTCTCTTTTGTAAATTGTATAACAGCATCGTGTGTCAACTATCCTGGATTCAGATCAGATTGTTGTACTCTCCGAAGGACACGTCGCAGAGGTGGGAACACCAGGATCTCTGCTGAAGAAAAAAACTAGTATCTTCGCTTCTCTTGTCAGGAATAAGCTTTAACTAAACAAAGTTTCCATCAGCTTGATTACGATTATGTCACTTCCAATTGTTCACATTATTGGAATTTAAGAATGTCATTTTTAACAGTGCAATCGGATATGCATGGTGTTGAAATGATTTTTTTTTTTTTTTTAATATTTCATGCGGCTGTGGTCGGGTGAGAACAAGTGGTAAATAAAAAGGGCTGTTGGTATATTAATCAATATATTTTAGATTTAAAGAGCGCACTCGTTGTGGGCACAAGCACAATTTAAGTGTTAAAGATACTATGTCCCTTTTGCAGGCAGCCAACATCAAATTCTGTAGAACTTTGCAAGACTTATGAATATGTCATGTATGTCCTATCTGTGAAATTTAAACGTTAGCAGTGTCCTAATATTCAAATTATGCAAGGAAATCCGTTAACTTGCTAGACTTCACTGTCAGACACTAACTGATTGAATCTTTGCGCAGCATAAAACGTACGACTATTCAGTACAATGGTCTGAAAATCAGAAAATTACTTACTGGCTCTATAGCTCTTAAGTCGATTCGACAACTAATAGTCGCTATTTTCCCACTTAAAGACATTTTCAAGCCCCCCCCCCCTTTTTTTTTTAAGGGAAGTTCCAAATTAGTATTTTCTTTCAAATGCCGTTGGAATTTAACCTTTCCACTTTGTTGGCCTGCAAATGGGACATAGTACCTTTAAAGGTCTTGTGAATGTGGTATCTTTATATTACCTCCTTTGATTTAATGTATGTGGCCAAACAAAATGATGTAAATGTTACGAGGTTCTCGCGTTTTCTTATATGATGAATGAAGAGCCCTTCTATTATGATGTATCTAATTGGGTTTATAACTCATTCATCTATGAGCATAATGTTTCCTTTATGGCGCTCATAATTCGGCGCCCCTATATAACCTGGATTTGTTAAAGCTATACAGACTGCAATGCATTAGGAATTTCTTCTGACAAGGTAACCATGTACTTTTGATAGGATGATGAAAGCTTTTGTGATAGTAATTACTTTAATTATGCCGTCACGGTGACCCTTATTGTTGGAATACTCCTCAGGGAATGAAGATGATGCAGATTGTGTGTATGAATGGATCCGATGACCTAGAAAATAATAGCATCTGTAAAGCGCTTACGGAGACAATTTTTCGGATTAAGCGGTGTATGAATCCAGGTTTATTATTATTATTATTATTATCAGTATTGTACTTCACCTGGTTCGTGAGTAGAATGACATATTGAATGTATTAACTAAATAATTGTAATGCTCATGCCATTGGTGTAAGAAAATAATATGAAACGAATTTACAACGCATTTCAAATTCATGAGGAAATGAACAGATTGGGAAAAAGCGATAAATATGTTATATTAATTTAATTGTTATATGTGATGCAATAAATAATGTATGTTTCTATACAGTTTCTATATCATTATACAATGTCACACTTCAACAAAAATATTCATGTGTTTTAAATGTGTAGCTTAACATGGAAATATGCCATACATACCTGTATCATGATAGCCTTTCAAACTGTAAATCTATACAAACTGCATCGATGTGATTTATTTGTAATTAACATTTTCCAAAATTATTTCGTGTTTATTATGATAAAATTTACGATAACGTTCAACTTGTGAAGGGAATAAATATGAATGAATTACTATAAGACAAGTCAAGTATGCAATCTACGAACTGTTGAGGAGAGGAGACTAGCACTTTGTAGAAAATTCGCAAAATCCCTTTCAAATCACTCTATTTGCCAGACCTGGTTACCTCAGAAGAAAAAAACACTTATATATCTCTTCGCCGTATTCCCACTTATCAACAATTTCAAGTTCAAAAACAAAAAGGTCTAAAAAAAAATAGCCCACTGTCATAATTAGTTGATTTACTCAACAAAAGTTGACAAACTTGTTTTATTTTTTTACTTTTATCGTTATTGCAGGTATACTCAGTGCTTGTCTCCTCCCCCAAGTCGGCTGTTTAAAATGTACCTATTTTAATCTGTTTACCATGTTTGTATTGACTTTTATGGGAAATTTGTTTTAGATAATAACAGCTCATGTTTTTGTTGTATTTCTGGAAACTTTTGCAATGTGTTTATGGTTTTTAGTTACAGAATTAAGTCCTTTTTTTATATTCCTAGTTTTTTAGTTATGTATCTTTAAAAGTGTTATATATTGTGCCTAACATGTGAACATGAATATTCCAGCCATGGCTGTCCTTGATGTAAAATTGTATTTGTATGAACCATGTTTGTGCTTTAATGAAAAACATTTTTTTAATGAATTGAATTTTTAAAAAATCTATGCCACCAATGCTTATTCGAAAAAAGTGAGTACAGATACAATTTATAGTACAATTATTTCTACCTCCTTGATTTTTTTTAAAACTAAAGAATGAAAGGTCGACTAGTTGAATGAGGGTTTTAATTGAATACTTTAATATGTAATTTATAATATGTCACATTCTCAAGAAACATAATCGGGACTAATCTATTTTTTCACATACCTACAAAATTAAAAAAGTTGGTAAGGGTATGAATAATGTAGTTGTTAACGGTATATATCATAATGTCTTATTTAGTTTATCGCCGACCTCTCAAATACAAAGGAATAACTGCTCTCCTTAAAATGACGAGTAAGTTTGGGGGACATTTATCTCCACTGTGCCTATACAAAATGAATCCAGTCTTGAGCAATAGTTTCCTACTCACTTCACTCGCATTTGATATTATAGAAGAACTTATCATTAAGGAATATATATGGGACAAGGATGATTAAAACTTACAAATCACTTAATGTGTTGAGATTCTTCTTAGGTAACCACAACTTTTACTTAATGATTGTCAAACTGACATTCCAAATGGTAGCCAGTAAAACGTAAACGCATGAACATAGAATATTGTGTATTAAAAAGAAATTATACAAGCAAATATATTCAGTTTCTTTTTCATAAAAAGATTCCCTTAAACTGGGTTCCGACAACATTATCTTTGATGATGATGCTCCTTTATTAAGTGGATCTTCTTGATCTTGGTCTATCTCTTTCCCTCTGATGTTGTTGAATTTGTTGAAACAAAGAAACGACGCACAAGATGCATGATAACTGAATCGATAAGGAGGAGGAAAGAGATAAATCATTAATCATTATGACCATGAAAAGCTATCTGTATCAACTGTATAAGTTTTTTTTTAAAGTAAATAGTCACTGGTGTCAATTTTCATTTTCATGTGTCAGCTGTCATCTGTTATTACGATGAAATGTGATAAGTTACAATGATGGACGGAAATTTGCTCAGAGCATTTTTTCATTGCGAAATAAAGAGTTATAACTGGGTTTACGTTAGTTTTATGGTTGAGGTTAGCAAATTGGGATTTGGGTTAGGGTGTTGAAGTTAAGGGTTTGGGCAGGAAGTATAGGAGTTTTTCTGAGGAGCAGTAATTGTAACCGCTTCATGTGTGTCAGTCGAGAAAAAATGTTTCCGGCCAATGCGAAACATCTTTGGATTTCAGTATGTTAAGATGAAAAATTCATATTATGTCTTGACAACAAAACAAGAAACGATCGGTTCCTAAGATACTTACATCAACCAGTGTAGATGTGATATGAAATGCTAGCGGCAGGACTAGCGATATCCCCATTATGGACATCTGAAGCTGTGTTAATTAAGCAAACAATACATATAGAATGACATTGTTTGATATCATATCAATGACAATTTTGACTGGAATTTGCTTTGGTCAAGTTTAGATCAAATTTGGAAAGTGTAAGAAGGAAAAATGGACGTAACCGAAAGTGAGGGGCGACGTGTTATCACCTTTATACCATATCAGGAATTTACTTATGTACCATATTGGTGCTCACGATTGAAAACTCCTACAAAGTTGTATCTGGAGTGACGAGCAACTGTATATTATTTTAACTTAATCTGTCGCAATTTAATGTTATGTTACTTTCCTCATGAATTTCCTGCCAATTTAGTTACGTACCTCCCTTTTTTTGGTGGAATTATATATATTCTAGAAATTTTTCTACAACAAAAAGATGATATGAAAGTGTTTGTGTTTCATTTTGATCCTTGATATCGTGGCGTAAGAAATACGACAATGTGCGGTATACTCACCATAGCGCCAAAAACCTCTACAATGGTGATAAAATGTAACACAACCAGACAACACAGGACAATCAAGAAGGGAAGTACTAGAAATCGGTACCGCTGGAATGGAAAAGAAGACACATTTTGAGTGAATTTACGCTATATATCTATAAAACATACAGACATGTATATTCATAAATAATGTAGAACATCATTAATCAAACATCAATCTTAGAAAATAATAAATTTAATAATTAGATATGCCTATGTTACTGGTGTTCTTTGTAATTAAATTATGTAGTGATGACATTTCTAACTATATTTTTCAGTCAGAGTGAACAAGCACATGACATTTTTTTTTTTTTATGTCAATGTGTTGTTGAGATTTTGCGTATCTATACGTTATGATTGTCCTGGAATATCCGTTCAGTAAGAGTAATAATACTTACCCTACATGCAGCAAACACCAGCATGACTGAAGCAATCAGGTATATGATGAAAAATATTAGAGCAAATATCCTGCCATAAAATTCCGTTTTGTCTTGGTCTTCGATTTCACTTATTATATCCCCTGTATGTAAATAGAAATTAAGTAATTAAGCACAGACAGTAAATGCAATGTAATTGAATACTCTGTATCTTCTCATGTCTAAATTAATGACATAAATGTCTAGAACTTTGAATTTGTGCAAAATAGTGCGATCATTGAAGACATCAATACATTTTCTCATTTTTACGATTTACCAAGACATTTCAGATGCAATAGATTTTCTTCCTTATGTTTTCTAGTAATTGGTCATTCATTCTTAAACATCACAAGTTTCTATGCTTGTATTAAAAAACATATAGTTTCCTGTCTCATTTCTTTTAGATCCAATATAATTCCGCTTTGATTCACACATAATTATATATAATTATGCTGGGAATAATTCATTTAAAATAATTTATCTATCATACTGCATTATCATGACACATATATTAAATTTCGACCAAAATATTCAAGTGAACTTTTATTTCTATTTTGCATAGCTATGAACAATTCGTTTCCAAAGCTTTCTACTTCTATGAAAGTGTGTTTTACATTTTTAATGAATATGTACGTTTAACGATTTTAATAATACTCTATTCTATTTTGTTGATTCCATGAATATATCAAAGATGATATATATTGTGTGTCATAAGCTTTAGTAAGAATATTATATTATGCAATACATTCATTGTTAAACATGTTATTTTAAAGTTGTGAATATTTACCCAGTCACGGTATGGAATACTACAGACCATTCTCAAAGCACTTCAAACAATATATTTGTCGTAAGTAATTGTAAATGAATATCAAATAGGCCAATGGGGCACTGGGCCATTTCTAAACTTCTATCAAGGGTTGTTGTGTTCTTTGTTTGTATGTGGATTTAATGATTATTGTTTTATTTTTGTTTACATTTTTTTTATTTTACGGTAAAAGAATTGATGGTTTAGGATTATATGTATCATGGATCTTTTATTCCCATTAAAATCACGAGAGGGATAACTATTACGGTTGCCTCTATAAAGTCGTCTTTATTTAGTTTTTGTAATACATAAACTTACCTATTTTATAAAACTGCTTGACCACAAAATGTGGTTCTATTTTGCCTCTGAGATCTGCAGGAATGTAACATACAAGTAAAGGAAAAGAAACAATTCAAATCGTTTACATATTTAAAAAGACACATATTTTATGACAAGACAAGGAATTTTTTGCTCTGTTACCCAACGATTTCTGTAGGAGCTACTGCACATTACCCCTCTACTGTCGCATATCAAAGTTTGTTTATTTTGAATTGAATTGAATTTATCAAACCATATACATGTACATGCAAAAGCAAAATATACAATTGAAAATAGAATACATAAAACCAGGGGCGCCGATAATAATGGTAATAATAATTTTACACTTATATTGCGCACAACTCTGCCGCAAAATAGGCACCCTTGGCGCACAGATCTACAAATCATACAAATTACAAGAATTTGGTCACTAATCAAAATTCAACAGAACTGAGATATTACAAAATTAAAAGGCGACAAATGGTCAACATAATCTACAGATATACTACTAACTCAGATAATAATCCTAACATTAACAGTACGCCCTATTCATCAACAAGGTCTTTAACTTTTATTGAAAGGTTATAATTTATTAGCTCAACTTCATATCCAAGGGTAGGATAGGGAAGCAAATTGCATATAAATAGGGCCCCCACAAAAAACAAATTAAATTAAATATATTTCAGTCACCATACCCCTACATGCGCACATAATAAACTACTACATACACACATACCGAAACGAAATACTGTATTGTTACAAATTCTAAAGTATTTGCGACAAAGGCATTTTTAATACAGGATAAAGTTGCACTTAATTTTATCCACGCCAGCTATTTTGATTTAATCCAACCTTACCAGAAAAAGATAAATTTTTGGTGTCATTCGATAGACAATTCATTAATATTGATAAAAGGTCTGTATTTTGGGGGAATAGTTCAGCAATTCAAGTTCATAACATATTATTAAATTGAAAATAAATACGTGAATTGATGATTAACGTCACTGTTATGTCACCACGTCATTAAAACTTATCATCATTAAAACTTACCCCATACAGAATAGGCCTTAAACAGCAGGGCTGTGTGTGCTATGATGATGATGGAGTAGAGCTGTATTAAATGTGAAAATAGCAAATTCCATCAGGTCATTCATTTTAAAGAATACACAAATATGATTACATAAGAATAGCAGGTATTACTACAGTTCTCATTTGTAAGCCAGCGAATTTTGATAAATTCTAACATTAATTTTGTTTTCTTTTTATTCATCCCCCCTTCACATTTGGGACAGTGTGAAATATCTGTTTTTGTTTATTCTACCAACTAGCTTTACCCTATTGTCAATCGACTTATCAGATCATCATGATGATATTATTTGAGTGACCAGTCAATGACCAAGCAATGAGCAATATTTTCCCGGGAGACACTCACAATTATATGTCACTTTTAATCAAGTCTGGTGCATTTTACCATGGACCTACTACGAAGTAGGTCAATGATTTGACGAAACACGTCTATATATAGCTCTTATAGCAGCGTTACGTCCGAACAGTTTGAATGACAATGAGGGACTGGTGGGAGATATGAAACATTATGATTAGGTAATATTACGTTTAAAGTGATGGTATGAAATATAAATATTTAAAGGTAGAAAATATCAATATCCACGGCATAATCCACCCCTTTTTATGAAAAACATAAGTTTGGAATTTTTTTTTTTTTATTATTAATCTAGAGGATTTTTTTTCTTGTGGAGTTTCCCCAATAATGTGGTATGTATTTTCAATGTTTATAGATGAATTTAATATTTTGTTGATACACTTTGATACAGAAAAGATGTTCTTGTAGCAATCAAATGATACTTTTACGAAATTAAGTAGTCTCTTTTACCAAACATTCTCTCGTTTCTCTGTATTGAAATTTATCGATAGTCTTGTCAGTTGAAAATATGAATACGGCAAAGACAAGGTAACTTTTGGTTTTGACATGAAGTCCTCATACGATAGCACATGACAAAAGCAATTGTGTTGAACAAAATTCACCATCAAACTTAAACCGGAGCAGAAAGAATACCTATATATCTATATCCCTCATCGGCCTTAGGGCTGGATGTATCATAGCATGCATACGATATTACATCGCCTATTAAAGGTACTATGTCCCATTGGCAGGCCCAAGAAATGAAAAGGTTAAATTCCAACGGCATTTGAAAGACGATACTATAAATTTAGAACTTCCCTTTAAACGAAAGGGCTTGAAAATGGCTTTTAGTGGGTAAATAACGACCATTAGTTGTCGAATCGACTCAAGTGATTGCAATTGCCTAAGTAATAGTCTGATTTTCAGACCCTTTCAATTTTGGCCGTTACAGGTAATGGGTTATTGATGTAGACAAATGCTGATGTACCTGTTACAGTTTATGTTATGTATGTTGTTACCAAACAAAAAAAATATGTTAATCAGTCACTCAATAGTGTCTGACAGTAAAGTCTAGAAGGTAAACGGGTTTCCTTGTATAATTTGAATACTAGGATACTACTAATGTTTAAATTTCACAGATAGGACATACATGACATATTTATAATTCCTGCAAAGTTCTACAGAATTTGATGTTGGCTACAAAAGGGACATAGCTTCTTTAAAGGATAGCAGGAGTTTTTTTTGGGGGGGGGTTATTGGATATTGATCCTACAAATTAGGTAATTAACCCCTCACACATAATCATAAATATATATTTTAAACATTAATAAACGTACTAACATATTACAAGCATTTTTGATAATCATAATATGCTTGTTATGCTAAACGCTGTTTTATTTTTTATTTCGGCCTACATACCGGTAACATTTGATGCCGTAATGTTTCCATTTCTACAGAACATTGCTCTGATAATTGTGTTTGATAAGATCCCAATAAAATGTACATGTTTGATGTGCACCAGCATCTTTCGTATGGTTTTATTTGCCACTTTGGGAACTGTTTCAGTAGTTCCCTTTTGCGATATATATGCTTTCAACACACTAACACTATATACATGTACAACCTTTGTAATAAATCAACATCTGTAAAACATCGGATGATGCTCGTAATCATTTCACTTGTCATCGCTTGAGGCATCCCTGACAGGATGACACGATGAGATTTCGTTTAACTATCAGCTAGTGAATAGCTAAATGCCAATCTATTATACACACTTTGTTTTGAATAGTCGGATTAGATGATGTCATCTCGAAAACCGAATGGTTAAGTCACTGATCATGAGCAACCGAATTGTTATTATAAGACGAGGCACTAATTAAATACCAAACTTAAGCAGTGGTATAGTCAAATGGTGGGCAGGTCAACCTTAAAGATATATATAGCAGAAAGGAAATCGTATGTACAGCAAGGTAGTGATATGCATGTTTATTATACTTTTTGTTCGAGGAAATATTTACTTCACACACAAGAATGTATATGAAAGGGGTTGCGTGCCCCCCCCCCCCCCCCCCCCATTGAAAAAAAGGTGAGAAAGGAGGGAAAAGGGACAGAGATAAAGAGCAGAGAATGGAAAAGAAACGTCAAAATGAGAAAATAATAGGATGCCTCTATTACACTATCTTCCTGGTCGATGTCCTTGTTTAGTAGCATTTCATCCGTCTGGTATTTGTAGCCCCCCCCCTCCAATAATGAAGGTACCCCTAAGCGGCTAGACGTATCTTATTTGTATGATTCTATGATTTTATTTCTGCGTTCACTAACGCAATATAAAATAAAAAATATTACAGAAAAATATATAAACACAGCTTCAGATATTAATAAATTCCTTTTAAAAACATGAATAAAATACACTTTTCGCAAATTAACATTTTACAATTAACAGAAAATGTAAACGTGGGAGATCTCCATCATGAGCGATGGCGTATGCTACGCCATCGCCTTTAGGATCATTCTGATGACACAAAAAAGTAATATCTTTCATCTCACTCTCGCGTATTGTATCCAGATTTTGGCTTTAGGGAGGGAGGTGGGGGAGGGGGGACAGGGTATCCGGGATCATTGCACTATTGGTGTAATGTAAAAGAAAAACAAAATACATTGTACAACATTAAAATGTCATTATCAGCATAAAGTCATGAAATTTGGCAATGATTTAAAACGAGCGAAACGAGAAAATTATTTTGTTTTCTGGTGAATTATGATCCACGCATCTGCTATTGGCTCAATATTTTTAAAATTAATTTTTTAAAACTTAACAAGATCTTTTTTCAGTGTGTATATATACAAACGCTATTGGGTCAAATTTAAGACAAATATTGTTAATTTAGTTTCCTTTGTATATTTACCAAACAAGGTGAAATTGCCATACACTGTATATTACATTTTGTTGTTGACCGCATTGTCTAGAAGTCCTCCTGATTTTATTTATTTCATTTCAAACCAGCAAATAAAAAAAATAAAAAAGATGTGGCTGCCCGTGAAAGGAAAAGGGAGAGGACAATAAACTAAGAATTGATTTTATTTGGCCTAAAGAAAAAAGGAAAGAAACAAAATATGTATCATAGTTTGTGTACAAAACTATTATCATCTATCAGGAAGACCTGAGCCCCGCCTTATAAAGATTTTCGATTGATCCAAATCAATCGCAAGTTTGCAGTCTCCTATCACTTATTACCTTTTAATAAATGAACACCTTAAACCTTACTCCCTGAATTACCCTTAAATAGATCTGACCCATTTATGATGTTGATGAAATTTGATTTAGAGAGAAAGATATGAAACACGATTGACACAATATCAAAGGAGCATACAACCAGGATTACAAATATCATATTTTAATATTTTCAAAATTGTTATGAGTAGTTTCTGAAAACCAATATTTGATGAGAACAAATGTTTTTAAAGATTTGATGATAACAATATAGACTCACGATTCCGTAGATTCCTGTCATTATAGATCCCCTCCTAACGCTACAACAGCAACATTGTTTGATGATTGCCATGGTAACTCCTCCGGTATCTGATGGTCCTCTGTCTCGAGCAAAAACCGGTATAGATCAGAGATATACCGAGAGTGGCATTAATGAGTGCGCGCTAACAAAATCCGATATAGAACCTCTGAAAATTGCTTGCTAGATGATGGATATGCACTTGAGAAATTAAACTCCAGATGCTAAATTCTGAAATAAATTAGATATATAGCTTAGTTTCTGATTTACAAAGTTTGGAAATAGCGCAACGAACTAAGAGAAAAATGTCGACCATCACTCGTAAAGTTAAGAAAATTTGTTGTAAGCAAACTAAGTGACTCAGGAGACTTTTAAACAAAAATCTAATGACTGTTGCACAACTGGTTTATATACACGTCTACCAACACTTCATAAAGTGAGTTTGGAATGTTTGTAATGAGTTGGACAAGAGAGATAAACCAGGTATAGGTATGTAGCATTTGAGACAGATTGAAGCAGGCGAGTGGATAATGACTCTTGCATTGGGGCATTGATTTTCGATCATTGCGCGTACCACCAGGCTGACAGAATGAATTAACAGAATAATGCGACGAAGGTTTCAGCTAAGGCCTATATCGTTTTACAAGAAATGCATTTTAAAGGGGGATTTAAAAAGCCCAATCTATATCAGTGGTTATAATATAGAATAATTACATTTCGTTCAATTCTATGAAAACAAAATTGGGGATTTTTTTGTGAAAATTGTGTGAAGAATTAATGAAAGAGATTCTGGAATTCTATGTCTTTAAATGATCTCATTTTTTTATTAAAATCATCCCTTTGGGCCACTATACTCCAGCTTTATACTCTTTTTATCATTTTAAAGAAGAATAAATACAAGAAAAAGGAACAGAGTCCTATTACAAATACTTGTTGAAATTGTACTTGACTTAATACAATGGCTACATTTATATTGCGCACGTATCCATCCCAGTGGATGCTCAAGGGCCGGGCCTACAATGTAGTATATTACCTTGGATTTGGCCTTGCTGCCCTATAATGCGCTAAAAAGAAAATTAAAAGAATTATTTCCTATACCAAATACCCATTTACTAAACCTGGGCGGAGAGTGTCAAATGCAGATTAATGTCTTGGCAAATGACATTAGTTGCCGCGGCGGGACTCGAACCGCGAACTATGCGACCCCGAGTTCGATGACGTATCAACTAGACCACGACACATTCGTTTGTATTCCTTTACAGGTCTCATCTATTGGGTATATAATAATTTAGCTACTATATAGTTTTCATAAAGCTGGGTAAAATCAAAATAATTTTTTTTCCTGGTTTTATCCCGGCCCACCACTATCTGTAAGACTTCTTTGGGCCCCAGATTATACACATGACTCTCGAATTAGCATCCATAGATGGTTTCGCTACTTTCTCGAAGCCTCGTGAAGCCGAGGACGGCGAGGGGATGGAGTAGCTTTGCTTACCAAGCATGAATTCAAACCTCACCTTTTAACTAATATAATTGTACCAGAAAATATACAAGCGAGTCGGGTTATGTTAAGACCCCCACACTTACTAAGGCAAATTTCCATTTCCAGTATCCATTTCTGTGTAATCTATTTTCTACGAAAAGTCCTATTAGCGCAAAGTATGTTAATCATAATGACGATTGATTCTTTATTTGTAAACAAAAATACCCTGATGCTGCGTATGCATGTTTACTTGGTAATTTTAGTGATTTCAATTTTCAAGAAATTTCAAACAATGCAGGTTCAAACGAGTAGTAGATACACCCACAAGCAGGGGCCGCGATCCCGGGAGACGGGGGGACACGTCCCCCCCCCCCCCCCTCCCCCCTCATTTTTTTCGTCCCCCCCCCCCCCTGAAAATTTGAAAAAGGAAAGGTTCTGGAGGGCCCAAGAGTGCACGTTTAGACAAATAAAAATGCCAGAATCTTCTCGCTCGGGAGCTACGCTCGCGTAATATTCTTCAAAGTATAGGCCTACAAGTAAAATAGAAAAGTGAAGTGTGAAAAAGGTATATTGCTTGTTTTGGTAAGAAATGTAGTTTGTTAATATAACAAAACTTCAAAAAACCAGTGAGGGGGTAGTCACCTCCGTCACCTTCACCCCTCTCGTATATGCTTCCTCTCACTGGCGTAATGATGGGGGCAGGCGCGCCGAAAGCAGTTTGGGATGGGGGGGGGGGGCAAACATTCCAGGGGGCTCACCTTCCAGGGGCAGTGACGTAACGAGCAAAAACGTTTGGAAGGGGGGGGCAGAAGAAAAATCTGCATCACCACCACTCTTACACTTTACATGCAGGCCCCGCGGAACGTTTTTCAAAGTGGATTATTAACGATCAGGTAGAGCGTAAATTGGCGTAGGGTCCAGTCCCTGAGCCCCGGCAGGGTGTCAGGGGCTGGGCCCCCAGAAGCTCAGGGGTTTTAGGCATTAAAATTATGGTAAGCTCTGGGGTTTTAGGCAATTAATTACGGTCAGATGAGCATCCAGGGCCCTGCCTGAGGGCCCTTGGTGGGGTCCAGGGGTAGAGCCCCCGGAAGCTCGGGGGTTTTAGGTATTAATAACGGTCAGATGAGCATACAGGAGACCGCCTTTAAGCCCTTGGTGGGGTCCGAGGCAGGGGCGTCTCCAAAGGGAGGATGTGGGGGTGCGACACCCCCCCCCCCACCTGTCGGCATATTGTTGGTAAAATTGCGCTGCCGTCGGGAGAAAAAAAGGGGGGAGGGGAAAAAGAGAGGGAAAGGGAAAGAAAAGAAAAAAGAAAAGGAAAAGAAAAGAAAGAAAGCAAAAGAAAGGAAAGAAAAGAGAAGAAAGAAAGAGAAAAAAAGAAAAAGAGGGAGGAGAGGAAAGAAAGGAAAAGAAAGAAAAGAAAGAAAAGGGAAAAAGGAGAAAAGGGAGAGGGGAGAAAATAGCCCGAGAGAGGAGGAGTGGGAGTAAAAGAGAGAGGGGGTTGTTGGGTAGAGTCGTCTCGTCGAGGGATTAAGAAAGACACGGGAAAATATGTTGCTGTGTCGGTATTCTTGCTCGATCCTCGTGTACTATATCAATGCAGAAGTTTGAAGTCTGTGAGATGTATATTATCCCTACTAGTTTGTTTCCCTACGAACTGTGACTTTTTATCCACTGTGACGACTTCGAGAGTGACTACAACTACAATATTTCTATTTTCACGAAGTTTCACTTTCCTATTTATAATATCAGCTAAAGAAATCAGAGGTTTAAAATTTTCGGGGAAACTAAATTCAAACAAAGATTAAGAGTCAACAACGGTATGACGAATCGTCTGCCTTTCTCTATATTTTGATAAAACGTCAAAAATTCCGCGCTTCGCGCTGGAGGAGAAAAGTTCATTTAGACGAGTCGAGAACGGTACAACGAATCGTCTTCTTTCTCTAATAATGTAAGGAAACGTCAAAGCTTTCGCGATTCGCGCGGGAGGGGAAGAAAACTGAATTCAGATAAGGATTAAGAGTCGAGCACAGTAAAACGAATGGTTTGCTTTCTCTCATAAATTAAGGAAACGTCAAAGCTTCCGCGCTTCGCGCGGGAGGAGGGAAACTGAATTCAGACAAATTAGGGTTAAGAGTCGCGAACGGTACAACGAATCGTCTGCTTTCTCTACTAATTTAAGAAAACGTCTAAGCTTCCGCGCTTCGCGCGAGAGGGGGGAAACTGAATTCAGACAAATAGGGCTTATTAAGAGTCGAAAACGATACAACGAATCGTCTTCTTTCTCTAATAATTTAAGGAAACGTCTAAGCTTCCGCGATTCGTGCTGGAGGGGAAGAAAACTGAATTCAGATAAGGATTAAGAGTCGAGAACAATACAACGAATCGTTTGCTTTCTCTCATAATCTAAGGAAACGTCAAAGCTTCCGCGCTTCGCGCGGGAGGAGGGAAACTGCATTCAGACAAATTAGCGTTAAAAGTCGCGAACGGTACACCGAATCGTCTGCTTTCTCTACTAATTTTAGGAAACGTCAAAGCTTCCGCGCTCTGCGCGATAGGGGGAAAACTGAATTCAGATTAATAGGGCTTAAAGGGGCACGTTCCCGCCAGTGTAGTTATCGCTGCTCTATAGTCATCGCCATCTTGGTTCCGAAGATCGACTTCTAATTTGCATACAGCTGTCAATCAAAGTACGCGCGGCCTGGCCTGCCTTCGCCAAGCCAGCTGATCGCTGCCGATCGTGACGTCACGAAAGTGGGCGGAAACATCAGCCGAATCTTAGAGCCGAACTGCGATTGGTATTACTTCGGCACACGTATGCGATAATCGGCATTGGGCGGGTATTCGGAACATGCCATCTGCGAAAGAGCCGTATTCTGTTGGTGTCAATTGGCAGCTAGCACCGTCCACCAGCGGGTACGTATTTTGAAGGCTCTCTTGAATACGGGGAACATGAAAACGGTAGAACGAATCGTTGCTTTCTCTAATAATTTAAGGAAACGTCAAAGCTTCCGCGCTTCGCGCTAAAGGGGGAAACTGAATCCCGCCCGCGCATATTTTTTTTACACAACTGTTTAGCCACTTCAGTCAAATATACTGTACAAACGACTAGAGACAGAGTCTAGCATTACCCTTAGCAGTGTTGTTGGATTGCTGGAGTTGTACATGACTTGTGTACATACTCGTTATTTGTTTCGGGTTATATCTATCCTCTCTTCTCTTTCATTATGTATTTTTGCGTTCTCCTTCAATCTATCCTTTTTCTCCTTCGTTAATTTACTTTGTTTTAATTCCCTTCAATCTATCCCCCAGTTCTCATTCGTTATGTATTTCTTTTGTTCTCTTTTATTCTAACCTCTTCTCTTTTGTTTTATGTATTTCTTTGTATCTCCTTCAATCTATCCTTTTCTCCTTCGTCATGCATCTAGTTCTTTGTTTTAATATGATAGATTCCCTTTCTCCTTCTTTATGTATTTCCCTGTTTTTCCTTAGTCTAGATCTATGATCCTCTTAGCTCTTCAATTATGTATTTCTATGTTCTTTCTTTGACTTATCCTCTTCTCTTTCCTTACGTATTTCCTTGTTTTTCCTTCTCCATATCCTCTCCACTATCCTTGTTTTCCCCCTTTCTATCATCTTCCCTTCCCTGGGTGTACGTGCTTGCACACAGTGCGCTGACGACCTAGACTCTTTCACCAGAGCACTTCTTGGAATTTTTTCGCGAAAATGGCTAAACAGTTGTGTAAAAAAAAAAATGCGCATCCCCCCCCCCCCCCACTTAGTGTTATTTAGGGTACGCATATGTGTGTTTCAAGCGACCCCCCCCCCCCCTTTTCAGCAAAAGACCGGTGTGTAAAGTCAATACGGGTCGACCTTTTTTTTTTGTTATACGAGCCTTTTTCAGCACCCCCCCCCCCCCTCCCCCTTTCAGCAAAAGTCCGGTGTGTAAAGTCAATACGGGTCGACCTTTTTTCTTTTGTTACGAAAAGGACATTTTGGAAACACGCGTGGGGTCCGTCCGTTCTCGGAGTGGGGGGGGGGGCGGGAACTGAATTCAGACAAATAGGGCTTATTAAGAGTCGAAAACGGTAGAACGAATCGTCTACTTTCTCTAATAATTTAATGAAACGCCAAAACCTCCGCGCTTCGCGCGGGGTAACTGATTTCAGATAAGGATTAAGAGTCGAGAACAGTACACCGAATCGACTGCCTTTTCTCATAATTTAGGGAAACGTCAAGGCCTCCGCGCTTCGCGCGAGAGGCCTATCACCCACACTCACAAATGAAACGTCAAAGCTTCCGCGGTTTGCGCGGGAGTGGGAGAAACTGAATTCAGACAAGGATTAACAGTCGAGAACAGTACACCGAATCGACTGCCTTTTCCTAATAATTTAGGGAAACGTCTAAGCTTCCGCGCTTCGCGCGAGAGGCCTATCACCCACACCCCCTAATGAGCGCGCTTCGCTTGCCTACTACTGCCCCTCCCTAAAATGAGATCCTAGCTCCGCGCCTGCATTAAAATATAAAGCTATGATGCTGACTAAGTTGACAAAATAATTCGTATATTTATGTCGCGAGGAAATGACCATTTGCGCATAGGCAAGTATATACTATAAATAGTCCATAGGAAAAACAATTTAGCCTTCGGCCCTGGGTTTATAGGTTTAAATTTGTAGATATTGGGACATTTAATTTTGTCGGTAATTGATGGCTAGTTTTGTCGGTAATCGTTGGCCTCTACACCCCCCCCCCCCCCCCCCCCCCCCCCCCCCCCCCACTGAAAAAGGTCTAGCGACGCCCCTGGTCCGAGGGCGGAGCCCCCGTAAGCTCTGGGGTTTTCGGCATTTAATTACGGTCAGATGAGCATATTTTGATACCTCATTTGTGACATTGGCAGGTCACTTATTTTTTTCTCTCTCTCTTTCTTTCTTTTTCTCTGAAACAAACTTTTTCAAAAAGTGAGGGGGGCTCAAGCCCCCGAGCCCGGCCGTTATGCAGACCCTGACATAAAGGCTTCTAAATAAGCATATTTTTCGCCCTACTGTAAATTTGGGAATTTCTAATTTTCCACCAACAACGCATAAAAAGGTATGACTTACACAAAAATTCAGAAAAATACCGGAAAATCATGTCATTTCAGCAACATTTGTGAATCACTGGTATCGAATAAAAAATACCCCCCCCCCCCCCCCAATTAGTACGCCAGCGTTCAGGGTCTCATGAGCTCCTCACCCCTATAACAAAAAACAGACACGCTTTCCCATTCTCTCACAATATGTCCACGATATGCGCGTATCGCTATTATAAAAACCTCCAATGAGAAAGCAATGTTTAGGAATTTTAATTCCTGTCAACTTTCCTTTTCTTTGAATGAAATTTTATACGTCATTTATTAAAGTCAGGTTTTTATTATTGTTATGTTCTTTTGGGTCAAAAATTCAAACCATCTTTACTCCTTTACTGCTTTTTTTTTTGAGGGGGGGGGCGCATTGGGGGGCAAAAATGCGTTTTGCCCCCCCCCCCCCACTTTTTTGGTTGGGGGGCAACTGCCCCCCCCCTCCCCCCCCCCCCCCCCCCACTTCCGGCGCCTATGGATGGGGGGCTTGGGGCAGTTGTCCCCTAATAAAATTCAAATGTGGTTTATTTCTTAATTCGATAGTAGTGATTTACAAATGTTGCTGAAATGGCATGGTTTTTCCTAAAATCCCTGAGCTTGGGGGTTCCGCCCCCTTGCCCCCTCCCCCCCCCCCCCCCAGAAAAAAGAGGTTAAAGCTCATTACGCCACTGCTCCCCAGTCCCTCGTATTTCGTCCCCTTGGTCACGAAAAGAAATCGCTGCCCCTGCTCACAAGAGAATATAATGTACTTGACATGATTTGTTCAAATATTTTTGACTTTTATACAACTATTAAACTCTTCCTCCAGTTGGTATAGAAGCAATCATACTTTATTGTACTATTTTGCACCCAGTTATCATTTTTGTAAACGAACTCGTAAAACAGATGCATAGGATTGTCCGGTCATTGAACGACAGTTGGACCATAATGTACTGATTCAAAAATCGATTTTTAGGCATAGAAGACACATGGGATTATAAATTTGATAGCAAGTATTTTGTTTGAATATCGCAAACAAAATCAAATTGATTTTTGTGTATCAAAATTAATCATGCCAGTTTTACCCATGGTACACGCCTCGCCTCGCGATGTTAATGATTCATGTGAACAGATTTCTGTACCCAGAGGCGGCGCGCCCGGGGGGGGGGGCAGGGGGCACAGTGCCCTCCCACTTTTTCGAGTACCCCAAAAGTGCCCCTTTTTACATAGGAAAAGTGCCCCTTTAACTTTGTAAGAAGCACCCCTTTTTACATAAAAAGTGCCCCTATTACTTTGCTAAGTGCCCCTCTTCATTTTTAAAAGTGCCTCTTCCCCTTTTCACCTCTGATATGTGCCCCTTTAATTTTGACACGTACCTTTTTTCCCTGACAAGTTCCCAGTTTCCTTTGCAGTAAGTGTCCATTTTCCATTCTCATAAGTGCCCTTTTTATTCTCTAGTAAGTGCCCCTTTTCGGGTACGAGAAGCGCCCCTTTTCACTTTTGTTAAGCGCCCCCTTCACCTCTGATAATTGCCCTATTAAAATCTTAGAGGTGCCCCTTTTACCTTGACAAGTACCCATTTTCCTTTGTAAGAAATGCCCTTTCCCCTTTTAATAACTACACCTTTTTAATTCGTATAAGCGCACCTTATATTTTCACATGTGCCCCTTTCCTTTCTAATATTAGGTGCCCCTTTTCCTTATGAAAAGTGCCCCCACTTAAAAAAGAGCCCTTCCCCTTCTCATAAATGCCCCCTTTGACCTATGAAAATAGTCCCTTTTCTTTTTCATATGGTGCCCCTTTTTAAGTATGATATATACTTTTGTTTTGACAAATGCCCCTTTTCCTCCAGATAAGTGCTCTTTTCATTTCTAATAACAGCTCCATTTAATTTGACACGTGCCCCTTTTCTTCCTAATAAATGCTCTTTTCCCTTCTTATAAGTGCCTCTTCCCCTTTTCATAAAAGCCCCCTTTCACCTCCAATAAATGCCCCTTTTAAAATCTGATCGGTTCCCCTTTTCTTTCAACAAATGCACATTTCCCTTTATTATTATTAGTGCCCCTTTTTCATTCTCATAACTGCCTCTTTTCATATATGATCAGTGCCCCTTTTCAGATGCGACAAGTGCCCCTTTTTTTTACCTCTGATAATAACCCTTTTAACAATGATATGTGCCCTTTTCCTTTCTTATAAGGAACCTATCCATTTTTTCATAAATGCACCGTATTAAAATCTGATGGTTGCCTCTTTTCCATCGACAAATGCCTATTTTCCATTCTCATAAGTGCCTTTTTCATTTCTGATGAGAGCCCCATTTTCACCTCTGATAATTACCCTTTGTACCTTGACACGTGCTCCTTTTCTTTTCTAATAAGTGTATTATCCCTTCGATAAGTGTCATCTTTTCCTCTCATCAATAACATGCAATATCCCCCAAAGCTCGCTCGCTATGCTCGCTCGCATTTATAGATGTTATAATTATGTTACTTATCAAATGTCTTTTCAGTCTGTTGTTGAAAATGTGCTTATAACCCCATGAGGATTGGTTTTTTCCTCTTATAAGATGTAATTTTTCGCACTGCGACCTCAAAAATCTTAATTTGTTTTCCTCGCTCGCAAATGATTTTTCCGACTATCACTCCCAACTTGCAAGGTATGATGCTTAAGCAATATTTTATACGATGTATAAATAGAGAAACAAATATTAAAATCATCCCTGATAATGTAATCAAATTAAAGGAGTATATACCAATGTCTAAAAATGTGTATATTTTTTCTCTGAGCCTTTCTCTTTGTAGGTGCCCTTTTTCTCCAGAAAGTGCCCTTTTTGTTGGTGCCCCCCCCCCCCACTTTGGAAGTCGATCCGCCGTCTAGTCTGTACCTTATTTCAAACATGTTGACGACCTTTCGTTGGTGTATGCTGTAAAACAACAGACTCTTCGCAATACAATCAATACTGATTCTCTTGAATGTTGGTCGCATTTGAATAATATTTCACTCAATCCTTTAAAGTATTTTACCCTGCAGGTTACTATAAGGAAAAATCCTCCACAGCCTGATAATCTTTTCCTTAATAACTTTATGGTTGTAATGTACAAATACTATTTCTTGGAGTCATTGTACAATCAGATTCAAAATGAAATTGTTGACCGTATACGGTACCGTATTATAGTGAAAGTGTGCATGCACTAGAAAAGTTAATATGTTGAGGAAACTCAAGAAATTCGAATCCCTCCTCACAACAAAAAACAAAAGGTAATTAAATGACATCAACCACTATGCACTGCAACCCTGGAAGAAACATTGATTTAGCTTCAAATAACCAATATACTAAAGCAAATCTCTTTGCCATAGTCATTAAATCTTCCTGCAGTTTATGCATTGCGCGCATGCGGACCAAAATATCAAGCTAGGCGGACCAAATTCACTGTTACACATTTACCGTTTTCCGTATGCGCTGCGTACCGTATAGATTACGTTTGGGATCCGACTGTACGATGAGCTGAGCTGAGCCGGCTTTAGCCCTTTTTAGCAGACCGATGAAGGTGAAATACTCTAAATTGTCTAAGATATAATAGACCTACAATGAATGTGATTTAAATACTTATATAGGCCTAGGCCTATTTGTGAACAAATATAATAACGTTAATGGGTATTCTTGCAATCTTGTGAAATAATCCACTGCTCATTCACTTCGTAGCGAGTAGCGGTTCATAACCCCGGTTCATGACATAATTGTGTGACTGTCTGTGTATAAAACTGTAATGCCTATGTCTGTGGGATTTCACCTTCCCACAGCTCACACCACTTTACACGCAAGTTAAGTGCGTGCAAAGCTAAGCTAAGACACTCGAACAAATACCTGGCTTATTTCACAAGGAGGCCAGGTATAGCCTTATCTGTGACAAACAGAAAAAGATATAGGTCTAGAGTCTAGTTTTCCTTTGTGAAACATGGCCTGCTCATGCAGACCAAACATAGGAGCATCACTATCCTGGCTGTGTAGTAAAGCTGTGCTTTTGATTCTCAACATTTCAAACACCACTGTACTCTGTAGCTGTACAAAACTCAACTGATTTCACTAAAAATCAGTACTTTAGTGACAGTTGATGACGCCTAAATAGCAGTAAAATACATTTTTCAACTTACTGATGTTAGAGATAAAGACCAGTTATGGTCATGCGATTGCATTGTGAAAGAAACGTTGTGGAATCGATCAGATAAGGTTGATCAGCATTAGTGTGTAGATCTACTGAAAGGTTCTGGAATCATCAAAATGATAAGAAATTTGGCCCAGTCTTCGAAAAGTTACAAGCACTGTACACAGAAAGATGTATATGGGACTACGCACACGTGGCACAACACGTGCGTTTATCTCTCACATTTATTTATTTATTTATTTATTTATTTCTGATCTTTTGACAGGGTAGCCCATTCACCAGCAAGTAGTGGTCTTCCATGGGGCCCTGAATGAACATATTTACAACGTTTATAACATTTATACAGAACAGTTACAAAAATAATACTCGTTTGCAAAATTAACATATATCATTAACCTAGTAAGCAGTAATGTCAATAGGAAAATATTAATTAAGTCGCAATTATGTGAATAAGACATGTAAATATTACAGAACATGCACGTAGTGTATGTACGGCTGAGCCATTCACAAATTACAACTTTGTTTAAACAATCTCTTAAATGAATTGACAGAGGAAGCCGTTCTCAACGAATTATCTAGCTTATTCCATTCAAATATGGAAGAAACAATTGGGCTACACTTATAACAATCAGTGTGAAATCTAGGCACACGTAAACATCCACTGTCTATTTGCCTTGTATGATGCTCATGTACATCATTAGGATTGATTAAGCCTACCTGAAGGTAAGAGGGTGCTAAGTTATGAACGCATTTATATATCATCATAACGCGACTTAACTCAAACCGCTTGTCTAGTGTCATCCATTTAAGACTTGTGAACAAATCAGCCGACGGTGTGTCATATGTCTTGTTCAATATTATTCTTGCGGCCCTCTTTTGAATTTTTTGCAGCTTAGTTGTATGAGAATGAAATCGGTTCGACCATACAACAGAGCAGTAATCTAATCGTGGCAACACTAGACTGTTATAAAGTAACTTTAAGGATTTTTGAGGCAAAAAACTCTTTGCTCTCTTTATCATGCTAATGTTTTTCTGGGTAAGTTTACTTACGTTTTCGATTTGTTTAGACCATTTCAATTCTTCATCTATCAAAAGTCCTAGGCATTTGGTGAATTGAACTCTTTTGATCAAATTGCCGTTTAATGAAATGGTGAAAGATTCAATTTTCTTGAGATTAGCAGGAGAGCCTATTAACATGACACAAGTTTTTTCAGTGTTAAGAACAAGACGATTTTCCTTAATCCATGCCATGACTCTGTTTAACGCAACAGTTAATTTTTCTTCCACAACAGTTGCATCATTTGCACTGACGGTAAGTGTCGTATCGTCAGCATACATATCTATGATACCTTCAGGAGTACATTCAGGTAGACTATTAACATATATTGAAAATAAAAGGGGACCAAGAATTGAACCTTGTGGCACACCTAATTTGATGGTTGATGGATGCGACTTGGCTCCTTTGAATTGGGTCACTTGTTGTCGATCCCCTAAATATGATTTGAACCAATAAATAGTCCTATTACTACAACCTATACAAGCTAGTTTATGTAGAAGTAGCTCATGGTCAACAGTATCAAAAGCCTTACGAAGATCTATGAAGGCAACTCCAGAAATTTCTTTGTTATCAATATTCAACGACCATTGATTTACAAGTTTTGCAAGGGCAGTAGCTGTTGAATGTTTAGGTCTAAAAGCAGACTGATTAGGGTGTAATAATTTATTCACGTCCAAGAATTCACTGAGTTGTTGGTGGACGGCCCTTTCTATAATTTTACTCACGATAGGTAATATCGAAATGGGACGGTAATTATTCAAAGAAGAAATATCTCCAGATTTGAATATTGGTACTACCCGAGCCTTTTTCCATTCACGTGGAACAACTCCTGTAGACAGGGATTTGTTAATGATATCACAAAGAGACTCTGCGATAACATTCTTCGTCATCTTTAAAAGTTTACAGCTGATGTGATCTTCACCAGTTGCTTTATCTATACTCAGATTATCAATCTGTTTCAATACAAAATCCTCAGTAATCAAATTCAAATTAAATTGCGAATGAGTTGGACCAATATTATTGTCCTCGTCTACTCTCAGTTGAGACTTATTCCTTCGCAGGTCCTTTGTAATCTTAGTAGCATTAGAAATGAAAAAGTCATTAAAAGCTTCAGCAATATTTGCATTGTCTGACACATTAGCACCATCAACATTTATGCTATTGGGAGATATAGGTAATGACTTAGGCACAAGGTTTCTCAAACATCTCCACATTTGCTTACTATTGTTATGATTTTGCGAGATCTGGTCTGCATTATATTCTCTTTTTCTTTTCCTCATGAGATGAATAACTGTATTCTTTAGATATTTGTAGGTGTCCCAAAGATCATCACTTTTGTTAGCTTTAGCAGCTTTGAGAACTTTATCACGTTCCGTCATAAGCTTAACAATCTCGTCAGATATCCATGGACATGCCTTTTTTCTTATCCGCTTTTTACATACTGGTATGTGCTTGTTGATTATATTAATAGATAAACTAATTTACCAAATATAACAATTAGTAGGCGGTTTCCCGGCAAATTTGTTATCATCATGTATTAGTCAAAACATATTCTTACACATGATTGGTAATAAGAGCTTCCATTTCATGTTTTGAAATTGGGGCGTTTCCAATACTGGTCTTTACCTTTAAAAAGAATAATTTAAAAATTCAAATTGTAAGTCTAGTGTCAAATTTGCCGATCAGCCCAACCGGTCCTATTGTGTGTAGTCTATGCAATATTGTGTGGTGTGTATATTGTGTATACCGGTAAGTCTAATAATACCTGCCTCACAGCAAGTATGCAGTGTTAGAGGTCAATATATATCCCTTACAAAAATGTACCATGGTAACCATGGTACTTTTGTCCAAATTACCATCCACCATGGTTATCATGGTACCAAAACAATGAAATACACTGTTTAATGACTCAATGTTTTCCATTGTTTTGGTACCATGATAACCATGGTTACCATGGTGAATGGTAATTTGGACAAAAGTACCATGGTTACCATGGTACATTGACTCTCTATGCTTTGCTGGAGTGGCTCAGACCCCCTGTTCTTTTTCAATGTGCACATTACTGCACATAGAAATTCAAGCAATACTGAGCGCTGTTCAGTGAGTTTATGTGCTCCCATTGGCTGATCCGCTCAAGCGGCTTCGAATTGAAGTAGAGAGCACAATGGTCCCGCCAATGCAAAAGATTAAACAACGCGCTGACATGTCGTGCTATATTCAGGTGGCGCACTTCACACATAACTGGCGCTTACTAGACACGCATTGACAAGGCGATGATGAGCATGCGCGAGATGCAAGCCAAAGTTCTACGTTACATGTACTGACACTGAATCTTGGAAGATCTTGACGACTGGAGCTACCGTATTCACCATGATCACTGTGGCACTAATGGCTGCTCTTTAGCAAGACATTAATCTAGATGTGCTACTCTCCACTCAGGTGTGGTACTCGGTAGGATGCGAACGTTAATGTGGTTGGATTTGCATATGTACACACTGTACGCACCTGTAAAATGGCGCCTGGCAGGAAAACTCCCCAGGGAGCAGAGTGTGTGCACTATTATGTGTGGATTAGCAATTGAATCCAATGTCCAGGGTGATCATGTAAAGCGCTACCGTAAGTTAGAAATGTAGTATTAAGCATTTTACAATTGTGAGTTTGTGACTATATTAATGTAATTTGATATTTTGTAGTTTTCTACACTTACATCTGTACATCGTAGATATCATGGCATTTGTGATAAACATATTAAGTGAATATTTTATATTTCTCTTGTCCTCTTACTTCTACTTCCATCTTTCACTTGTTCTTGATAGTTGATACTTTGATGCATTGATTTTGATTTTTTTTTTTGGCAGGTGCAGTTACCAAACAAAGAGGACACAAAGGATATGCTGATACGTTCTGAAAGGGTTCGACCCTTCAATGAACTGAGACTTTTGGACCATGGATGGAACAGAATCACCCGGGCCTCTGCCTGCCAGAGGAGAAGCAGAAGGTGCTCAAAGTACAGATGAATCAACACAGAAGACTAGTATGCAAAAACAATTATGGGATGAGGAAGAGACTGAAGGAGATCAGAAAGGAGATGGAGAAGGGAGACTTGAATGTGATCCTCTTGCAGAAGCAGCAATGAATATTCTAAGAACTCAGAAGCAACAGAAAGACCCGGATGAAGAAGAAGATGACGCCTTTCTGGATTATGGAGATAGTGATAGTATAGGTAGTGGAAAACATGTTGAACATATAGATTGTGCAGTTGGATGTGAGCAAAAGCTTGCTGATGTCTCAAAACAATTGGATGACCTTCACATAGACATTCCTGAACCCATGGTAAAGCTCAAACGCAGATCATCTTCTATTGCAGAACTTTCAGATGTGGAAGCGACGGGATCTGTGGAACGCTTTTCACCTCGAGAGGACCCTGTGGGGTCAGCGATGGGCTCCTTGCCCCTTCATGGTACGCTGTCCAGGGAAGGGGAAATGGTATCGTATGTTGCTGATGATCTCCTAGAGAAAATCCGTCAGAGTGTGGGTTCCTCCCGGTCCACCTCAGGGGCAACATCTCCTGCTTACCCCACCACCAGTCAGATGATGCCATGGGGTAGGTAAACCACCCCCCTTGGGAGTCTTGGCAGGATGTGACAAAACCTTACCTCTTTTTATCTGGGAAAGTAATTGGGAAAATTTCCAAAGCAAACTAGAGCATTGGAGCACAAAGTAAAATAGAATAGTCAATAGTGCATGCACGCTGCGCACCAACAAAATATTTTGTTTCATTTTTACATCGAATTGTTTTAAAATAACATACAATTTTAACACAGACCCCTCCTTACTTCACCCTATTTTTCAAACTCTCTTCTCTTTGTAGTTAAACAGTACATGAATTAATCTTAAGTTTCTTTAAGACTGACTCAGTTTTAAGTGAAATCATATAGAAAAGATTACCGAGAGTCCTTTTCAGGACTCCTCAATCTTCCCTCTCTTTCTCTCACATGGTACAACTGCAAGCCTACTGTATATATATTTTCAATTAAAGAAAGTATAATATTTTTAAACTTCATTTGGGAAAATGTTTCACTTCCCCCTTTTTTCGGTTGACAAGTTTGTTATGATTTTGTTGTTTTCAAATATTAAGTATTACCTTCCATTTGATGCCAATAGCGATTAATATTGGAAACAAACTTTAAGGTTTGCTTTTTTTTTATATTTAAATGAACAAGGATTTGTCACATTCTGGTGTGGGTTTACCTTGTGGTGAAATGTCCAAGCAAAAAAGAGCTATAAAATATAAAAATATTCTCTTGCGCATTTTTATTTTCTTATTTGTTTTTATTAAAACACTTACATTTTGTTGATCCACGAAAAGGCAGCTTGGTTTAATAGCATGCCACAAGTTCATTAATTTTTTTGTTTCATTTAGTTTTGTAGCTTGATTCATTTCACTTCCAAAATTCAGATTTCACATCACTTTAATATCAAGCTGTTCCTATTTCATTAGAATCTGAATACAAAGTCTAGCTTGAAGATGATGAGAATGATGAAACCACTGGACATTTGACCACTGAGTTGGATACTGGCATGTGGGGTTAAGCATGAAACCCTAGGGTGACATGGGAACCAATTGCATGGGAAAAGCTTACTCTATTAAACAGGAGGTGAATTTTCATTCTCTTCTCTACTGTAAAGCAGAATTGTTGTTTTGCCATTTGTGCATCTGTTTGCAAATGAAATGCTGCATTATTTGCATACATTTTGTTTTCATTGATCATCTCAAGGGTAAAAATGGTTCTCATTGTGTACATATTCATGTTACCAAGTACAATGTATTTTACCATTTTGTACCAAAGGAAATGAGGCCTACATGTACATGCTCATGAACATGTAATTTACATACATGTACAGTGTATGAACCATGAAGTACTGGTACATTATTTAACAACTGAATACAAGTTCATCGTGTACCTATTGCATTTCCATATTATACATGTACATGCACACTATGCATAATTGCTTATTAATGATAACTTTACTAACTTGCATGAGCTCAGATTCAAACTCACAATGATTTGGTTTGATTTGTTTGCTTTTCTTTAACTAATGACCAAGACTGAAAATTTCATTTGTTTTCTTCACATCTTTTAATCAAATTAATTCACAAAAATACAATGAAAGAGATGTGTCCTCAATGTAAAATATATATTGTACATGTAATGCACAGTGTGTAGGCTATGTACTGAGAAGACTTATTAATATCTGTTTGCTTGATTTAGTGTTTTGGATGGACTTGGGATGGTTATCTTGATGACCCACTTTCATTTACTCTGATATCTGGATTAGGTTTCAGGTCATTTCCTGATATTTTATCTAATACCCGTTTTGAATGTACAAAGTAGACTGGAATGAAATCAAGTTTATTGAGAATGTTGCTTATTTACCCCAGAAAATTCAGTTTCATTTTCTCATTATGTACTACAAAGATGTCAAAAATATTCATTCTTGTAATATTCATTTGATATTTAACCATAATTGTTTTATTATTGAATTGAATATACCTTGAATATATATGCAAGGAATCATTTCCTACAAATTCTTTTTATAAGATATTTGAAAGGCGTTTTTATCCTTCATTTACACAAGTATTAGAGGATTAAAGCACCTTTAAACTTGATTTCATATGATTTCAAAATTGTTAAAGCTACATGTAGGTTTCACAAATTTAAAGAGCCTGATAACCCCTAAAAGAAATTAATCGATCGTCATTTATATTTAACTAAACAGTGCCAGGAAGTAGGGAATTAATATAATACAGTTTGCTAATGCAGCTAAATCAAATAGGAAATACCTAAATATTCAGAGTTGATACCATCATAAAAATCACATGATAATTGGTTTGTAGGACTTAATTCCTGATCCTGAATGTGATTCATTCTGATTTTAGACTATTTTTTTTCTTTCTGTGAGGGTTATAATATTATTTAATTATTGAACAAATTTAGCAAGGTGCAGTTCTAATTTCAACTTGCTTGTAGGTTGAGCAATACTCTCTCGTGGGTAAGTGAATTCATTTTAACCTTGTCATGTACCCACTATGATTATCTGAACTCCACGTCAGTACAAGTAGTTTAAGAAATCATTATTTCAATCTCGCCACTGATAACCATATTTGTTGCAAATCCATTAACACCAAAATATGAAAAATGTACGATTGAATTATGACGGAGAGGAAGAAATCTGTAAATTCTGTATAGAAGTATTTCTGTAAAAGCCATGATAGCCATCCCTCGTCTATCTCTATAATCGGTCACAAAAATGGAATTACATGTTCATGTAAATACCCTGTGATAAAGCTTGGTTATCTGTCTAAATTTTAGACTCTAAAAACAAAATTCATTCAAACGTAACCATAGTCTTGTGAGTGAGATTCATGTCATCAGACATTGTGATGCATATTGATTTTTTTTTTAAATCATCTTCTATCTCCTGTAATACTTGTTACCATAGCAACAACCCCACCATCCATGACCTCTTCGTCCTCGTCAGCAACAGAGTTTGGAGTCGCCGTAGGTCCATCTGCAATGATTCCTCCGATAGACCCTGAGGCTATACAAGACCTAGAGAAGCAATGTCACATGGTCGCTGATAATCTCAACCTCATGCTGGGACACCTCTCAAATAGCTTGCATAATGTAAGCATCAGTATTTCACTGCAAGAACATCTTTTTGTTTGTTCCCCCGAACCTTGTACAGTACTTGTCAACATTGTTTCATCCTATTATCTTCAAGCAAAATTGAAACATTGACTGCAAATTCTTCTTTGCTCGTTTTATTGAGAAAATACCAAGTGTTAGAATGTATAATCTGCCCTTCTTACAGTGTTTGACACAGAAATCTTTAATGTACATTACCTTTTCTCTTAATTTGACAATCAAAATAAACATTTGATCAGTAGAGGTGTCATTGGATCACATGGTTCATGGTTAGAGTCTCGCCACAGCACTAAATGTCCTTTGGCAAGACATTAATCTTCAAATCTCACTCTCGACACAGGTGAAGAAAATGGGTACCAGGTAGGAAGAAATTCTTTGAATGCTTCAGAGACTTTTTATGGCGCCTCAGCTACAGCCGGGGTAAAAATATACTGTGTATTATAAAGCGTAGAAGAACACATTTATAAAGTACATGTAGCTGCACTATATAAATGGACCTATTATTATTTTTATTATTATTATTATCATTATCATGTGACATTGAGTGTATTTTTATATTTTTCTTCTTTTTGTGCTTACATGATCAGATGTCAGCCATAACAGTAGGTCACATACAGACATACAGAGATGCAGTAGAAAAAGCAGGAATTACAGTGGATCACAGTGTGAAGGTGAGCAGAACAATCCTAAAGTATCATTTATATCAGCACTGATATAAAAGTCAGTCCATTCCTATGATACATACTGGAGTTATTTCCCTTGTATCTACATTTTTTTTGATACAGTCTGTAAGCCAAGAATGTAATTTCCCAGAGTTGTGATACAAGTCATTATCATTTACTTTCATTCAATCAAATTAGCCTTGGAAGATAAAAAATTATTAATACTAAGGCCACGTCCCCGCCCGCTTCCTTTTTGAGGGCTGCCTCCTATTTTATTTTTAAAAAAATTGTATTTTTTTATTGTTTTTTTTTTTAAAGAAAAAAAACATGAAAAACACTGCTAAAATGGATCTATTTCTGATTTAAAAAAAAAAAAAAAAAATGTTGGCAGCCATCTAAAAAAATAGCCTGACTGTCAGGGAAAAAAAAAAGAAGAAAAAAGGCCTCCTCCTTCCTATTTTTCTAAAAAAAACGGGACGCTAAACATGTTATTTTTTTATTTTTTTTGGCCTAAGCATGCATAGAATTGCTATAAACTCATTGTTCCCAAACAAGTGGTGATATTAGATAGTCCTTACTGATACAAAGGTGTGATTGGTCCACAATTCATCACGTGATATTGATTGTGAGGATCGTAATTTGTATATTTTACTCCAGATTGCTACACACTATATATCTTGTAGGGATTACTCAGCTTGGTACACACCAACACATACTCAATAAGTTAAGTTCACACTGGTATATTTGTCTCAGATTCTGAAACAAAATTCTGGATTTTGCTCATGCTGCAATGATAATTATAGACCTTTAGGTCAGTCAGGAACCCCATGACTCTTACAAGCAGATCGCCTGTCTGATTATCAAGATATTTATGATTGGAATTACAAATTTTGAAAACCGTTTGCCGAACGGTTTTCATAACACTACAGTCTATTGGGGAAAAAGAGTATGGTAAAACCGGTCACTCAAAGATTTTTACTTTTTTGAGGCACTTCTTGATCATTTTGAAGTGCAATTTTTTTTAGAGCTTCAATTTAACACCATATCACAGACACTGATAACACGTAGGGCCGTGTATCTCAGATTTAACATTGTTAAACGATCCCTTTAATGATTCGGATATGATTTATTCCGGTTCGCCCGGTAGCGTCAATCTTGTGGATAATCAACAAGTCAACTACATATGACGTCACAACAGATTACATATCGATAATAACAATAACATAACACTGGTCATTTTTTATATTGACCGTTGTGTTGAAATGAGTATATTTTAGCATTATACCTATTGTTTGAGTTGTCTTTATAGCCATGTGCATTTGACAAGGAAGACTGGACGGCTCCAGAAAAAAGACATGACATGACAAGACAAGGCATGACATCGCAATGGAGTGGATTCACAATTAACAGCACCCCAACTGGCAAGCCGCGACTGGCCACTTTTTCAGCTCGCAGGTCCACATACATCTTTCAAACAGTGCAGCGCAGCAAGCTATTTAAACATTTCCCACCAAATATTGTGATTGAATCTCCTTTTCTTCTTGGGTATATAACAAAGCCACAAGTGATACAATGTCGACTTTTTCCCATGATACGTCATGTCATGTGAATTTGAGTCTAAAGATCGGTGGCACTCCTTTGGGTTACGTACCCAATTTGCTAGATAGAACTATAGATTGTGAATCCATATTATTATGTAATCAATGCTATCTAATAGAACAGACATTAACTGGAAATGGATGTACATGTAGTATACATTTGTAGAACCCCAGGGGAGTTAATTCCCTTTGGCCGTACGAAGAATGAAAACATCGCACTCCCTACCAGTCAATATATGTTTAGTGTTAAGATGATGTAGAAGGATGGGTAACTATTTCATTCTTTTTTTCCATTTCTGTTGCAGGCGATGTATGCTCTTATGGCCAAAGTGGAAGAACTGAATTTTTCCATGCCAATGGTTTATGATCTTGCCAAGCAAATGTATCCTTTAAAAAAAAAATGCAGATTGGAGAAGGTTTTAATTCACAGATCAGTATGAATGATCTGGGCCCCGTCTTATAGTTTGCAGTCTCCTATCTCTTATCTTCATAGTTCTGATTGATATCAATCGCAAAGAAGTTGCGATTAATATCAACTCTTTATAAGACGGGGCCCTGATGTTGGTTTTCAAACCATTTACCAGTACCTGCTTTTTGTGCCTGAATTAGTTCATTGGTTTGTGCATTTTAGAGATGTTGTAGTCAAGTGGTTTAAACTTGATGGAGATGTAAGTATTTTAGGTGCAGGGCCTGACATAGCACTAGTGTCCTTTGGCAATTTAAAAATGTACAATTCCCACATTCTACCCAGGTGTATTAAGCCCACTGCACACTATACAATCTTTCTGTCTTCCAATCTTTTGAAGAAATGGCAATCATATTACTGTAGATATAGAAGTCTAAACATCATATTTCTGATTTAGGTTTTAGATAATGATAAGAATGCTAACAACCCAAATTTAAGTGCATTTAAAGTTAAAGACCAGTTCTGGTCATGCGATTACATTGTAAAAGAAACGTTGTGGAATCGATCAGAAAAGATTGATCATCGAGTACATAAGTATTGGTGTGTACTGCAAGGTTCTGGAATCATCAAAATGATAAGAAATTTGGCCCAGTCTTGTTAAGTTACAAGCACTGAACACAGAAAGATTTATATGGGACTATGCGACACGTGTGCAATATCTGTCGGGTACAATCCCACTACTGGTATGGTGTCACTATGATTCTGAGCGGATTTAGCTATTCCCTCAAGGAAGCGTGAAATCAATTGTAATTTTTATTAATGATATGACCATTAAGACATTTGAATGCTCTTATCATATGTTATTGTAAATTCTACCAAAATTAGATCGTATAGTGTGCAGTAGGCTTTAAATGGGTGTATCTGGTAGAGAGGAAATTCTTGAATGCTGTGGGCACAAAAACAATCTAGCTCCTTTGCTTTTTTAGTATACATAAGTTGTTTTGTTTGATTTTGCTGATTTTCTGTCTCTGATTCCATTATGTATGTGTATCAATCATTTGATTTTCGTATATGAACTGATTTCTCCTTGACCGTAATCATTACAGTAAATCAATCAATAGTCAACTTGATGAACTGGAGAGCCTATGTAAATGAGCTTCTTGTGCAGCATAGTCATGCATCTCCTGCAATGAGCTTCTTGTACAAGCATAGCCAGGCATCTCCTGCAATGAGCTTCTTGTACAGCATAGCCAGGCATCTCCTGCAATGACCTTTTTGTACAGCATAGCCAGGCATCTCCTGTAATGAGCATCCACATTATCCTTGGATGAAGATAGTCTTGTGCCACAAAGATTGCCCAAATCAGTCTTGAACACTGCCTGCAGAGCTATCTCTAGATGTCTTAGACTAAAGAGAGTAGACATACTAAATGATACTTGCTGTATGGTATCACCCTACGACATGCATGTACCAGCCGAGTGTTTTCATCACATGCAGGTGCAGAAATCCAAAATATGAAATGAATTGACCCCTCATCCTTTCCTCCCGAGTATGAACCATGCAGAAAGAGACACATTTTAGTCCTCCTCATCACACCATTGGCCCTTTGATGGCATCATTCATTATCATCATCATCGTCGTCGTCGTCATCATCATTACGCGTCTGTTTTTCCCATGCTGTGGGGTTGGACATTTCATTTCCTTTATGGCTCTTCTCCAAGAATCCCGGTCTTCAGCATCCGCCAGGGTGAAGTGATGAGATGCTCTCATATCTTCGTCTAACGTCTCCTTCCAGGTTTTCGAGGTCTGCCACAGGGTATTGAGCAGGCAGCCTGGAATCCGTTGCTTTCTGAAGCCAGCGGCTTTTTTTTCTCTCCAAGCCATCATAGCCCAAGGATGTTCTTGTCATCTAGTGCCACATGAGCTTTTATTTGGTCCCAACAAATCTCTCCCATCAGGTTCCAGTGACACATGGCCCATTTGGCCAAGTGGCTTTTTTTTCTCTCCCAGCCACCATATAGGCCAAGGATGTTCTTGTTATCTAGTGCCACATGAGCTTTCTTTCGGTCCCAACAAATCTCTCCCATCAGGTACCAGTGACACATGGCCCATTTGGTAATGTGTGCCTCAGAATATATTGACAGTGCAAGAGCTAATGGGATTACATGAGATTAGACAAAACATGTGTGTCTTTGGGAAGGGAAGGAAAGTGGGACACTTTTTAGTCAGTCTTCACCTACATGTACCAGAATCTTGCATCCCTTAAGATCTTGAAGGGTTGATATATCCCAGACAAGATCATGCACCCTGCACTGGATGTATTTATTGTATTACCCAAGAATATACATGTATAAATGTACTGCTCCTAAGTGTACTTTGTACATATATGATTTTATAAGATTACACATCATGTCAATTGTAGTCCTAAACTGTTATTCAGAATATTTTTAATCATCATTTAATTTTTCACTTTTACATCGAGTCATTTGAAATTGAAAAATATGATACAGATATTTTTAGATTGGAAAATTATGATACAGAAACAGATATTGCTTGGACATGTATACAGATATATTTTTCTCTGTAGATCTACATACTGGAACGTATATGTCAACAGAGAACAATTTAACAAATATGTTCTTCTACAGTTTATTAGTACTGTATACATTGCAAATGAAATTGAGCACATATCTGTGAAAAGTTTTATGTGCATATTAATGCAAAATTAATCCAAGCTTTATGTGCCATGCACCAAGAAGACAGTGCAATATCCTTTGAAGACATTGGACTGGTAGAGAAGTTATGCCACATTTTGCTTGACAGTTCCAACTTATGTTTTATTCTGACATTTGAAATGTCCTTCTTGCACACTTCAAACTTTAGAAGAAGAAAATGTGTCAATTAGTGTCTTGCATCCGCTAATTTTACATTCATGCATTCAATTTGTTGAACAGTGACATTCCTAATTTCCAAATTATTTATTAGAAAATGTGAAACATGTACTCGCAGCAAAGATGTGTTGTGCATGGTTGTACGTGTGTTTAGATTCAGTCATTGATAATTTGTATATATTTTGTTTAATATGGATGGTGCAAGATTATGTAATCAGCTTCTATGCAAGTTGCTTGTCTTCAGATGTGTTATTGAAGATGAAAATAGTGTAACATTGACGTTTTGTTCTGGGTAATATGATGTAATTTTTTTTAAATGCATGTTGCATAACAAGAGCACATTGCAGGTATATTTATAACTGAATATATGTATTTCAGGTGTGTAACTATTGCTGCCTACTTTCATTATGCAGACAGTATCTGAGCTACTGGAATAGCCAGTCATGATTTTTTTTTTTTTTTTTTTTTTTTTGGGGGGGGGGGTTCACTCAGGCTTCTGAGATTTCAACAATTCTTGCAGCAAGTGTGTGAAATGAATGGCACCCTTGTGTTAGTGGGAGAGTGATGGGAGCTTTTACAAATTATGTATAATAAAATTGTAAATGTGATTTTTGCAGAATCATTTGCTACTTTCCTTCAGTGTTCAAGCTAAGGGCCATATTAGGGAAGCATGTTTAAAGCCAGAGTTCTCATTTCTAAAGCAGTTCGGAAGTGAATACAGACATTTCTTTTATGCCATGTACTTCACACTAATGGGAGTTCAAGGGTACTTCATACAAACAAATTTTTTAAAAATTCAGGTCCTGATGTTCATTAAAAATACAGTATACATGTATATCTCTTCACTTATAGGGCGTTGCAAAAAAGTTGCGATTGACCGATATTTGCAATTGATAGCAATTCAACTTTCTTGCAATGCCCCACTAGTCTCCTAAATATCCTAGGATTTGTTAGGATTAAAGTTTTAACAATTAAATTAAGTTAACTGGATCTAGCTTTTATTCCCCCCCCCCCCCCTCTCTCTCTCTCTCTCTCTCTCTCTCTCTTACTTATGCCTCATTGGAGTTGTAAATAATCGTTTAATTAATGTCATTATATGTATGAAAAATATGAGTCAAGCAAACCACTTGTAGACCTTGTTAATATGTAATTTTTTTTTTTTTTGGGGGGGGGGGGGTAGAGGTGAGGGATTACTTTCATGTTGAGATTGAATTCATAATGGTAGGTCATTTCTACAGTGAAATATGAGGGTATATTTAGGCTTTGTACATTTATATCAATGTTATTTTTGTCAAAGTGGTCGGTCCATTGCAATTTAATGTGTTATTCAGCACACGTCTATGGTATACATTGTGAAAGATATTTTAATGTTGAAAAGGAAACAAATATAAACGGACATAAAAACATTTTAAGAAGTCACGATTGTATCAAAGACTGAACATGTATTGAAGTTTGGGTGATAGAGTTTTCAGAGATGTGATTTGAGGAGGGATGCTGAAGAAAGAAAAAAAGAGAATGTTTGAAGTAAAGGACTGAGCAGGAATATACGAGTGCCATTGATACAAAACACAAGACAGGGAAAGAAATAAGTGTTTGTGAAGTCTAATATATCTGAGTGCATGTGTGAAAAGTGTTGTCATTCTTTGGGTACAAGAGCCAGAGTTGCTTTTAAGAGCTTATATTTATTAAGTAGGTTCAAATACGCGCTTCCTTTGCAGGTGGGGAAACAATCAAATACCTCTCTTTTGCATAACAAAGAGACAATAACAATTCGAGATATTCTGTCATAATGGTAATAAGTTTTTGCAGACATGTAGTATTGTTGCCAATACCATTTCCCATGCAACTATAAATGCACATTCTGACTACATTCCCCAGAGATTCAATTTATAAAAATTTATCTCGAAAAATAGCCTTGCATGTCACTTCCTGTCTTAATATTTCTGTATCCCTCTCACACTCCCAAATATTCCTATAATCTGTCCTCTCACTCTCCTCTCTATTAAACTCCCTTGCTATTCTCTTCTCTCAATATCAAATATTACCTGACAACAACAAGAAGACAAAATATAAGTTCAAATTCTTATCTAGGATCCTTTCCCTTTGTTTTAAACTCTTCTTCATAGAACCATGATCATATGTAGCACATGTGTATCGCACCACGGTGAAAAGTTAAAGGTGAAAATAATACACCTGCATGCATCCACAACACATGGATAGTGGATATGAAACATATTTTGCCAAGTGAATCGGACACATTTAACTATCCAGGCCATACTTGGCATAGTTGATGGATTGTTAAAAGAGAATAAAACCCTGTGACTGGACCGGAAATAAACACAAACTGGACAAGTAATTTTTACTAGCTCCCCTGGACAGTTACAAATGTCTAAACTTTAAGGTTCAGAGAGACTAATTTATGTTTTAAAGGTACTATGTCCCATTTGCAGGCCAAACAAATGAAAAGGTTAATAACGATTATTAGTTGTCGAAATTGACTTGAAAGCTACAGGGCCAGTAAGTAATAGTCTGATTTACAGACCATTGTAGCGAATGGCCGTACGTTTTATGCTGCGCAAAGATTCAATCAGTTTAATTTTGGCCATTACAAGAAGTGGGTTATTGATGTAGACAAATGCTCATGTACCCTTTCTGCTCATTTTATGTATGTTATTACCAAAGAAGAAAAAAAGCCAGTCAGTCACTCCATAGTGTCTGACGGTGAAGTCTAGCAAGTGAACAGGTTTCCTTGCATAATTTGAATATTGGGACACTGCTAACGTTTAAATTTCACAGATAGGACATGCATGACATATTCATAATTCCTGCAAAGTTCTACAGAATTTGATGTTGGCTACAGTGAATCTACTCCCACGGAAGAATGTCGTTCCTCACAACGAAATAAGAAAGGAAGTGGTGCAGATTCAAATTTGGAACGAATCAACACTCACTACAATAGGAAAATGCAATATCAAGACAAGAAATCCTGTTGATAACAAGAAATATCTTGTTGATTATAATAGCAAGGCTATTTGCTGATGACTGTGCGGTCTACAAGAGAATCACATCACCTCAGGATGCTGCACTACTTCAAGAAGACTTAGATGCCTTGCAGAAAAGGGAAAGAAAGTGGCTAATGGAAAGAAAGTGGCTAATGGAGTTCCATCCTTCCAAGAGCCAAGTTGTTTGCATAACAAACAAGCGCAAGCCTTCATCTTCAACCTACTCCATCCATGGAATGATCCTTGATGTAGGAAACAATATCTCACTGAATCTACGTTCATCACCAGAGGCCATGGCTCACGTTTCTGGACTCCGTACTACAGCTCTCAAGTGTACTCTTCCTCCTTCTTTCATTGCACCAGCAAAGAATGGAACTCTCTGAAGAAAGACCCAAGAGAGTTTGTCTCACTCAAGCCTTTAAAGCACCAAAAATACTTGTCTACGTACTATTGGCTGTGCCCGCATTAACCCACAGTGCGTTAATCTTCATTTCATGAAGCTGCACTTTTAAGGAAGAAGAACCCGACTCCTCTCCTGAGCACGAAGGCAGCAGAGAAGATGAATCTCATCACGATCAACTATGATAACTTTGAACAGATATATGTCGCCCTCTATCTGAATAGGCAGTACAGTGTCACAACTGTAAGTCTCATAAACAAGATATTGTCACAGAAGTTCAAGCTGTTGTTTCAGGACTCTTCAATTAGGGTGTTTGAACTTAAGCAATTTAAGAATTTCACTGCATTCAGATAAGATACTGCACCTCTGATCAATCATCTTTGGTTCTTTTCTCACAATTTACTACCCCAAAAATGAGGGAAATTCATTAAGTGATATTAAAGAGAGTATTATAGAGAGAGTGGGGGAAGGCAGAGAGCGGACAGAGAAAGAGAGAGAGAGAGAAAGAGAGAGAGAGAGAAAGAGAGGGGGATGAGGTACACGTAGTACATTGTAAATGAGCACTACATTCATGTATAAGTTGTTTATCACTTCAATCCATGCTCAATTATCTTTATTAATTCCTCTGACGAATTGTTAAAGAGTGGGATATCATTCGTTTGCATTCTTAGAGAGCACGATTAAATTCAGAAGCACCTCCAACTGGACACAGACATGTACTTTAACTTGAGTGTTTTTCAAGAATAATGGGGAGGATCACAAGAAGAGAAATAGGGGTACCCAGCATAAGGTTGTTGGGCATATCCATGGTAATAGTCATTCCAATAACTATTTGTGTATCCCTGAGGCGAGTAACTTGAGTATGGCCTTCCATGGTATGCAGCTCCAGGTATTGGAGCAGCAGCATAGTAATCATAGCTTCCATCATACTCCCAACCCTCTACATTAAAGCTTGGTTGATTGGGAAATTGTTCAGTTGTCCAGCTAGGATCATCTGGACATTGTGGATATTTATTTTGTCCTTCACAGTAGTGATTTTCTTCATTGTAGCAGCTATTAGCTTTAGAAAGATTCTTCTCCTTTGCTTTGGCTTGATTTAACCCCATGTGGTGCTTTCCACTCCCATTTCTTGCAGGTTCCTTTCCTTTCCACTTATTCTTGCGGTTGCTCTCAGATGCCTCCTTGCCGTCTTCCTCTTCTTCTCCATTGGTACCGCTGCTTCCACTATCAGTTTCACTTGAAGAAGAGCTACAAGTGCTTGTGTTACTCTCACACAAACTGCTTGAAGACTGATCTGACAGTGTGGCGTCCTTTCTACCAACTTCTGATGGAAGACATGCTGGAATGAAATTTTTGAAAATTGCCCACACAGGGTCATCTAATGATGACACAGAACTGTCATTTTCTAGGGAAAGACTTTTCTGAACTGATGTTCTCACTTGTTTGTCCTTCAAGGTTTCTCTTTCACCCAATTCTGGAATTTGGCTTTCTTCATAACCATTTTTTGTATGATGAACTTGATGTGTCACATTTATCTTGTTACACAAAGGAAATCTTTCAACTTTTTCTCTGTCAGTATCATTAGTGTCCAAATCACCATCACACAAGCTGGTATTTGGATTGCTGATGAGAGCTACATCAAGTTCTTTGGGAGACATCAGAGCACCGAGGGTACTCATCTGGAAGACATGTTGTTTGATTCTTTGCTGCTTCCCTTTCTTCTTTCCTCCTGTAGTATTCCTAACCTTTGGTTTAGTTTCTGTTTCAGGTTCATTCCTTGATCGGATGTCTGGGGAACCATTGGAGACTTGGTGATGAAGCCTACTTTCAACCTGTGGAACTTTGACTGTCTCATCGCTTTCTTGAATGTCTTTGGTTACTTTTGATGTGCACTGGGTCTGTTTTGCATCTTGCTTATCTCCTAACTTTCTTGCCACTTGCTTGTTCACGACTGAAGAAATGTCCATTAAAGGAGTCACACTTTCTACTGACTCTGTCTCTTTTGCCTCTGTTACAGCTGTAATTGCCTCATCATGATGTTCAAGTTTGATCAAAGTAGAGTTGTCTCCCCTTCCTAAGTGATTGCGTATAAATGTATCACAGAGTAGACCCCTGTACCTCTCTATCTCTTGGATGGGTGTTAAGCCAGAGATCCTTTTCTGCGCAATTTCACGATCTGCATTTCCACTCCCATTGTAGACTTCATCTTTGTATTTGTTCTGATAGTCATCACCAATATTGAGATCTTTGCTTGATGTGACATGAGAGTTTCTAGAAGACACATCTGCATCATTTTCTTCACCTTCTAACTGTGATGTTTCAACCGACAGTTCCTTGTCATTTTTCACTGTCTGCTCAATGACATCCGTCTCCTTGTCTACCCTGTCATCTTCTGACCCTTGACCTTTAGTCTCCACTGTTTGACCCTTCATGAACTTTTCAAACGATTCTTTACCTTTATACCAGGTACGAGCTCTTCTTGATCCATCTCCTCTTTTAATATGGGACACTTGAGGAAGACTGAGCTTCCTCACTTCTGGGGCATCTTCAAAGCCAATCGGTAATGTCGGTCTGTCTTTGTGATCCCCACTTCCAGTAACGTATCTTATCTGTGATGTCTTGGCCTTTGGTTGAACAACATCTTCCTGCACAGTTTGGATACATGCATCAACTTTCTGTGGTTCATGGACTCCTCTTCTAGTCTTTGGTATAGGATTTTGGTCCACCATACTTTCCACAATCTTTGTTGTCTTCCTATCCGCTAAACTATCAGCACTATCTTCCATCTTGTGACAACTCCCATTGATTCCCATATGGAGTGAATGTTGTTCATCCGTCCCATTTGCGATAACAGATTTTGGCATGGGGTCTTCTTCTTTATTCACAACTGAGGAAGTCAACAAAGCATCATCTGATGTTTCAGCAGTAGCATTGTTTTCCAGATCATCTGTGGTGGTATTTCTTGTAGAATCCATCTTGGCTGCAGGGAGGAGAGGCTGTGGTGTAATAGAAACCTGTTGAAGTCCCGTTGAGTTGTGGTCCTGCTTCAGCAAATAAGATGGAGGAGGATCTAATGAACAAAAGGAACAAAGATGAACCTTCTAATCAAAAACTTACACAATTATTATCATGTCATCACATGCTCATTATTTTAAATACAGCCCAAGTTACTTCTTTTTTAAAGCTGAAAGAATGCCCTGGTAGTGCAGGAATAATAACTTTCTGATTGACACCTGGTATTATCTAACTACAAATCAGACACTAAATATGAATATCTTTGAAGCTATTTGCATGGTACAGAACAAAATATGAAATGTTACACCTCATAAAACTAAATACAAAAAAATAACAAATATATCGATTTACTTACCAGGTAGCTCTGTCATTGTCACTCGACACTGACGCTGGATATTCCTGAGTAGTTCCATCTCCCTACCCTTGGAAGCAAGGCTGATAGCAGCTCCATGGGTACCGAAGCGCCCCGCCCTCCCAATGCGATGAAGGTAGGTCTTGGTGTCGGTTGGAATGTCTAGGTTGATGATCAGGTTGACATTCTCAGCATCGATACCTCTGGCAGTCTAAACAAGTTGGAAAGACATTCATTAACTTTCTAGTTTTTGTTTATTCATTGTAGTTTTATATGTTCTACTTTCACAATTTACAGTCTTTATTGTTGTTGATAATGTACAACTTTCTGATATATGATCTTACACTGTGGACTACATCAATATAAAGAATGTTCTTAAAATTTGGCAATTTTTCTAAAGCTTTCACTGATATGCTTCTGCTTTCATTCAAGGTACGATTTGATTTGCTATCAATATCCTATCAATGTTCTTGTCATTCCACACAAGTCTTACAGCTGTATTTGCTCAGTTTTCCATTAAATGATCCTACCCTGGCCAAAGTTTGGTCAATTAGACAATTACAGTGCAACAATGTGAATTTAACAGAGGTCAAGTAGTTTCATGGTTAAACCCGACTTTAATAAAAACAAGAATACACACATAGTTTAATTCAACTTGTTAAGAAGTAGTTTAAAGGGCTACCAATACATGTCATAATTATGACTTTACAGAGAAATTTATGAAATCTATTGCTCACTAGATCCGTAGAGATGAGGATCCGACACTGGAATTTCTTTAGCTTGGCCATAGCACTGAGTCGTTGAGACTGCTCCTGTGCACCTGATATACACTCACTAGGCCAACCAGAGTCACAGAGGATGTCACATAGATTCTGAGCCCTACAGGGTCAAAAATACATTGGATAAAAGTCAAATGATACATAAACTGTTGTCCATAGTGTGGTATTGTTATGTCTATGTGCATGTAATTTTTCTGCAAAACAAGCGTTTGTTACTGGATATTGAATAGCATTTTACTGGAATACATAAGAGGGTAACTCTTTCATGACTCACATTTCTTAACCCTTATTGTACTGGGGGGGGGGCCTGGGAGCCCCCCCCCCCCTCGACATTGTTGCAGATCGCGCCGCAACCGCTCAGAATTTTGAATTGTCGTTTCATGACTTTTTTCTCTCAAGTCTTACGCACATTTTGATACCATTTTCGTTGAAATCGGATATACCTGTAAGGTGTTACATAACAATTAGTATGCGCATGTCATCAAAAAAGTGCTATAATTGCATATATTCATGTACAAGCAGAAATGTGAAGATATGAATTGATATCAAATTGCTTTTATATGTTTCTCAAAGTAACTTGATGTATTTCAGAACAAAAAAATACATTAGAAATAAAACAATAGATATAATAAGAAATAAGAAACAATAAAATACATAAGAAAATAAATAGTTGAAAATCGCATCAAATTTGCATAAATTTTCATTATAAATTACATCAAATAACTATTTTGTGTTAGAAAAGAAGTTTTATATGAATAATGAGTTTCAACATTACAAAAGTGGAATTTTTGAAATGATTCTAGTTCCCTATATATATTTCTAGATTTGATATTCATGAATGCATATTCATAATTTATGCAAATTAACCTATGCATTTTCAAATATCATAAAAATAATGAAACCTCGTGAATTTGAGATGAAGGAAACATTTATTCAATACATTTTCAAGATTCTTCACAAGTCTACAGACAAATATGTAGAATTTTCTGTAAAATGCATAAAATTAGCATTTTGCATAATTAATTAGTCTATAACGACAAAAATTTGCATATTAGGAAAAAACTAATTATACCATCTTGTTCCTTATGTAAATATCTACAAACATGCAAATTTAGCGCTCGAAATAGCCCATTACAGTAAGGTTTAATCTTTACCTTGTCTGTAAGTTGGAGAAGATGAGACATTGATTGAAGGATACTTGAGTCAGGATTTTCAGCAGTTTGATAACCTTGATCTCAAATGCTTTGTTAGGAAGAGAGTGGCCAGGTAACTCCACATACAACTGCTTGATGCCTATAATGTAAAAAAAGAAACATTTCCTTTTACACTGTACCTTCTTACAGGCTTGTAAGAAACAAACAAATAACATGACATATTATAATTCTCCTGTCCGCATATATAGGTGAGAACAAGCCAACGAAAGTGGCTCTCTATTTTTACTAGCTAATTTGCGGTGATTTTGCAGTCACATGAACTTCTGGTCAAATCAGGCCACACAGTAACACAGTAACACTTCACTGTCATTAGCACTATATAAGAAAGAGACAAATGTAGAGCTTCGGTATCTACAAATATGTGACTCTGCTGCATATTATAGGAAATTAGGAAGACTGGGCCAAATTTCTTATCATTTTGATGATTCCAGAACCCTGCAGTACACACAATACTTATATGCTAGATGATCAACCTTTTCTGATAGATTCCACAACGTTTCTTTCACAATGCAATCGCATGACCATAACTGGTCTCTATCTTTAATCAACATATATTTAATATCGCTTGCGTATTTTTCAAAATTTATAAGAGCAAGGTAGATAATAAATCACATGAATTAGCATATCGTAGAATAACAAAATGGAATTTTTAGGATCACTGGAAATTAGTGTCTACAAAATCGCCAAGCTATCAGAGGCACAATGCATTATGGGAAATTTGGAATATATATTGCTATATGCGGTAGCGAGAATTAGCATTTTAGCCTATACGGCTTTACAGAGTGGGAGGTTCTGTGACATATCAGTCCAGACTAAAATGTACAGCTCTTTAACAAGGTGTGCGGCACTGACACTAACACCTATCATTTGGTAATTATTGAATCGTTAATATCTTGTCATTATGAACATCACTTTATAACCTCATCTGTCATCCACAGGATCATTTTATTAACTCTGGTTAATCCCCAATTGTCTGATTTATTGCACAGTAGCCAAGGAGCAAAATCTGATGCTTTACTTCATCTCTACAATTAAAGCTTATCTGCTGTAGTTTACAGGAGGGATTAGGCTGCCTGCAAGGTCACTGGACAGGTGGTTATCTCATCAACTCAGCTCTCAGTTAACATAAGAAAAAGAGGATCATGGGGGACCAATGGTCACCGATTAGGCACTGTTTGAGGGCGCAAGTAGCTGCAAGTAGTGCAGTGGGCCTTTAAAGGGAGTGATTCGTCAGTTTCCATGTGCAGAAGGCCATAATTCGCTGACACCAGACTTGGTGGAAAAAAAATCATTAACGTGTGTACAGGGCTGCACACAGTCAACCCGTAGGCCAATCAAGAAATCCTCCCTCGTTTCCTCGGAGAGCCTTCGGGTGAGGGAAAAGTGAGATAATGACTTTACCATGTGAGGGAATGGGTGGAAACTCAGTACATTACATAAGGCCTGTGGGTCATAAAACTGAAGGCTAATTCTGGTGATCGACAGCACCTCTTATTGGGTAAACACCCGAACGGTGTTGAATTCCCCATGAGAGTTAACTACTGTGTGTCTTTAATTAAACATATTTCATGTACTATAAAAAGGCATACATGCCTCTCCTAGCTGAATAACTTACCTCTTAATGCGAGATCCTTTGGATTGAGTCGAACAAACATAGGTTCTCTCATATACTTAGTGAGATGTTTGGCAAGGTACTCGGGGTAGGTTGCGGAGAGTGCTAACATCTGCTTGTTATCTGAAAGGTGGTTGTAAATCCAACTGTAAAGTCAACCAGAAGAGAATTTTATTAGTGATTCACATGAGACAAATATTCCTGTTATCATATTTTAGTCTAGATAAATGCAAGGACTTCTTTCTATCTCCTACTACATGAAGAAATATTCCAAGCATTCTTTGAAGAGTGGGGATTAAGATGTTAGCATCAATCCTGAAATCAACAAAATGTTTTGCATATTATGGCTTGGGTCATGATTGTGAAAGTGAACATCATCATGTTTATCTCTATAATTTGATTTGTAGGGATCTTTGAAGAAAAAAAACTGAAATGAGAAGTGTGTTAACAAGTAAATTTGAGTTTGATATCCTCTCATAAAGGGATAAATCGCAACTCATTTTTCCTATCAAGCAACATCCTTTTATTTAACACTCCCTCAAATATACAGTCTAAAAGCCAGCACTCTGGTCAAAACTATAAGTACTTAAAAGTGAATCAGATGTCATACTCATCTGTAAGGAATAAACTCAAATATTTCCTTTTACATAAAATCTATTAGCGGTCAATACATCAACATGCAACATTGACGACTTACTTGACTTGCTCCTGAAATGTATCATCAAGTAGTTTGTCTGCTTCATCCAAGACAAAAAGCCTGATAGTTCCGGTCTTCAATACTTCATACTCAATTAGCTGTTTGATACGTCCTATAGCACAAATGTACAAAATGTTACTTTAATAATTAGCTAAGTGGCAAATCATTTGGATTTATAATTGAAGACACAAAAACATATTTTGCAAACATTCATAAGTGATTTGAAAGTTTGTTTTCACTCCCTGCATCTACAAAGAGTAAGAAACATGGGGTTTTTTCACAAAGACTAAGATCGACCTGAAGTTGGACCTGAACTATGGCAGGCCATTCATGCTGATGGTTGCTCTCACCATTGGTCTCTCAAGGGACATCACAAATCTACAGAATTTACATTTTCTGATAGTTCATTTGAAGAACAAAAGTTACTTACATTGCAAATTTATGTTATATTTAAGACTGGGACTTATGGTAGGCGATTTATGCTCTTAAAAAGTCTTGAACCAGATGTAAAATTATGATCTTTAGATTATATTTTTCCTGCAATAATGAACTATCACAAAAATTGAATTCTGTAGATTTGTGGGTCCCTTGAGAGACCAATGCCAGGAATGGTGAGAGCAACCAGTTCATAAACAGCCTGCCATAGTTCAAGTCCAACTTAAGTTGATGTTAGTATAATTTGTAAAACACTCCCCAGGTCAATCAAAGCAAATGAAACTTCTATCTTGACAATATGATTTTCCTCTCATCCTAGATAAACCAAGGAAATCAGGAAAGGTAAAATTGTGTGATGTGATTTAATACAAAGAATATTATTAAGGGAGAATTTTTTCAACCGACAAGAAAGTGTGAAAGAGTGGTTCTTCTCATGACTATGTACATGTACACGTATGGTGGCTCTGTGAGTATGAATCTAGCCAAGTGTTCGTTTTCCTTTTTTTTGGGGGGGGGGGAGGGGAGAATGTAGGAAGAAGTAACCTAGAAGAAACATAGAAAGAAATGTATGTTGAGCCGTGAGCACACTGTGTTTCCTTTAAATTTCATTAAACACACAAGAAAAATCTCATATTTACACACTTTATCAGTCCGTTCCATTTGTATAATTAGTGCAGTGGGCCTTGAAAGAAGCCTTACTCAAGCATAAGTATCATGTGATGGGCTTCACTGGATGAGTCATCATTATTTACCTGGTGTACCAACAGCTATGTGACACTTCTTCAACTTCTGCCTGTCTGGTCCAAATAGAGTACCTCCGATAAACACATGAGAACGTAGTCCCTCCATCTCACATCCTATAGCTCGAATAGTGTCTTGAATCTGGACTGCAATCTCTCTCGTGGGGGCTAGAATCAGAACCTGAGTAGATGGATTGGTGAGATCTATTCCCTCTAGAGCTATGACACTGAACACACACGTCTTCCCTGTGCCAGACTTAGCCTGGACAATCAAGTCTAAAACAAAAACAAAATACCAGTAAGTTAATTTACTAGTTAATTTTTCCTAATTCTGAAAAAGAATATAATCCTCCATGATCATCTACATGTATAAACTGAAGTATAAATTATAATTAGGTAAGTCGGGTAAAACAGGCAACAAACTAGTCTGATATGTAGTTGACTTAATACCAGTAGGCTTAGACTAGTTAGACCTACCCTTGATATATTTGCTCAAAAAATGCTACAAGTCTTCTCGCTCATCAGCTATACTTGCTACCTTGCATAATATCCTTCAAAATGTATGGGTAAATATTCTTGAAAAGTGAAGTGTGAAAAAAGTATATTGCTTGTTTTTTTTTTGCTTGCTTTTAAAACCTGTGAAGGGGTAGTCACTTTCGTCACCTTCACCCCTCTCTTTCAGTATACGCTACCTTGCACTGGCATACCGATGGATGGGGGGGGGGGGGGTTGGGGGCAGTTTCAGTTTAATTTGCAGTTTCAGTTTCAGTTTTATTTTTCATTTCCAACAGAACAGTAATTATGACAAGAAATCAGATAAACAATTCAACATTCAATAATATAATACATTTTACATGGTTTAAAGTTGTGAAATAGAAAGTATACATAATTATCCAGTAGTCTATAATGGGTTTTTTTTTAAATGGTTTATTTCTAATTCGATACCAGTGATTTCCAAATGTTAGACGGGCCAAAATATTAGTACTTATCCCCCCCCCCCCCCCCCCCCCACTAAGAGAAATAATTCAAATTCTAACTCAAACTTTATTGATATTAATCCAAACAGGTAGAGTAGAGACCCGGCCCCCCCACTCCGGGGCCGGAATGACCGCATGCGTGTTACCAAAATGTCCGGTAAAGGGTACTTTTCGTGCGACAAACTCCGGCCCGAGAATTGTAAAAGAAAGGGGTGTATTTGACTTTTCACCTGGAGATTTCTTTAAAAAGGGGGTGTTTTTCTTTTTTTCTCTCATCTCTTTGGATCCTGAGAAATTATTCCAAATTTAGGGAGTACATTGAGCATTTTTCCGTATTTAGGGGGGTCTCCAAGGCAGGAAAAGCCCGCGTAAAGCCCGCGAAGGGGGGGGGGGTTCGGAAATGTTGGCAGTCCTCATATACATATGTAGGGGGTGCTTTCAAAAAGAGGGAACGAGCATACATTGTACGCGTACCCTAAATAACACTGAGTTGGGGGGGGGGGGCCGGGAGTAGAGAAAACAATAACCAGGATTTCGGGGGCTAAATCAAATAATTTATTTGTTTGGGGGGGGGGGGGGTTAATGCCCATTAACCCCCCCCCCCCCTAGCTCATGGAGGGGGCAAAATGAATTGAAAAAATGTAGTGCTCCACTGAGCAAAATAATAGTTGGCGTGATTTTCAAATTTCGGGCCCCCTCTCTTGGAAAATCCTCCCCCCCCCCCCCCTCCAAAGGCTCCTAAAATTTAAAACCTCCCCTTCCCCTCCCTCCCCCAGGCCACCCATTGACTAAGTTAAATCTCACCTAAACCGCATCTCCCAAGTGGTATTGCCTTTAATTGAATAGGTGAAGGTTTCTCAAAACCAACTTTCTGTAATCCGGCCGTCACGGGTTCGGAAAGGAACATAGATGAGAAGTCAACATTGCTGTTCTCTTCAGTCAAAACATCACTGGTTCTCTCCCTTTCATTGATAGCATGGGCTGTTCTCAAGGAACCCGGAGCTCCCATCCTTGCTTGGCCGGTCTGCGTCTCCATTTCTCACGAACTTGAGGCGTTGTAATGTCTACCTTTGATGTAATGAGGCAGATACGGCAGAAACAGCAGTAGTCTAATGTGCCTCCATAAACAGATAAATACCTCTGCTTAGCTTGGCCATGGACTGCATGCATGCTGCATGTACCCACGCGACCGTCGACGTCCATACGACGTACGTACAGAAACAGTATGGAACGCCAAAATGACAATATAGACCATCAAATATAATTATAATGCATAACTTTTTGCCATATGTTACAAATTATTTCATTCACCCGTTACAAATTATTGTATTTCAATAGTCAGAATGCAAATTACATAGTTGTTGCCAGGTAGGACAAAATGTATGGCTTGCCCTACCTAATAACATGGAATGCATGTATAATTCGCTTTGATCTGACTATTGAAATACAATTATTCGTATAACAGGTGAATGCCATTTGTAACGATCGAAAGTAAACAGGCAGGCACGGATCCAGGGAGGGGCGGAGCGGGCCTTTGCCTCCTCTCCCTGTCCCCCCCCCCCCCCAAAAAAAAAATAGACGGCTCCCCTGCCCCCCCCCCCTGCCCCCCTGCCCCCCCCCCAAAAAAAAACAAGTATTACAAACAAATTGTGACCAGAAATTTACCTCTCTTTTTTTGTGCTCAAGGGGGGGGGGGGGGGGGTGTAGAGTAAAAAAAAAAGCGCTCACTAATATGCCATCCCCCCCCCCTCACTGAGCGAAATCCCGGCCGGCTCGATTTTCAAATTTCCGGGGGCTCACTGGCTTAAAACTCCTAAGCTTACGGGGGCTCCCCCCCCCCCCCCCCCCCCCCTGGATCCCGACGAGGGCCCTATATAGGAGGGCCCTGGGTGCTCATCTGACCGAAAGACCTAGAACCCCAGAGCTTCCAGGAGCTCTGCCCCCTGGACCCCACCAAGAGCCCTAGCTAAGGCAGGCCCCGGTTTGTAGATGCTCATCTGATAAGATATGCCTAAAACCCCTTAGCTTCATGGGGCACAGCCCCTTGGACCCCCCCCCCCCCCGCCAATTAGTTACCTGCCAGTCACAAATAGTAAATATGTTACCGTGATTTAATGCATACAACTCTGAGCTTCGCCGGGTTAATTAAAGCCTCTGGACCCCACGCCAATTTACGCTCTACCTGATAATACTCCACTTTGAAAAACGTTCTGCGGGGCTTGCATGTAAAATATAAGAGTGGTGGACTGGAGGTGATGCAAATTTCTCTTCTGCCCCCCCCCCCCCCCAAAAAAAAACAAAAAAAAAAACGTTTTTGCTCATTACGCCACTGCCCCTGAAAGGTGAGCCCCAGGAATGTTGATTTTTATATAAACAGTTTATCTAAATTCAAATTGTTAATGATATAACTGGGAAAAAATACTCAATACTTGTGCATCCACACAAAAACACATTACTATCACTATAACTTGGATACTGGAGTGAGGAAATGAAATTCTTATGGGGAAAATGGAAATTTATATTATCAATATAAAGAAAATAATCATAGTGATGCATTGACGTCACAGACTCATGAGTAAGTTGTCAATTTGTCTTGTGATTTTCAAAGTTGTTCCGATGTCATTAATAATTAATAACTTTCTTAATAATAGTTATCTGATTTGCTCAAACTTTTTTTGATTGGCCGGTTTGTCTGATTTTTTTCTTCTATTGAAAGTAAGATATTTTGGAGTGGACTTGCCCTTTAAGTGCATGAAAGCTATAGAAAGTCGTTTCCAGAGTGTCGTTATTCAAGATCAAGCCCTTAGATGAGTTTGGAAAGTTCATTGTTATTTTGTATATACTGCTATTACATTATGTATGGTGTGGTGTTCCACTTTTTATTTTGATTTTATCTTATTTTCTTCTGCATTCATGTAAGTACACAGTTTTTCGATAATAATAATAATATAAAGTACAATAAGTTTCGATAACTTATTCAAGATCAAGTCCCTCAGATGAGTTTGGAAAGTTTATTGTTATTTATATACTGCTATTAGCATTATGTATAGTGTTCCACTTTTGATTTTGATTTTATTTTATTTTCTTCTGCATTCATATAAGTACACAGTTTCTCGATAAAAATAATTATAATATAAAGTACAATACGCATTTTTCTGACAATGAATCATGAATAAGCAAATACATAATGTATAAATTGTTATTTTGAAAAACGAAATGATAAACTGTCATAAATACTAAATATTCTCAAACGTTATAAAACATTTTTTGTTTAATTGCGGAAGAAGGACTGTCATTGTAAGCAGATGCTCGATAATATGACAGCCCCAGACAAAACTCATCAAATAGATTAACACAATTTATTAAGCAGAAACGGATAGGTAATTGAAAATACAAATTTTGATGATGGTGATATTGACAACTTTGCAGATGAGGATGATGATGATGATGATGATGATGATGATGATGATGATGATGATGATGACGATGATGATAATTATTCGAATGAAAGAAGAGATGACATTATGATAAAGACTGAAGAGTTGACACAAACATTTTACCTTGAATATTCTGATAATAACATCGTTGGCCTTAATAAAGGGAGCAACATGATTTAATAGGTTCTGGCAGCGAGAGTTCCATAGGTCAGGACCATGGTGTCAGTATGGGTCTATGGGCATAAGTAATAAATGATAAAACTTCGGAAAGACCAAAGTTTAAAATACAAAATACATGAATGTACAACATAAAATTGCAGATATTACTTTGGAATACATTCTAATTATCAACAACATTTGTGTTTAAATACTTTGGTATTAATTATAGTCATTTAAAAATATAGAAGACTTGCCATACTAATTGAGTAATAAGCCTTGAAAATAAAATCAACTTTAGAGTCGTACTGAGAATAAACCAGCTCGCTGATTTCACATTCTTATTCATATTGTCCAGAAACCTCGCGAGTCTTCTCAATAACATATCCCAAGTAGGCCACCCAATATTCAAATGCGCATCTTCTTTTTATCTTCATACCTTTATATCTAATTGAAATCCAACTGCCATGCACATACATCTGTGAATTTTGATGTACCGTCCCCCTCAGTGGCGTAATGAGCAAAAACGTTTGGGGGGGGGGGGGCTGACAAAAAAATCCGCAGCACCCGCACTCTATAACATGCAGGCCCCGCTGAGCGTATCCAGGAATTTCTTACTGGCGGGGGGGGGGGGGGGGGCACAAAATGGCATGGGGCTAAATATTTGTAAAACGATGAAGTGACAGAACGAGGGATTAGCGGCGAGGGAGCGGAGCGACCAAGCGTGGGTGGGTCTGGGTATATAAGAAGCATTTGCAATTTTAGAACCAAATTAGACGCATTTTCAGGCACTTCCTGGAGTAATATGACGTAAAATTGCTTTCTCCTACCCCTTCCAAGAATCTTTTGCAATTTGAGAACCACATTTGGCGCATTAATGTCCACTGGCACTTCCTGAAAAAACGAGGCCCTATGATTGGTTTAGAAGTTAGAGAAAAATGATCTTTTTTACTAGTGTTATACTGTTAGTGGTCACGGTCCTTAGTGACTATAAAAAAAACATAGGCTCTTCCTGGTCATTTTGGGAATGTGTCAGTTTGCAACAGAAATGGAGAAACGCGCATTTTGTTGAAAATCATGTGATATATCACGAACATTATACATCACTTGTAATTGGAATTGAAAATAAGTCATGGTTCAATTTTATTGGGGGGTGGGGCTGGCGCCCCCAGCCCCCCCCCCCCCCCACCAGTACGCCAGTGGTCCCCCTCTTTATTTTGTTCTTCTTCTTTTTTTCTCTCTCTCTCTCTCTCTCTCATTTCCCTTTTACCAATATTTTCACTCCGTATCCATTGAGGGTAGCCATGCTAACAAGCTTTGCTTACCTTGAACCCTCGATCCTGTTTGATGTTTTCGATTCGTTACAGCCAGCCTTACATTCTTTTGTCACTAAAATTTGCAATTTAAATTTTTTTTTTTTTACATATTTGTAAAACTGCAAAGGAAAATGAAAATCAAACAGACATGAATAAATCAAATCAAATCAAATCAAATCAATAAAGCTTAAGAACCACAGAATAGTTTAATGAATATCACGAATATCAAAATGTTACCTTTGCATTTTTTCTTTCGAATCATATAAACATGATGAATTATAGTTTGGAATAAGTGATCAACTTACCTCACTTGTATAGGCCTGTATAAGGCTGTAACAACACATATCTAACTGCCTACTTGTAAGTTGACTCATCCTTGTTAGTTGTTACTTCATTATAACAGACAACACCTTTCCATCTTTGAGGCAAGCGTAATGCGTGTTTTTGACCACCAAAAAGAAAAATAAAGAGAAAAAAGGAGGCCCAGAAGCTAACTTAGGCCCGACATGATTATTGTGGAAGGACGGTTTGTACGAATGTACACACGTGCTACGCATCCATGCTTGGATTTGCAATCCTCAAGTCCGTGGTTGTAGTTTCATCCACTATATCCTCGCGTGCTTAGTTTCGAAACTAACCACTCTTAGCTGTTGACGTCCTTTGATGGGGTTTATCCGGAAGTCTCACTGCACAGCTCAGCATACATTTATTTCAGCTAATTTTAAAGTTGTAAAATCCATCCAGACAGAGTTTTGGGGTAGCTTTTGCATCATGTCTCATCAGACTGGTATCAAACGTAAGTATATTTAAAGATTAGATACATTAATAACCGTAAGGTTAAATAATTTTACGCTGCGTAGTTGTAGTTCACTGTTCCCGCTACCGGTACCATGCCATCACTGCACAGGGCCCAGTGGGCGAGGCCCGCTCTCGCGGTAGGCGTGATTCGGACTGCCTGCCTTCAAAGTCTACTGATGTGAGTTGTCGGTGCAAAGCGTCGGTGCAGTGGAGCTGGAGTGAGCGTGATCAGTGGACAGGAACTTTAATTTGGGTAGCTCTACGCTTATGGCTTAATTACTGATTATGCAGTAATGCACGGATATACTTTGCTGATGATAGTTGTTTGACATTGTCACTAGACTAGTCAATGTGAAAGTTGTTGTTGCTGTTGCCTGTTGTTTACAATTAACATGAACATGTAGGCTAGTGTAGGCCTATTACTTAATAAAACATAATAAACAATAGCAGATGTGTAACATTAACTGCACATGATCTGATCAGTGATACAGTTCTGCCTGATCTTTTTAGTTTTATCAATTCAAGACTCTTGGCATTACACTTGGAAACAACAACAGGGGTGGCGGGCGCTGGTCTAAGAATGAGGATCTCCGCACAAACGACGAGGATGTCCTCGAACACGTGGACAATTTGCGTCCTAAAAAATTAGGATCATCCGTGATTTCTTTTTTTCTTTGGTGCTCTGCGGGTGTAAGGTTCCAATCCGCGTGCTGGCAATGTGAAAAAACGGGATTCCGCGTAATAAAATACCCCCAGTTCACTGTCTACATTTATGGGTTGTCTGTCTTTCCGAAAATTAATCGCTCATAACGTGTTTTTCGCATCGCCAACGCGCGAATCCGAAATAAGAATCGTCCGCGAAAAATGCGGACGATCCTTATTTTTGAGGACATGTCTGTCTGCGTTTACGAAGATGATTCTCGTTTATGCGGACGATCCTTATTCTCGGACCATGCAGCGCCCCTACTGTCAATAGTGTAGTAGTCTTGGAAAACGCTTGAAATCCAGACGTACTGAATGACCCGTTCAATCTGTATTTTTGAACGATGGTTCAATGGCCTTACTGGGGCACAGGCACAGGCTATACATCAATACCTGAATAGATATTACAGCAAATGGCATGATTAAACTTTAGATAAATAAGTCTTAACCTAAATAGGGCCACAGGTTCAAATGCCATCCCAGCTCGAGTTCTCAAGACTTGTGGCAATGTTGTGCTCAAGAAATAAAACCAGCCCAGAGCCCTCTTGCATAAAAGTCGAGTTGCGATTTGACGCAACTCGGATCAAACGTACATGTAAGTGCGCATTGCATAAAGATTTATGCAAGAGGGCCCTGCTGGCTTAACAATATTCAGATAATCACTAGAAATCGGTACCTGGCCCTGCATGAAGATTGTCCAATCTTTTTTGTTTATAATATAAGGCTCAAAACCTAGCAACTATATAGACCATGTAGACCAAGACCAGTTTCGCTTACATCTGTCTGTCACAAGATTATAGAAATGTCATATATACTGCACATTAATATATCTTTATTACGTCGCATTATGAATTCCTTAACTTATCATTTGACAACAGCATGGTTTTCCCTGTACATGTAACAACTCAAACAATACCCTATCAATTGTGAATTTGTGACTACCTAATGCTCTTGCTAAATCAATGGACAAACACTGAAAGTACTTTATTAAATACAGGTCTGATATAAATTATAATGTACTTTCATAAAGCCCTTGATGTAGCATATTTACCTCACCACATGCTCATGCTAAAACTTAACCATTATGGAACTAATTATCCAATAAAGAACTGGATCAAAGGCTTCATCACACAAGAAGCAGAGAGTTTACATAATTATGTGGTTCAAGAGGATTCAGACTCGATTAAAGTTCAATCCGGAGTATCGCAAAGCATGGTACTCTGCGCGCTGCTCTTTTTAGTGTACATGTACATCAACGATCTATCTGACGACATTTTCTCTACTGCTGGATAATTTGCAGAGGACTGTGTATACAGAACTATTTTAACAGATACCAATGCTAACTTCATTGAATTGAACTCTTTGTACCCAGTTTTGTTTTCTTAGCTTTTTTGTTTTTTGAAATGTATAATAAGTTGGATAAACAAAAATAAAGAACATTTCTCAGCAAAATTCTAGAATTCTTTTCTGTAGATGTTTTCTTCAATATTCTGAAGGAAATATAGATCTACAGTGGAAACGTGTTATAACAAGGACATTGGGACTATCCAAATTCCCTTTTATGTATTGTATCTTGTTATATTAAGGTTTGATGTAACAATTTTCCTCTAAAAAAGGCATGAATAACCTTCTAGAGTACATCGTTTGTAGACAAATACATGACTGAACTTGAAGAACTTTGTGACATACTGATAAAGAACCTCAAAAATGAACATACTTTTCGTAGCCTCCGTACAGACTTACATCAGAGAATACAAATGTGATTCAATTCCTGTATGTTGACTATGCCTCTACAACAGTAACAATTCTCTTCCTTTTTTCCTCCTTTAAAAAAAAAACTAACAGCTTCCCCTGAACTGGCTGAAATAATTGCAGTAGCCAAAGACATACAAGGAAGGACAAGAGCATTAAAGGTGATAATTGTCAATGGTGAGTATGAAACAAGGAAGAAATTTGTACAAGATGCATGTTATGGAAGGGCAATTCAGGACTGGTATTAGGGTCTAATGTGCCACAGATAGTATAGAAGATATCCTCAGGTAAAATACATTTGATATGTCCATGTCCTGTCAATTGGACATAATTGAATGCATTGTTTTCATGTACACTGTTTGTTTATTTATTCAGTTATTACAGTTTCATCATATTAATCTAACAATCACCTGAATACTGAAATGGTGGTCCCAAATCCCGGTCCAGAATATGATTTTATGAATTTTGTATCCCCCATCCTGTGTTGCCCTATTGTGAAAAAAACTGCAGGGATACATACAAATGATAATAATTCTGTGCTTGTAAACCACACAAATCTGCATGCAAGAGGCACTCTTGGTGTAAAATGAAATTAGGATCAAATGTGTAAATTGCCTCAATTGATTTGTGCAATTCTCGTATGGTTTAGTCTGTTACACAGGTAGACAAAAGAAAGAGTTAAATGCTCACATTTGAATTCTTCCTTTCTATTTTTCTTCTGTAATCAGTATATTGTAATTGTATATTCAAAGGGAATTCTGAAAATATTTGAGTACTCATGTACATGTATGCTGAGATCTTATCACTTGATTTTACCCTCTCAACCTTCTTCTCACAGAGCAATTGGAGCTAGCAGAGAAATGTGATGTCAGAGGCACATGGGAAGCTGATATCCTTTAACACAGTTTAGTACAAAGTCAATTTTTAAGTATGTGACATTGCCAATTAGTCAAGATGTTTACACAGCATTCTGTCATGATACAGCTATGCCAGTTTATCGATACAAATTCATAGTACTAGAATTATATATATCTTGATTATTTCATTATATTTTACCAAGGATGATTTAGCACTTTTTATTAAAGATGTTACCAATTAAAATCTTGTTACATTTTTTTGAAACACCCCATTATGTAAAAATTTGAAATACTAGAAAGTAGAAAGGAAAAAGCTGAATGTCTTTGGTATAGTCCTTGACCACAGGAATACATTTTGATGCCGTGATACAGCCACTGCTGGAAGAGAAGACACCCTCCTACATCCTGTACCGGACGGACAACCAAGATGATAAGGGATCATACAAGTGGATCTTCATCCCCTTCATCCCAGATAATAGTCCAGTAAGTGTCAAGAATGGTCTACAGTTTTTTAATTTTATATGTTTGATTACAATCAATAAAAACTACAACACTTACAGGTAATTATTTAATGATTACTGTGATAAGAATGAGGAAGGAAAAAAAAATAATAAAAACTAAAAGTGGCAGTAAAGTTGTACAAAAAATTGAAGGTCTTAAAGCGGGACTTCATTACTTGTAGCTACTATAGAACCAACAATGCCTAAGCGGTACCGGTTGATCTCCCATGGTCCCCTTCCTCTTATGTTTAATAGTTGAGAGCTAATTTGATGAGATAACCACCTGTCAGTGACCACGCAGGGAAGTCTAATCCTGCCTGGCCAAACTAGTGCAGATAGACTTTAAACATATATAGGTTGCAATTAAGTATCTAAAACAATGTTAATTTGTGAGGTATGATAAACCGAGGCCGCTAAGAAAGTTCCACTGACTGACACCAGCAAAAAGAGTAAATTAGAGCCCCCGGCTGCTGTTACCTTGACCAGGTGTCAAGGGTACGGCGGCCGGGAGAACCTCCATAGTTTGTCCTATATGCTCTCGTTTAAAACTTTAAAAACATCATATATGTAGGAGTATGCCCTCAACACTATTGAATATGTCTACCAGTTGTTCTATTGTTAAATTACTACTACAGTACTTCTACCGCTACTACTACTCCATCCACTCCTTCTTGGTTATTGAGTCTGACAGCAGAGACGCCAAGTTCAAAGATCAGCAATGCGTGATATTTTCATAAATCGGCGCGCAATCGCGCGAGCGAGGGTACACGTATAAGGTATAGCGTTTATTCTAAATCAAGAGCGCGCGTCGTGCGTGCGAGCCTTTTCACACCCTCAAATTGCGTGATTGCGTGATACTTGGTAGCTCTGTGACAGGTCGATTGTCCCTGGTGAGATGGGTCATAGTCAACCTTGATTCTTGGTCAGAAGTGTTTTTAGTCAACTTGTTTTCAATCGTTTTGTACAGAATTCATTATTTGGAATATGCCCTGGATTCTAGGGTTCTTAAGATGGCTCATACATCACCTCCCAACTTCTGACTTCATTAAATTATTCACAGTAGCTATCAAACCTTGTAAAGGAATCATTTACAGTCATACATTGATACAATGTTCAGAAGTATATTATTGTTTGCTTTGAATTCAGTCCCCATGTATGGACTATATCTATGGACATGTTTCACTTTGAATCAGCAAATTGCAGACATGATATAAATGTTGATGCCGAAGTAATGCAGCATTATTTCTCTTTTCTATTACCAGGTTCGTCAGAAAATGTTGTATGCTAGTACAAAAGCAACAATGAAGAGGTCTTTTGGAGGAACTAGTCATATAGATGAGGAACTTCCAGGCACAACAAAGGTAAGACCCCATTCCCTCACATTGAATTTTAAAAATAAAAATTCATTTCCCCAACTCTACTATTTGAACCTATTAAATATCAGTATACACAATATGAACAGGAACATCTGCAATTAACCTTTTAATTATTCAAGAGCTGTTGGTTTTAATTGTCTTATTCATAGAGCGAGTGTATATGCAATTATAACCAATAATTAAAGTCCTGGGACCAGTTTTACAAAGCTTTTTTTCAATGACAAATGACAAAATTCAGTGACAAATCTGCTGATAGCCAATCAGAAGCAAGGATTTCAGTAGCTTATAACAAAAACTGTCATTTGTCACTGATGACAAGTTTTGTGAAACGCCCCCAGAAAGTAGTATAGAAATGATCTCTTGAAGAAAAAAACAAACATATGATATGTTTTCACCAAATGATTTGAATTAACCAAGAGCTGTCTACTTCCCGTTCTTCAGAATGAGGTGTCCTTTGAAGGCTATAAAAAGCACCTGGAAATGAAGGCTGCTCCCGGTCCTCTGACGGAGGCAGAAGAGGAGGCTAAGCAGGTGATGGAAATGGAAACCAGATCAGATATTGGTGTGGACACCAAGAGTCAGACATTACCCGGTCTTGCCTTCCCTGTAGAGGAAGCTGCCATTCAGAGGATAAAGGAGGTCAGAGCGCTCAAAAACACCTATGTACAGCTGGTAGGTATCTTCAGCGTCATATAAGTGATCGTAAGAATTGATTGTCGTTTTAAAGGTACCATTTACTTACTCACTTACTTGGGTGTAGAGCCATACCATAGGGTGGAGAGGTATTGTTTGATTTTGTTGACAAATGTTTAAAAAATCTATCCAAGTGATTACAGGGAGCAAGGTCATAAAAGCTCATGTACTGCATCATTGGTGACAGTGGTATGGAAATACTGTGAAATTACTCTGTATTCATGACATCACCGATTTATGATGATATCCATGATATTATTGTTTACTTAAGTGCTCTGACATATTCTCTGGTGGTAATTGCTTGGGTATTATTTTGTGAAAGATGTAGCAATAGTTTAAGGGTTGCGATTCAGTTAGAGTTCAGTTAGGTATATTTGGTCAAGAGTTAACACTATGAACTCAGTCATTGTAGAATATTGATCGCAATGTGTTGTACCATCATTTGTACCACTGCACCCATAGAATTCCTATTGAAAATCAATGATGATCATTCCATTACAAAATATTTTTGTTATAATCTGACTACCTGTTTATGAGATAATCTTATTATATGTTATGACACCAAACGTTTTTTATGATTTACTCCACAGTTGATCGATGCCAAAGAGGAGGTTATCAGGTTAGCAAACTGTGACCATACGAACGTGGATTCTTTGCCATCTAGAGTGCCTGATGATAGCCCGAGGTATCATCTCTTTGTTTTCCCGCACACGTATGAAGGAGATAATCTCAACAGCATAGGTAAGACGATTGCTTCATGGTTGGTGTTCATTTACTATCAGCAATAACAAAAACATCAACAGTGAGTAGGTTTTCATTCTGAAATGGCTGAATTCCTTGAAATCATACAAAAATCACCAATATTGGATGATTCAAGTATTTAAGGGAGTCAAAAGATGTGCATTTTCATTTTTGTTTTTGTTACCAAACCACTTGCCTACAATATTAGCGCAACTGTAAATCACATTGTGTGAAATCATAGAGGTGATAGATATTGTGATTCAATGGTGATCAGACCTCATTGACATTATTGAGGTAAAGAGAATAACAAAAGTGGGGGGGGGGGGGGGGGAGTTGGGGACGAGGTTTCAATATCATATCATGACATGTAATCTTGTACACAGAGATTGTCTTGATTGAAATCCAGAGGTACATTAGTGAGATATTTGATCTGGTTTTCTTTTGTGTTTGTCTTCCGATTACAGTGTTCATCTACACAATGCCTGGCTACAAGTGCCCTGTTAAAGAAAGGATGTTGTACTCGAGCTGTAAGGCTCCGTTCCTGTACAGCTTGGAGCAGATGGGTTTCGAGCTGGCAGCCAAGGTGAGTAATGAAGCGAATAGGAAGGGGACTGGGTGTGGAGCCTGCTCCTTACCGCCCCTTCCCAGCTGTGAAACCATCAAAAAATAACCCAGCACTAAACAGGGTTGAACCTGCTGCTGAATACATTAGAAGGATGTCTGATGACTTCTAATGGCACCTGGTTATATTGGATTTAAGCCACACTGTACCACTTGTAGCTACTTGCTCCCTCTATATAGAAAACAATGCCTAATCGGTGACTATCGGTCCCCCATGATCCTCTTTTTCTTATGTTAATTGAGAGCTGAGTTGATGAGATAACCACCTGTCCAGTGACCTTACAGGGTGGTCTAATTCCTCCTATAAAATAGTACAGATAAGCTTTACACTGTAATTGTTAACATTGTTGTGCCATAACCAGTCAAAGATTCTATAAAACTCAGAAAGGTAGCAAAATGGTTATGAATTTAACTCATTCGAATGAGAATGAAAAAACAAAGTTTGAATTCACAGTTAGTCTAATAAATTCATTGCCTATTGAAGTCCTGTACATTGTGTTACTTTCATGCAGATTGAGATTGGAGACCGCGATGAACTGACGGAAGAGTTTCTTATGAGTGAAGTGCATCCTATAAGAATGGTTCACAAGCCAAAGTTTAGCAAACCTCAGGGACCAGCAGGAAGGAGAGGTCAATCACGGGTCACCAATACTAACAAATGAATAAGTTATTGAAAGATGTTTTTATGCATTGAATACCGGTGTGTTTTGAGCTGAGGATGAGTATACCTATAAACTAGTACCTAGAAGTTAACCACAGTTCATTGTATCCGAAAACAGTTTTACAATTCCAAAACAACGTCCATCTTCTGAAGAGAGTTTGAATCATGTCTAGAAATTATTGTTACTTCTCTTTATTCTTAGCCCACAGTGTAACTTATCTTTATTCTAAATCTACAATGAATCGTGGGATTTATATGTACATATTATTCTATTTCCTCATTTCACGTATGTTGTTCCTGTGAATGATTAAATTTACAGTGTATTTCATAATAGCAGTCACTGTATATTTCCTTCAGATATAAAAAGGTCCTTTATCCCAGAACTTGCTTTTATTGCTATTTTATAGAGCAGTAGTAAGGTGAATAAGACCGAACGTTAGGCACTTTGGAGGTTTTGAAACCAAATTGGTGGTGTATACAGTATTAGAGATCAGGCTCATTTGTAATTAAATAATATAGTGTTGTATTGTTAATCTCCCATGTCAAGCAGTTGCAGTAGTGAAACTTAAGTACTGATGGCATTGGCATATATTTCTCCCTTCATGCATCCACATTATAAGTTGATTAAATGATTCTTGTAATTGTAATTATCTGTAGTGTTGGAGCAAAGACCGGTCCATTAGGCAAAATGGTGATTAAGTTTTGAAAAGTACCGGTATGTGTGCAAAATGTAGTTGTATCGTTTGTTGTTAATACAGAATATAATATAACTTTTAAATCATTTTAGCGAAACAGAATTGTGGCATATTGTAACAAGATTAATGTCTGTAGAAAGAAGGGGAGAACATAGCCAAAGCATACATTAACCTTGAAAAAGTAGAGAAAACTCACTGAAAAGTACAAAACTCTCAATCTCTCTCTCTCTCTTTGATATAAGATATAACCAAAGCATACATGATGCATCATCTTGAATAAAGTATAGTATTACTATTTCCTGTTTTTCTTCCAGGAAATAAAGAACAATGGGAATAAGTATTGTCATAACAATGCAAGAAAGAAAAATGCTGTAATGCTTTGAACTTACACAAAGTATTTGTATAACTTTTCTCAGTTATGTCTTCTTATCAGTTTGAATTTCTTGCGTGGAATCTTTTCTTTCATTTATATACATATACCATTAAAGGTATAGACCAGTTCTGGTCATGCCATTGCATTGTGAAAGAAACGTTGTGGAATCGACCAGAAAAGGTTGATCATCTAGCATATAACTTTTGGTGTGTACTGCAAGGTTCTGGAATCATCAATCAAAATGATAAGAAATTTGGCCCTAGTCTTGGTAAAGTTACAAGCACTGTACACAAAAAGATGTATATGGGACTACCCTATATCTATCCAGTCCAGATAGATATAATTATTTACCAAATATATCAATTAGTAGGCGGTTTCCCGGCAAAATTTGTATCATTATATATTAATCAAAACATATTCTTTCAGATGATTGGCAATAAGAGCTTCCATTTCATTTTTTGAAATGGAGGCGTTTCCAAAACTGGTCTTTACCTTTAATACCCAGCCTCAATCCTTAAAATACTTGTTACTGAACGGAGTAAGACCCCATGTGGTATACTTGTTTAACGTGTGAGATGAAGTTATAAGCAATGTAAATGTGTAATACCAAGATTGCCTTGGGATAGTATGGGATATCAGGTTAATAAAACTACTGATTTAATCATTTTCTTATTCAAGAAAAGATGTAAAATAAATTTTATAGAATTTACAGAATTTTGTAGAACGTTGCTTTTAATTATTATTAAGCATGAATAAAGCACAGATAGTGAATTGTTGTCCATCTTGATTTATTTATTCACTCCTTTCTCTCACAATGTACCACAACAATTGCAAATAGATGATTTATTTTCATATGTACATGTACTAGTCTGGTATCGGCTTAATACGCCATGAGTTTATTCCTACTTTGTTCTGTCAAACAAGACCATGTTTTCTTCACAACAGAATGCCTTTACACTGAATCAGAATCTGTAACGTGGTATGACAGAAGTACATATTTTGATATCGTGTCTTTTTGTACTAGATAACCCTTTTCAAATATTTTTCCTTTTATCCTTGCTGATTGAAAACAAGAAAGACAAAGATTGAAACTGTTCTATTTCAATCCAAAATTTAATGAAATTCATAGCACAAACAGCACTGGAGAAGGTATGAATTATCTATCAGACGAAAATGCTTTCAATTTCAAAGTCCATACTATGTACATGAATTATATGCTATGAAGATGGAACAGATGTTGATGACGTTAGCTCTACTTGCTTCTTCTCTCGTAAGAGTTGCTCACTTCTCTGAATAGATTCTTCCATCATTTCTATCATTTGAGGAGTGACTGACATCCGAAGAGAACTAGAAAATGAAGAGAGAGAGAAAGAAAAAAAATCTAGTGTGAAAATATTATCACAAAGGAAGTGAAAAAAAGAAGGCCCAAAATGCATGGGTGTGTGTGTGGGTGAGTTGGTACCGATGACGTCCGTAAGAGCTATACCTTTACTTTGACGGCCACTCACAAAACCTGGACATTCTTGGGTCGAGGACCCTGCTTTAAAATTTGAGACCAATTCATATAGGGTACGCTTATTTTCTTCAGATGCTCCATTTGCATGTTAAAAGTTGATTATGCAGTAAATTTCCAGATTGTCCTCGGGATTTATTACATTCCTACAAATGTGTGTCCTCAAACATGTAATAACATACTAAGATACACTAGAAAGCAGAAACTATATGCACATGTGTCTATTTTGATACTTTCGCAAAATTTAGTGGCATGTAAAACTATAACCACTAACAGAGGATCGCACCTGGCAATCAGCGCTTGTCCTTCCTCGATATAAGATCTTTCTAACCTGGCAGGCATGCATCAGATTGTATTGAAATATCCAGTACATACTTGCTCCATTTAGCTAGATCTAGGCTGGGTGAAAGGTGATTGCCAGATGCAGTCCTTCAATATGAGCTACAGCTTCAGGCACTGCATTATTCTGCGTAATGACAAATTCTTAAAAATATACATAACTCTGTAGCAAACCTGAATTACTGACTTGTTGACTAAGACTTACCGTTCTTGCAACCTCTCAGCCTGTAGTTCTGCTCTCATCCTTCTATGTTTTTCTATGAATGTCTCCCCCATCACATGCTGAAATCCAAGTAAAAGGGCGCCACATGGAATCCTGATCAAAAATATCAAACAAGTACAATCAGATGGGTATTCTTTGTTCATGCTGTGTATAATATTAATGGATAACAGGGTTAACTCTTATCCTGCCACAGGGCTAATCCCCATTGTGCCAGGCCCCAAATCCCACCGTGCCATGTTGTTTTGGAGATAATCTGATTAACTCGATAGTTCTATGAATAGCGCATGCAAAACACTAGGTACAGTCCAATGGGCATGAATAATAACTGCTATTAATTTGCGTGCAATCATGCAAGAAGCAGAGGAGCAATAGCTTGCTAGCGTGTACAAATTAGCACCTTAGCAACAGCGTGCATGCAGCCTTATGGCAGGTTATGGGTTAATAGCCCATACGCCAAGAATCTTGCAACAAAATGGGTCTAAATGAGATCACATGACAGGATAGATGGCATATCTTGGTGGTTGTAATGAAAGTAAAAACTATCACATATGTCATGGTATTTTCCCCCCACTGATGGTACATGGTTTTGTGAAATATAGACTTGGGCTATTGTGATGCAGGTCAGGTCAATGTGAAATGCCTATGTGCAACAACGCGCAAGCAGGCAACTGATGAACACAAGGTTTCATTTCATCCTGTAGATTAATCAGTGTTAAAGCGACTGTGAAAGTTCAAGCAAAGATATAGATTTGATAATTCAATTAACCTATTGTTGACGGGAACTGGGTGTTCCCTCTTTTAAGTCTATGGGAATGAGAAAATTCTGTAGTCAACGGGTCAAAATGTTATGACTTGTAGAGGTGAAATAAAACCAAGAGGGTTGGTGCAGAACTTACCCAAGCAAACCACCTACAAATGCACCACCAATCATACCTCGCAGACCAAGACTTATTCTGTACAGAGCTCCTGTGCTCACTACAAAATAAATCAAAAGCAAAAAGATTTGTTTATTCACACAAATATAGAACATTTGTTCATGTGGTGTCTTATATGTTTTAAGTTTTATCAAATAACAAACATTACATAAAGAATGCTATCTTTGATGCTTCTACAAAGGCTATCGACCCAGTATACCGGTAATCATTAGGTAAACTGAGTTCTATGAAACAATGCCCATTTGCATTCAATTGTGGATCATAAAACAACTAATCTTGTTTCAGTTTCACAGCTATCAATAGATTCCATGTAAGTTCATGAAGTATTATAAATGGCCTTTGAAATAAAATGCACAATACTATACCACATGTACAAGTGATTCATGGCGGAAATCTTTAGCCATCATACAGATTTCTTTCCCTGAAATCAATTTTGTAGAACATTCATTGAGACATTGATTACAAAGAGGTGCGATGGCTCAGTGGTAGAGCAGAGTTCTCAAAACCGGGAGGTCCCAGGTTAGAAACTAAGTCAATACAGAAGTGCCCTTTAGTAAGGCATTAATCTTCATTACCAAGTCCCTCAGAGAGGACTCAAAGCTGTTGGTCCCGTTGCCTCTTACAAGCATACAAATGCTTTCTTGCATTAAGGCAAGACAAACAAACATATTATTCATCATAGGACCTTACCTCCTGCAACGGTGTAAGATATCATATCCTGCTTGTTCCTGTACACAGCAAGTGACATGCTTATACCACTGAGGAAAAAAAAAGAATGACATTACAAAATCAGTTACAAGTTACAACAAAACACCACTTCAGCTGGCAGAGAGGAATAGGTTAGGTTCTAGAGTAGTGTCAGGTACATTTGATTGAAATCATTTTATAAGAAATACTTATGGCTTGATTTAACCATCAAATAGGCCAGTGAAATTGATGAATTTGATAATCCTCGATAATATCAGTACTGGTATGTTTTTTTAAACCACTCAAGTACAAGTATATATGAAGAGAATGAAATGATTTAATAGAATTAATTCATCAAGTTAAATTACACTTACCGGTAGATGTTCGCACACTATTTTTTTTGTTGGGGGGGGGGGGGGAGGGGGGTGGTACTTAGGAGTACTATCTATGCATTACCTTTTATACAACAATTATTCTTCAATCCTAATTGAAGCTCTTCGATCTGTGTATGCATCATATATTTTAATGTAACTGAGGCAGTGTACATACATGTAGATCTCCTATATTGGGCAAATAAACGCTTGCAGTACAGTAATGGTAATGTAACTTTGACTTTCCTCCCATAACTTCACTGAATTACATGACTAAATACAGCACGTAAAGAAATTCTAGCAGCATTTATGATGATATTAATAAAAACCCTCTTCCTTTCTTTCTTTAAGAGGAGCAAAGTGAACAAATGTTGAACAAAGAGTAGCTCATTATTCTAAAAGTGTGATGTCCAAATATAAGTATTTGGGAGAGTTTAAACACGAAGAATGTAAAAAGTCAACTAATACTTCAAAAAATCCCTGAGGAGTTCTCATTTAAACTTTCTTCAAGAACACTCACTGATAACTTCCAGCCAAGACAGCCGTTCTCCATCCCCATCTGTATCCATAGCGAATCATCCCACGGGATGCAGCATTATAAGAGGATCCCTGGTATTAAAATGAGAGATAGAAGCCAGGATGATCTCTTTTAGTTCCTAACCACAATCACTGACTTAATTAGACAAGAATAGTTTTATCAAACAATTTAAAACAAACAACCAAAACAATTGGCCATCACTTACAGTACAGTCAGTAGGCACAGCACTTCTGTGAGGGGAAATCACAATATTCAAAATGGTTCTGTAGAGCTGTCTAACATGCCCATGCAAGATTTGTTACTATAGTAGCCCCTGGTTGCAGAACTTGCAGTAGCTGTTGTTTATATGTGATCTATGTATTTAAATTGACAGAGTTATCTCTTTTTTTTGTCTTATACATAATATGATTCCCAAGAATAATATTGAGAACAAAATCTGGACTCCCCATTGTGTCACACCAAATGAGATTCAGAATGCATATAGTCTAGCTCCTAAAGAATGTCATATCACTTTATAAGTACTCACTGTAGCTTCTAACTTGCTGCTGTACAAGGATGCTTGACTGTTCTGGATGTATCTCTGCCTGGCAAACCTTGAAGCCGGAAAGCCACCATATGCAAACCCCAACATACCACCTAGAAGAAACATCATGATCACTTCATATAGTTCACGAGACAAGCCATCCTCGTTACTGTGTAAGAAAAGAACAGAAAACCAATCACATTTGTTATCAAATACAAAGTTGAGAATAGAATATTGGATCATTTGGATAAAAGTGAAAGTTATATTTTATATTATTTACATGTTTAAAACATCTTCATGTAAATGGGGAATATTCCAATACTAAAGGAGCTAATTTCCTACGAATATGGACTAATTTAAAGTATTTCAAGTGCAAGATAATTAATGGAATGTGTCAATTACGTGTAAAATTTAGACAATCCGACTTTGATTTACAATGTTTAAAAATAAGTATTCTTCAGTTCAGTCAACAATTTGACAAACCCCATTATTGTACACTGCTCTAAAATCTAAATGTTATAGTAAAACATATTTCTTGTACACACAGGTGTTCAAATAAATATGTCAATAATTAGAAAAAAAGAAAATTCAAGAATCTAAAGATTGCATACTAACTTGACAAAGTATGCCTCCTTCAGTCTGAGCCATCCACTACCGGGATCTGCATCTTCTGTTACCATGGTGACAGAACTATCTGCATCACCTTCCGCCAAAGAACTGTTTCCGACCCCATCTTTGGTATTGTCCACACTCTGTACTGAGGAAGCATGTACGGTAGGCAAGAGTGCTATTCTACTGATGGCCACTTTGTGCAGACAATGTTCCAATCTGCCAAACAGAGTTTGTCTTGATGGCACACTGCATTTTAAGTCTTGATATCCTCCCGGTGTTACTCGTAAAATGTCACCTTTCCCATTGCTTGCAGCTTGACAGCTCTTTGGATGTTGTTGAATGCCTGCTATCGATTCTCCTGACTTGGAAGCATCGACCATATCATGGGATGGACATGGCATGTTTGCTTTGTTGGATGATGCTCGGCAATTCAGTTACTTGGTGTAAAGATGCATGTCAACAAGAATACCTGTAAATGCAGTTTGAGAAGAATACAGATTCAAATAAACAATCAAACATAGATTTATATCATGACATGGTAGTACATCAGAGGAGTGTCCACTTGCTACAGATTATTATGTAGCAGTAGTAAATGTTTATTCAACATCTGACCTGCAAGTGTCAAGGCCATAGCCTTGCAGGGCAGCATTTCACAAAAGTAAAAACCAGAGTACATACATAATGTACATTATGTCCTGAGTCTGGACAAGTTGGTTATTCAGAGTTTTGAATTTAAACAGTAATATTAAGATATTTACATGCAATATTTCCCAACTCTTTTAAGAATTGACAGATAGTTTCATATAGATGAATATTCATCATGGTTAATGCTATTTGATACAGCTTTATTTTTGTTATGCACCTGGACACACAACTCACCCCGGCCCCCTCCCTTGATCATACTATACAGCATAAAGTCTGTAACTTAAAGAAAAGTTTGTGGAAATCGCATTGGCATATATGTGTTTTAATGGTATTCAAATCACGTTTTAATGACGACAGTTTCAGGAAATGCTGCTGCCCTAAAAATGCACCTTCAGAGCTGAGTTAGACAGAAAGCTTCAGTATCTTATGATATATCAACGCTTGTTCCACTGAGACTAGTATATGTTTGAATTGCTCCAATGACCGCCTCTATACAGAGACTGAAGTACGTCATGTACAACGTATACGTAGTGAGGGGAGGACGTACGTTACATCGATAGTACAAGTGTGAGTGCTGCCGGGGGGGGGGGGGGGGGGGGGGTACTCAAACATAAAAACATACAAGGGTGTGTCGCTCTGTCGCCCTGTGTTTAATTATAAATAGTTTGTACTGTAGCAGCTAGTGTAATTTAAACTTTCTACTGCCTACTGCACTGGACATGATTTGTATTTTGTACAGAAAACACTCAACTTCATTCAAGAAATCAAATCTCACTCTCATGTCACACTCATCATCAGATCATACTCATTCATAGCCATTGGGTGCGTTAATTGGGTCTTGCCACTAGATATTTACATATCGTACCCCACTATCATACCCCACTATTGAACCCTACAATACGATCGTGATTTGCGGGATGTTGCGTTTATCGTCTCTTCACGATTCACAATAAAGGCCTTGTCTCTGCGCAGCTGCTCTGCGCCGTTTGATCAGGGGAGCAGAAAGTTTCTCGGAGGTCAACTTCACACACAATTTTGTACAACAACATGACACAACACATGGCGCGCTATCTATAGCCTCCGAACCGGAAATTAACCTGGGAGGTACGATTTGTATGTGGGGTTCAAAACAGCTTTGCATTTTATCATCTCTCAGAAACGTGATTCTGGCTGTATGTCACATTCAAAACACACTTTTTTGCGTCTTTAGATATGCCCATATCTAAAGACCTTTAAAAAAGGCTTTGCGTTTATCACCTTCTAAATTTGCCTGAAACTTGAAAGACGTTTGAGAAACCCGAAAACGCACCCATATAGCCATAGTCTACTCATGATAGTCATACTCATACTAGTACTAGATCTAGATCTCTCATATCTCACCCTCAACCCCCCCCCCTTCAGCTTTCCCTATTAATTATATAATTATTATTATATTTTAGGCTTAGAATCTAGATCAATATCTCTCAGGCTCAGTCTCACTCTCAGTCTCACACTCTGAACACACAAAATCATGAATTTATCTAGATTAGAAGGCACCACTGAGCTACTTCTACTTGAGTCTTGATCATGTTGATACTTCTTTACAGCGTAGAATTTAAAAGTGAAATATATTTACCAAATATCCGTTATGTGCAGATCAAAACTCAGGTCTATGGTTTTAATAAGCAAGAACACTTTTTATGAGGACTTCTATGCATGCAAATACATGCATGTATGTTGTACGTACCGGTATCGATCTAGTAATAGTCTACTATCTAGTCGTTAGAGTGCTTAACTGTGTCTCAACATTTACACATATGCGGATTTTCCTAAAAGATGAATACATGGGTCAAGATATATGCCTGCCACTTCGAACTTAATGGTATTTTTCGAACATTTTCTAGCACTCAGTATATTTATTGTTTGTTTGTTTGTTTGTACGACTAGCTACTAAAGCACAAAACGTCAGCATCGAGACTAGTAGTGGATCACTGTGAAACATTGTGCAAGAGCCTAGATTTATGATTTCATTGTTTTTGACGAAAGTTTATGAACCACTTGACATTATTATTTTACAAGGGACTAAATTAAAGGTCACATGCTCTATCTGTCTCCTATGAGTAATTTTCGATGTCATGTGATCTAGCAATGTCAACTTTTCAACAGGAGACGTCGCACCTGTCAGACGAGTACCACCACCAGTACAATAACATGTCACAAGCCGAGAGTTCGGGCGAGAGTAACCTTCAGCATCCCGATGGAAACAGTAGGAGAAAGGTCTCTCACGAAATGCAGAAGCCCGGGCCCGAGCCGCCCGCGGCGGCGGCCGCGCCCCCTCCACTGCGACCTTTAGTGAAAGTACTGGCATGCTTTGCAGCCATTGGAGGCTTTCTTTTTGGATATGACACAGGGGTTGTGTCAGGAGCTATGATTCTTTTGAAAAAAGAATTTGGTTTAAACACAATATGGCAAGAAATGATCGTGAGTGTGACAATTGGAGCTGCTGCATTATCTGCTCTCTTTGGAGGAATATTTAATGAAAAATTAGGCAGACGAAAAGTGATTTTGATTGCCAGTACTGTCTTCACTGCCGGAGCACTTATGATGGGACTTACACCAAATAAGGAGCTGCTGCTTGCTGGCAGGCTTGTCGTTGGTATTGGTGTAGGTATGAACTATGATTGACACAATAAAAATAAATTAACTTGAAGCCAGGAGGAAAAGCAAAACAACAATCGAAGAAACACTAAATGAGTTCATGTAGATCTGTATGATTTGTATGCATAGCAGTTAATGATATGATAATAATTGAAATATGATTAACAATTGTAATAACAACAACAGTAATAATAATGATTAATAATAACAATAAATAGTAACAATAATAATAATTGTCGCAAAAGGATGTCTTCCCATTATGTATGATGGAATGATTATCAAACATTGATAATAATTGCTGAATGTTACTTATTTTTGTTTCTTATTATTATTTACATGTACATCACAAGGTCTGGCATCAATGACAGTTCCAATGTACATTGCTGAAGTAGCCCCAGTCCACGCAAGAGGGAGATTGGTTACCCTTAATAATCTCTTCATCACCGGAGGTCAGTTTGTAGCTTCTGTGGTAGATGGAGCTTTCTCTTACTGGCCATGGGGATGGAGGTGAGTAGATATATAACTAAACTAATACAGTCTAAAGAGATAAAGATCACCAGCAGCAGTTCTACATGCTTGAGAGAATATTGGTAATGCTCTTTTCCAAACAATTTATTCAGAGTGACATCTTGAGAGTAATTGGATTCTACAGACATGTTATAATAAATAAATAATAAATAAATAATAAATAAAGTCATTTTTTATATAGCACATAATAATAAATTCTCTACACGCCTTACAATACAACAATCAATTATACAATATATTACATGATTAATCTAAAGATTTAAATATGCATGAATTAACAGAAATACGTTTACGTATTGTATACAATGATGAAAAAATCTGATAAATATGATATAAATGGTATAAACTTACAGACATATAAACTTATGAACACAATTATAATAGATAAGTAATTAATGACTATCTTTTATTGTAGTAAGGAAATAAAATTTATTTGACATAAACTAACATATAATTAACAGACTATTTGATGAACATAAATGTCTTCAGAAGTGAACCTTCAGAACTTCAGAAATGTTGGAACAATCAGTAAGATGAAAGTCAGTCCAGGACAAAAGATCAAGGATATTTCAAAGAACAGATAATTAGATAATGTCAAAACCCACTATGGGAACAATTTGCTAAATAAATTATGTACAAGTCACAGTTCATATACTACTGTCTATAGAGAATTATAATGGTCCTACTATCTTTCTGTTAATTGCGTTGATAACATCTATTAATCGTATTGTTAACCTTAACAGTTGAAAGTAAAAATAAAAATAATTAAAAAAAACTTTATTTGTTTTATTTCAGGGCAATGTTAGGTTTGGCTGGAGTACCATCTGCGATTCAATTAATCGGTTTCATCTTTCTTCCTGAGTCTCCTCGTTGGTTGATTGATCATGGGCAGCTTGAAAAGGCTAAGAAGGTACTTATCAGGACAAGTGGCGTGGAACATTGGGAATATCAGTATCAGCAAATAGTCCAAGATGCAGAGAATACAAAAAGAGATTATGGTAAATAATTTTGATATACATGTACATGTACCGGTATTATATTTCTTCAGAATGTAGGAAAAGAATGATAACAGATACAGTAACAAACACAAAAATTGAAAATTAAAAATAATAATGATAGAGCAGAATTATATTGTACTTTTTCCCCCAAATGCATTTAATCAAATTTAAGCTCATTAATTGAAAATCTTCATGTTATATACCTGTGAAATCTGTCAACTATCGATATAATGCAAATCGCCGTAACGTTATGTTTTTATTTTTGTACCTGTACAGGGGATGGTTCAATCTTTGTAAGGATTTTCAGGACACCTCCTGTGCTGAGAGCCCTTTTTGTAGGGTGTGGTCTTCAAATGTTCCAGCAGCTAGCCGGTATCAATACCATTATGTAAGTATGTTATGGTCTGCAGATGGCCAACAACTAGGGTGTACTGTATGTGAGTGGAAAGCATTTTGTTGTAGGGTGTGGTCTTCAAATATCCAAGGGCTTGGTTGTTTTGTATGTGGGTGGAAGAGCCCTTATTGTAGGGTGTGGTCTTCAAATGTCTATGGGCTTGGTTGTATTGTGTGTGCCCTAATTTTAGGGTGTGGTCTTCAAATTTCCCTAAGCTTGGGTGTACTGTTTGCAGGGAAGAGGCCTGATTGTATTTATAATAATATCCAAACATTTACATAGTGCTGGTATACACATACAATTTCTAAGTGCTTTACAAAACAAATAAATATCACATTTGATTTCAATATGTAATAAACATCAACAAGAAACGTGAAATTAACATTTTGCTTAATTTGGACGAAACAAAATGCTCTTACTTAACTAACAGTGTATTAACAGTAACATGATAATACAAATGAAAATACAATAAGTAGAAATAAAACTTCAAGACTTATGTACTTTGGATAATGAATAAATTACAAGAAGATATGTGATTATAAATTTTGAAGATGGGGAATTACTTTGTGTTGAATAGGCATGTCTTAAATTTGCGTTTAAAAGTGTCAAGAGTTGGGGATTCATGAACAGAGATGGGGAGATTATTCTAGAGTTTAGGAGCACATATATACAGAGAAGACACGATCACCATAGTGGTGTGAGTTCGAGGACCTTGATTTTGATTGGCTGTTGAGCCCTGTTACCATGGTAGTTGCCATTGATGGCAAAGTTACCATCAATGGTAAGTTTTATGCAACGGGCCCCTGATGATAGTTGGAGATGAGCAGATGATGATGAGCGGAGCCTGATGGAGGAGGTTTGCAACTTTGGTGAAATGAGTTCATTGATGTATGCTGGATTAAGTCTATTACGAGCCTTGCACATGTAGGTGAGAAGCGGTACCTTGAATTGGATGCCCTGTGCAATGGGGAGCCAGCGAAGAGAACAAAGAATATGTGTTTGTTCTTTCTTGGTGCGTGTGAGGAGACGGGCTGCAGTGTTCTGGATGTGTTGGAGTTTGGTCAGATGTGAGCTGGGTAGATTTAGTAACAGGCTATTGCAGTAATCAATGTGCGATGTCACGAATGCATTTTATACTAGGCATTCAGTAGAACTTTGGTCTAAGTACTTTCGGAGTTTCCTGAACCTGTGCATTCCAAATGAAGCGGATCTACATGATTTATGAACATGTTGCTTCATGGTTAGTGTTATCCACTGCGACTCCAAGACTACTAGAAGATTTTGATGGAGTGATTGTAGTGCAGTCGACTTTAAAATCTGGCAGATCACTGGCTTTCGCGTCACATGCAAGAGTTCTGTCTTAGCACCATTTAGCATGAGGTTGTTGTCACGAGCCCAGACTTTCACATCTGCAAATGCACTGCTCCAGTCTCACTACCCCACTGGCAATTTCACTCTGCTTCAGTATAAGATACAGTGTGTCGGCGTCATTCATCATGTGTTCAACACCCTGATGGAACCTTATGATGCATGTGAGAGGAAGAGCCCTTATTGTAGGGTGTGGTCTTCAAATGTCCAGAGGCTTGGGTGTACTGTATGTCAGTGGAAGAGCCCTAATTGTAGGGTGTGGTCTTCAAATGTCCTGCTTTGTTGTCTTGTATAGTTGTATACAGAGTGGAAGAGCCCTTATTGTTGAATGTGGTCCTTAGATGATTCAGCAGCAAGCGGGTACCAATACAATGGGAAAGATATACAGTACATGTCACAGACTATGACATTGGGTGTGGTCTTCAGATGTTCATCTGCAATGGGTATCTGATGTAAATAAGATGTGGGAGTTCATCAGTTACACTTGTGACTGGTATACGTGTAAAAGTTGCAATTATGAAACAAATGCTCCAAATTATGTTAGTCTTGATTTTAATTATCCATTTACTATACCGGTAAAAATTTACTAATAATCTCCAAAATAGATTTCAAGCAAATTCAGAGTGAAGAGTTACGGTATTCATTGTTGGAGTAAAAAACAATGGATCTTGTGGCAGAGTGGCCTTGTAGTCAAGCAAATAATCCAATAAAGTCTATTTCAATAACTACTGCTACTCAGAAACAATAATAACAACAAGAAGACCATTTTCATTACTATAGTTTAACCCATTTAATACCGGTATTACCAGTAAGCATGACATAACTCTGGGATTGCTCTATACAAGTATGTGTTTACCCAAACCATATTCAAAGGATTAGGATAATCCTTTATTTTGTATTCCCATTGACTTGTACATGTATATCATTATTCTTTAATATCAGGTATTACAGTGCAACGATAATCCGAATGTCTGGGGTGAAGGATGATTCCACAGTCATTTGGCTGTCAGCAGTAGTAGCATTTGTCAACTTCATTTTCACTCTGGCTGGTGTGTACCTCGTTGAAAAGGTTGGGAGGAGAGTTCTCACTCTCAGTAGCTTTACAGGTAACACAAATTAATTATAAAAAACGCATTATAGGCAAGAAAAAAAAAAACATTTACAATATATTTCAATTTTTATTATTTGATTTGAGGTACAGGGACAGAATGTTTATACAATTATCTTAAAAGGTGTGTGCACAACCATGCCTGTGTACAGTAACAACTCACAAGATGCTAAAATAACAGATAATCAAAGCATGTGGTACAGTGTACATCACAATTATGTTGACAAATTTAGATCATTTTGACAAGAAAATATTTAGATGTTGCAATTTTTAGAATACCAGCCTTTATTATCTGTACATGTAGTTACCGGTAAATAAGTGACATTGCAAGCATTTAAATTTTAAATAAATGAGAAATCGTACAATAAGCAAAACCTTGTTTAAAGGGCTATATTTCTATATTTCCTAGGAACAAGACATCTGAAAGGGACTAAATTCAGAAATGATATCTAATGTGTAATACTAGAAGCAAGGAAATGCTTATTTATATATCTATTAAAGATAATGATATTTAACTTCAATCTTTTATATTACGTGTATGTAAGAAATTTACCGGTATGTGTATTTCCTCATTTTGAAGTATCAAACGTTCATATACTATATCTTTTAGTATCTGTATTGGTTGAGAATATTTCAAGGGTTTGTGATTTTTGCATATATATATATATATGTAGTCTTTTGTCTATTTTCGTTTTTTTTTTTGGGGTACCTGCATCGGTGAATACATCAAAATATTCCTGCATTGCCATGGTTTTATTTATACCTCACTTTGTTATATTTTGGTGTACATAACTTATTTATGCTGAATGCAAATTTTATCCATTCATCATTTGCTGGTAATTTTATTCATTTATCTAGGCATCAGATTGAATATTTTGTATCTTCTAACTCTGATTTTAAAAAAATATATATTTCTTGTCCTATGCTTAATAACAGGTGTTGCAGTATCGGTTCTTTTTCTTGCTGTGGCTTTCCTTCTGATTGCTGAGAGTTCTCCAGACATTGATGTCCATTCCACTGATAAATGCTCTATCTACAGGTGAGTTATAGTACGGTAGATGCATCTAAACTACTGGTATAAAACCAGGCATTATTACCTTCCTTTGTTTCTCATTTATGGCAGCCTGGCTGTGTGTAGAGAGGCACCTCATTTGCCGCTATTCGCTTTTTTGCTTTTAACAAAGTTAAACATTTCCCTGTTCACAATATGTAACCCGATGTTCTGATTGCAAGTGAAAGAGATTGAAAGAGGAACAGATTCTGTAATATTAATTTCCTCATAATGAATTACCATTCGTTATATAGCATGTACATATCTAAATGATAAAATAGCTTTTAACTAATTGCTTACATGAATCAGATGGCTTCTGTATTGACCCTTGAGAATGAGTGAAATCAGTCTTCAATAAATTCAGGCATTTCATGAAAGAGAGGTGGAAGATGTTTTCCAGTGTATGGTTGTAAACACTATTGAAATATAGTTAATTTGCATTTGTTAGTAATTTTTAAAATCTTCTTTATATTAAACAAATAATTACCGTTGGTGAAGGTGATGGGACAACTATTACTTCCGTGGCGATCTGGATGTAGCTATCTTTCCTAAGTGAAACTGAGGAAAGATAGTGTATACATTCAGATCGCCGAGGAAATGATAGTTTGCCATCGCCTGAAACCAAAAGGTGATTATTTGCTTTATATTCTACATTGGAAACATTTCACCTCTTCCGTCATTTTATAGCAACAAATCATCAATTATTAACAGCTAGCAAACTGTGTACGATACGTACAGTGCATGCAGTACTTACGTATGTACCTACGTATATCCAACGTATACAAGAAAGTGTGTTGCACTGTGTAGATAGTACTACTATCTACACAGTGCAACAAACTTTTCTTCCATCAATGATGGGCGAACTATCTTTCATCACGTGATTTACTCTTAACCAATCGTAGCGCAAGATTTTTTGTATGTGGAGTATAATATGTTATATTAGTACATTCATATGTTTTTGGCAGATCTATACAACTAAAGAAGAGCTACATGTATGATACATTTTTTATTTGCAGCACCTGTGATGCTTGTATTCTCACAGACGACTGTGGATTCTGCTTCCAGACCTTGAATAAGACAATCTACAATGGGACTTGTTTGGTTGCCGATATACTCCATGGAAACCAATCATTGAATGGTCCTTGTTCTCAGACTCATCTCTTAAAGCATGAGAGTGAGTGGGCATATGATTACTGCCCGTCACCGTATGCATTTCTGTCGTTCATCGGACTCATACTTTACCTCATTTTTTTTGCGCCAGGTAAATTGTCATCTTGAGCTCTTTAATTTTCTAGTTTTCATTTAAAGCAGGAAATTCATGATGATAATAAGCTTCCATAACAAAATCACAAAATACGCATTTACATTCAAGGCCAATTTTTTTCTTCTGATAGTCGTACAGCAATTATACAATTAAATTGAAGCAAGAATCAATATCCCATTAATGTCAATATAAAGAAGATAAATGACATACAATATATTGCTCTATATTTGAATTAAGATTTTTACCTTTGTATTGTAATGTAATTTAGCAACTATAGAGTTATGACCATTGGAAGTTACAAATGCTTTATTATGACAACTTAAAACTAAAACACATTATATTGATTATGAATTTGACTCCCTCTTACTTGTCCCCCCCCCCCCTTTCTCTCTCTCACCCTCTCTCTCTCTCTCTCTCTCTCTCTCTTTCACTCTCACTCTCCTGCTCTTTCTTCTTATCCCTACCTGTATCAGGTATGGGTCCAATGCCATGGACCATCAACTCAGAGATCTACCCTCAGTGGGCCCGGAGTACTGGCAACGCTGTAGCTTCCACCGTCAATTGGTCTTTCAACCTCCTTATTGCAATGACATTCCTTAGCCTTACAGAGCTCATTACTCGACAAGGTAAAGTCATTGATAATGCCTACTTAGTGACTAGTAAAGCATTCATCAGATAACCCTGGTCAATCAGTATTTCAATTAGTTTTGTTATTCTTTTGTGTTGGTTTGGCTTGGATTTAATTTACATTTCATCTAATGTATATCTTGATCTTACAGCGAACATCAAGATATTGCCAAAACATACAACATTACAACCACCCGAGAATTGAGGGGGTAAAAATGAAATGGTCTAAAGGCATGATCAGTCTGCTAAAATACTCTCATTAAAATGGGAACTATTGTCTTTCAGTCTAGTTTTCGATATTGAAACATATCTATTTATTTCAAAATATACACTCAGTTATCTCTATATTTGATATGCAGGTGCCTTCTTTTTGTACTTTGGAATCTGTGTGGTCGGTATCATCTTCATCGCCCTCTTCCTACCAGAGACAAAAGGCACACGTCTTGAAGACATACAGGAGCTGTTTGAGAAACCACTCTGCTGTGGGCCATCCAGTCTGCGTAAAGCTAACATCACTGATGCTCATGGTAGGAATGCTTGTTGCTTTTCTCTTTTTCCATACCAACTGAAGAATACATAGAGATAACATCTGTCTCTGTTTTAAAAGTGTTCCCCTAGCTGTCAATGGGATACCATTTTCAGCATTTTGTTTCACCCTTAAATGTAGTCAGTAGTTAAACTGCCACCAAATCTTAGATTGTGCCCTATATTTCAAACTAAGAAAAGCTCTTCCTTTTTTCTTTCTTTCAGGAAGTGTTAAAAAATGAGAAATTGACCGTGCTGACCACATGCACCTTTATTGAGCCCTAGCTGAAAATCACACCATCACTCCTTTTTGGTGGTTTTGTGGTGCTTAGTCACACAGTCATGTTCGTGCTAGTTGAATTATTGACATGAACAACAAAACTTCAAACTATGAACATCCATCAGCATATCATTGTTATTTAAATGGTTTGCAGCTGCTCTTTTAGTTATCGTTTGGCTCTATTTCTTTTAGAATTCACCATCAAAGAATGATTTGATTTCAGGATTCACTATTTCTATGTTTTTTTATATTTATTTGTTTGTTTAATCAGAATCAGAATCGTCCAGGCCTTTACTCAGCAGTGATGTGGAATACAAGTGAAGAAGTTGACCATCATCATGTCAGCAATATATTTTCAGGGATTTTGATGAATGTCACGTTAGCTTTTGTGAGATCTCGAGATGAAACTAAAAATCAAAATTGTAATTATGGTTTTAATTCAAAGCTTTCCAGCAGTACATGCACCATAAACAATTGGGTACCAAGAAAATTAATTGTTTGAGGTTTTCTATTTTTATTTCCAAAATCACCTCTAAAAAACTGCCTTCTATTATATCTGGTGAGTGGGTTACTTTTATATTTTACTCTCATTATTATTGTTAGAAAATATATAATTGTTGGAATATATTTGTGATTGAGTGGAGAAGAAAAGAAAATGATTAAATGAAGAAAGATTTGATTCCTTGGCTGTTTTGCTTAATTTTGTTGCAATATATAATAAGTTTTGTGCCTTATATATATATTTTTTTACTACAGCTCATTGTATATATATGAAAAGATGATTTTATTGGATAGGAAGTATATATATAAATTATTTTGGCTAGGGCAGGGCATTATTACTGCCGTTTTTTTAACCTCTGTCAAGCTAATTCAAGTAGTCAAACCTGCTTTAGTGACCACCTTTTTACAAAGGCCACATTTGTTTTTTCCCTTGAAAATTGTTTCTCATTGAATCATGTAATAAAGGAACCTGTCTACAAAGGCCACTTTTTCTGTTTCCCTTGGGTGTTCGCTATAGACAGGTTTGACTGTACTTGTAATGGAATTTCATTTTGAAATAACCTGGCTCAAAGCCTCAAACTAATTGTTTATCAAATAGTAGGTGAGTTTATTAAACCAGCAAAATAAAAACAAGTGAACAAAAATCTGCTAGAATGTGAAATAACATTCACTGAAAAGCACAGCTCACATTAGCACAATTGTACATTGTATAACATTGTAAGACCATGTGTAAAGCTTGTGTGTCTGGATGACTCGCTGAATTTTTGTATCTTTTATTCCTCTACTGAGCTATTTTCTATCACAATTGTGTGGCAGATATCATTTATATGTAGTCTGTATGCAGGCGTCAATTTGAAGCCTAGACCCACCCTCCTCAATCATCACCTTAATTTCACCTGAGCCAATTATTTATAAGGTCAGGATTTCACCGCCACTTCACTTGCTTTACAAAAAACATAGGCGAAGTATCACTCTATTGGCAGTCCAGGCTTTCATCCTTTGAATTATTTCCATAAGTGAAGCTTATACATGTATGTGTAGCATTAGGTGTAGGCATGGTGTAGTGTTGTTGGAAGTACTGCAGAGGTGTCATTTGCCAAAGCAACAACTCACGACAATGTCTCTTGGCCTGTCAATCACGAAAATATCAGCTTCAACAGTAGTTGCTTGAAACACCACGACTTTGACATATTTTCGATGCAACCGATGTAGTATCACCAGAAAACACAAATAATTAAAGATAAAAGCTTCACCCAATTATTAAAAAAGAACTTTAGGACTTCACTACAACACATGTATTGACCTGAAGCTTCGGTGTCAAGTCAGTGCCGATATTTGGCAACATCTTGGGAAGTCGGGTCCAGGCTTTAAATTGACGCCTGCATTTATTTTCACTGTAACTCATGTTTGATTCTGTGAGAATATACTGAAAAAAAGAGAAAGTAATGGATTCATTCTTGAATGTATGTACTAGTACTTTGGTGACCTTAGTGCTTGTTATGTTCTTGAATACCAAAGTAAACATATATTCCTGTACAGTGTATAATGGTTTATAATCTCTTCCTGAGTAGAGGTCTCCTTTCTCGGCCTCAAACAATGAAACAATCATGGAAATTTTAATTCAGTACTTTTTATGGTCAATGAAAACTCCACTTCTGTGATTTATGTCACAGTATCAAACCCAATAGTATAGCCATCTACCTTCTCTGAATTTTTTGTTTGTTATGTATTTGTGAAGTTTTTCTTTTTATCTCTTTTTTCCCATTCAAAAATAATTAGTTAAAAGGCACTTCCAGATGACTTTTACTTGTAGCATCTCGTATACAAATTATTTTTTAGAGACGATTGGTACTACAAAATCAAAGAATAGCTATGAATGCAGACATACTAAAGCTTTTTGACTTGCACTCACACTGTATAAGCTTGTGCTTATATTGTCTGATTTTGGCTTCCTGTTTATTCTTGCGATTTACTCTGGTGAGTGCAAGACAAAAAGATTTTAGTGTCTGTTTTTGTGCTATTTTTCAATAATTTAAAGGTACTATTTATCATCTAAGATGATATGATGACAAGTGTCACAAAACAACTCAGAAAAACAAACGCAAATTATAATACAATGGATGTAGGATCTGGCAACAATAGAAAGGAAGAAAAGGTGTGTTGGTTAATTCCCGCGGTTTGAAAAATATTGAAAACTAAGAAATAATCACTAGATTTTCACCTTTCAACAAGTTCTTCAAAGATTTTTAAATAGATTGAGACACTATTGAATTACAAGAGAGGACTTTTTAGATTGTTAAATAGTATACAAATAATGAACGCGCGAGTTCGATAGAATCTTACAATGGATGAAAATATTCGCCCTATTGAACGAATAATAAAACATTATTTGTTTTATGTAACATATAAGTAGATAATAAAACATGCACGCTGAATAGAACAAAAATGCATGCTCAATGACCTAGTCGTTCAATATATTATTTATTGACCAATAATTCTCCAATCAAATGACAAGGGATCTACTTAGATCTTACATAATACCTTTAAGAATGAATGTGTTTTTAACATTGATACTATCAATATAACTTACCAGGTTATTTATGTACTCAATGCTGGCCCTAAACAAGTACAACCAGTTTTGCAACTTGGAAAGATAAAGTGTTTTTGGTAATTCTTCAAATGTGTACACATTTCAAAAAGCTGAAACCCACTGCCTTTAATGTGACAAGATATACATTTTTTGAGAAGACCATATATCTAAATTAGGCACAGAGAAAAGGCTTTGCTGCAGCTCAGACTAATCAGTAATTTTTAATTGGCTAAACCAAACAAGTCTGACAATAAACATTTTAAAGTGGTCCAAACGGTATACAGGGTTTACTTTTTTTTTTAAATCTGTAAATAAGATGAAATTATTAAACGAACGGTAATAACTACTTGCAAAATAATGTGTTATTGTAACTATTCTGTTTGTAGTTTTATATGAGGAATTAACTTTTCGAATCCCAAATACATTAAAAATGTATAGATTGAAGAGAATTTCATCAAAGTGAATAATGAATAATATATAATAAATAAAATGCATCTCCAAGATACATGAAATATTAAATATTTTCTGTTGTTTCTGATGTTTGTTCTTCTTTGACATGTATAACGAAGGTTTTATTTCATGTAGATATGTGTGATGAAGTGGAGGAAGGAGCTGTGTCAAACAGTAGATTCATTTGATTTTCAATCATGGAAACAGATACGTGTGAAGGTATTACAGCAGCAAAAAAAAAGAACCTTTTGCACAGATTGCAAGTCTTTAAAAGTCACCTTTTAATGTTAATACTTTTATTGTGAATGACACCATGCAATCTTTTCAATTCTAATCCATTGGCTTCTGAAGCCTTTTAAAGATACAATATAACACTATCATGGATAAATCTACAAGAAATTAAAAAAAAGCACAAAACTAATTACCTGTCTAGTAAAATTGAAAATTAAGATTTTATGGTAAAGCCACATAGTTCGAAGAAGAATAGTCTAAATCTCAAAATGAATTCTGACCTTTGGCAATGCTCCCGAATTTTCATATTACCCCTAAATCTGTCATACATCCAATGTTACTGGTCATGAGTATGAGTACAATACCCGACACAGAACTGAGCCAGATTAACTACCAAGACACCCAACTACTAGAAGGAAGAAATGCAAAAATTGAACTGGAAGCCCGATTGCTGAGAACACAGCATTTATCCAGAATCTCGGGCTAAAAAAGAAAATGGCCTCTTGAATGGCGCACATGTGTGTGTTACGATTAACACCCCTGGCTCTGTGTCATTCTTACCTTGGTGATCTAGGGGCCAGTATAGAATGCTGAAGTATATTACCTAGGTGAAGAGAAGGCTGGGATATGAACCATTAAGAGTCACGTGAATGAAACAGTTTATTATCTCCAAACCCTAGCTGCCAAATAGTTACATTTACCTTGTAGGATGTCTGTCCAACTCTAGAATTTCATAATGCTACATGTATATTATGAGAAAGATGGATATTAAAAGTCCATTAAATACATAATTATCAATATATACCTACATACATGTACACACTGGCGTACCTATGGGGGGGGGGGGGGCAGGGGGGGGCAGAGTGCCCCCCCCCCCCTGACGGGCTCCAGGAGAAAAAAAGAAAAAGGGGAAAGAAAAGAAAAGAAAGGAAAAGGAAAGAAAAAGAAAAAAGGAAAAGGGAAGAAAAAAGGAAAGATAGAGAAAAAAGGAAAAACAGGAAAGAAAAAAAGAAGAAGAAGAGAAAAGGAAGAAAAAGGGGAAAAGAAAGGAAAGGAATAAAAATGGGGAAATTAAAAAAAAAAAAAAAAAATTAAAAAAACCATGGCCGTACGCACCAGGGGGGGGGGGGGGGCAGTTGACCCCAGATATTTTGAAAACGTACAGTTTTTTTCCTGAAAATGTAGTGTAGGCCTATACCAAATCCTTCAATTCTACTTTTGAAAATGCAAAAGTACCCTCATGACCAGTTCGGTCGCTCGAACTCCCTTCACTCCTTTTGCTTTTGAGATTCTTCGAAAACTTTTAACGCATCTTTCCCCCTCCCCCACCAGAAAAAAATTCCGCATACGGCCCTGAAAAATTAAAACAAATGAAAATAGGAAAATATAAGTGATATAACAAATTTGAAACTCTTCGCTGGCGCGAACTGCTTGCTAGCCTATTTTGTATTAAATGTTTTCACTTGCTCGTCGCCCTGAAAAAAGAAAAGGATTAGTATTGCCTAGAATACAATTGTCCCTGCCCCGACGGGCCCCGGCCTGCAACCATGGCAACAATAACACACAATTATGTACCAAATGTTACTAAAAGAGACTAATTCATTTTTCTCGCTCGCTACACTCGCTCGCGAATAAAATGAATAGACATTGCTTTGGAAACAATTGTGCCCACCCTTGACCTGCAACAATATCATTAAAAATGGAAGAGTTTTTTCGCCCTCTCGGCAAAAAGGAATTGAATCGCGTTAAACGCGATTGCGTCCATCCTGACCTGCACCAATAAAAACAAGTTTATTTATTAATTTCTATTAAAAGAGAATTTATTTTTTTTGCTTGCTCGCTATGCTCGCTCGCCAAAATGGAATTG